ATTCCCATATTAGTCAACCCGGTACCCCGTGGGGTCCACGACCTCCGATTAACAATCCGAAAGTTTCTATAGGTTCAACACATTTTACTAAACATGTCCTACAAGTTTGGTCCGAATCGAACAGTCGGATCGCTCTCAATCGTAAGATAGGACGATTATCGTTTAACCTAAACTTTGAAATATTGAATCGGAGTATCCTTGACTCCGATACTCAATCCGCAAATTTATGCATGATTATCGTCTAGATCAGCATATTTGAAAATGAAGACGATCCAACGGTCCGAACATATCGAACCCGGATTATGCCTAATATGTGATATTCGATCGACGATCAAATGATAACCAAATTCATATCCAAGCATACCGTCATGATAGAGACGACATGAGGATTATTTTAGGACCCAAGGACTAGCTAAAAAGTGGCCCACGCATCGCCACACGAGTCGGCAGCGTGTAGGTGTCCAAAGTGATTCCGACAATCGAAAAATCTCCAAACCACCAGTCAAGACTTATACCTACATGATCAGAATATACAGTGGAGCAACTTTTGTTCTTGGACCTACCCCAAAAAGTGGCAAGAAGTGGCTGGAATCGCGAGCCGAAAATCGACCAAGATTCAATCGTTTATTTGAGTTACAAAATGCAGAAATCCTTCCTAAATAACCCAACTAACAAGTAGAACACATTGAGAGGATAGAAAAAGCATACCTAGATCGTAAGATTTGGTGGCTGAAATTGCACAAACAAACTTTGGAAAGTTTTGACAAAAATCTGGCAGATTTTTCGTCAATTTTCACATCCAAAATATGGAGAATTCTTAGGCTTTCAAAGGTAGATATCATATGGGTTTTGTAGAGGAAGAGGAGGAGGAGAGCAACTTTCGTGAAGTAAGTGCCGCCAACCAACGTCGGACGATGCCAGAAATTGGCGGCTATGTGACAGAAAAAAAACAAAAAACAAAAAACTAGATTTTCTGGTTTAAGGAGAGAGAGTGTCGGGAGGTAGGAGAGAGAGAGTTGCCAGCTTTTAAAAAATATGACTTCGAAAAAATTACGATTGTGTCACTGGACTTCTTTTGTTCGTAACTTCTTTGTTACAACTCCGATTTGAGCCCACTATGTGTCTACAGACTCATCTCAACGTGCTCTATGCAACACTACAACTAAAATCCCCAGATTCCTTCCCGAACAAAAATCAACTTTTAAACCATTAAAATATTCTTGAGGTAAATTCGTCTTTTTGGTAAATAAATTTATAATTTATAATTTATTTAGGATTGGGTTATTACATACTCAACCTGAGAATGCAAATCCTGGCACCACACAGTTCAAGAGTCCCCAATATTCGTGGGGCAATGTCATACGCGCGTAGACAAATCTAAAGGCAACTATGGTGTCCAAAAACAATCCAAAGGCAACCATATATTTGAAGACATTCCGAAGGCAACCATATATCCGAAGACATCAATATTTTTGTAGGCCACAAAATTTCAGAAGGCAACTAGGATATCCAAAGACATAAATATTTCGGAAGGCAACCGGGATGTCTGAAGACATCAATATTTCCGAAGACAACCGGGGTGTCCATAGACATCAATATTTCCAATTTCAAATTATTTAACACATATATAAAAATAAACATAAACAATTCACCAAACATTTAAAATCAACTCAACCAAAATTCGCACAATAAAATATAAATATATCATACTAGGAAAGTAAAGGCGATGGAATAATAGTTCCATAAACAATTAACAAAACTATTGTAGTAAAATACCATTTTAAAATTAAATAATCAAGCCACAAACACCTCCCAACCAATTGGTCCCAATCGAGTCAACGAGGCCCACCATCTAGGTTAATTAGGCCCGTGGGGCGACAACCTCCGATTTCAAATCCGCAAGTTCCTATAGGTCCAACAAAGTCTACTAAACAAGTCTCAAAAGTTTGGTCTCAATCGAGCTCTCAGGTCTTAGCCAATCGCACGATCAAACGACGTTTGGTTCACTTAACCCAAGAATCATTGACTTGGAGTATTTGGGACTTCGATTCTCGATCCGTAAGTTCCTACATGATTTTCAATTGGAATCGATCGAACGGTCCTCACCTATCGAACCTAGATATCGCATAATAAGTGTAATATTCGTTTAATAGTCAAACGGTAACCAAGTTGCCGACATAGGGCCCACGCACTGCCATGCGTTGCCGTGTTCAATGGGTGCCTTGAGAAAATTCTTGCAACAGAAAATCCTCAAAACTAACTACAATACCTATACCAACAAGTTCATACTAACAAGATAAACAACTTTTGGTCTTTGACCATGGCCTAATAGTGACCAAAGCCAGATGAAATTACGGCCAAATCGTCGGCCCTATATGGGTATTTTGATTGACTTCCAAAACTCCAAAATCGATCCAAATTCTATGAAGTTTCATACCTTGATCGACGGAAATGATGGCCGAAGTTGTCGGAAATGGAGTCGGAAGCTTCGAAAATTGCCGACAATTCCAATCATTCCAGCCAAAATTCCTTGGGTGTTTGAGTTGGGAAAATGGGTGGGTTAGATACGTCGATATGAAACTTTTGGGACCAATTTCACCTGAAATGGTCGCCAAACGGCAATGTAATTGCCTACCAAAGTCTAGCGTCGAGTGGAGAGGAAGAGAGAGAGTCACTAAGAGAGAGAGAGAGAGACAGACAGACAGAGACAGAGACAGAGAGACAGACAGACAGAGCTACGAGCTTTTAAAATTTTGACTTCGCAAAAATTACAACTATGCCAATGCACTTCTGTAGATCATAACTTCTTCGTTTTAACACCGAATTGAACATGCCGCCTGTCTACAAACTCATATCGTCGAGCTTTACACACTGGTGCCTCTCAATTCCCCAAATTCATTTATGTAGGGCTTTTTCATTCCTGCAGCAACTGATGGGCCTAGATTGCTGTAAAGAGCCAAATGTATGAAATTGCCCCTTAAGTCTGAGTTCAAAGATCAGACCCCAAGAGTGTTTTGAAAGGGTAGCTAAGCCTTAGGAAACACCTTGGTCTTCTTCACCAATGAAACCAATAGTCACTTACAGATAAATTCTTGGCTTAGCATAAGAAGCTTGTGGCATGAGAGATGAGCATTCATGAGTTTAGTATGAGAGAGAGAGAGAGAGAGAGAGAGAGAGAGAGAGAGAGAGAGCTGCGATTTCCTATGAGAAACAGGGATTCTAAGGCAAGGGGAAAGGGATTCTAAAGGGGTTCGTTGAAGAGAGAGAGAGATGGGGAAATAACAATGGGTGTGTTGAGTAGTTTTCACAGCTTGACGAAAGCTCTGTCAAGCTCTGGAATGATTTACTATAGGAGAAAATGGGAGAAGATAGAGGAATGAGGCTCGAAATTGCAGAGGTTTAAGGGATGAGAGAGGAAGCTTGCTTTTTGGATGTGTGTTGCTTGCCCCTTTTTTGAGTTGTTTTGTTAGGTAAAAGGTGCCTCCTTTTTATAGAAGTTGGAAGCTCCTTCTTCCCAAGAAAACCCTTGTTGGTTCTCTCCAATTTTGCCAAGTCTTCTCCTTCATTTCTCTTCTCTTTCTTTGATTCAACCTCTTTTATGAAATCTCCCTCAATCCAAATACACAGAGACAAGATTTTTGGGAGCTCTAGAGTTTTCCCGCAGCTATCCCTGTGGCAATCTCCTATCTTTGGCTTCCATCTCTCCTTTTTTCCTCCCTTATTTCATGGCAAGAGTTAGTAGGGATTTGTCTTTGGCCATGTGTTGAAGATTCCCAGCAGCCTGCATACATAGGTAACCTTTGGCTTTTGTCGTTGTTTTGTCTCCAGCCTTGTGCTGGAGACTTTCAGATATTTTGTTGGTCACTTGGGCCATTTTTTAAGGTAATGGGCTAGTTCACTAAGGGGATGGGCCAATGGACTATTTTTACTAAGGAGATGGGCCAATGGACTATTTTTACTAAGGAGATGGGCCAATTTTCTAGGGTAATGAGCTACCTTTTTCTCTCTTTCATGCTTACCCACATATTTGGGCTCAAAAATGGGCTTGAGTTTTGGGGCTCCCAAGCAACCCAAACTTCCACTTCTTGACTCATCAATTGGCCTCGTGAATGCTCATGACCATCCATACCACAGCCCTCTTAGCAAGCCCCAGGCAGTCGCGTGGCTTACGCCCACTTAAGCTTGTAGCGTGGCGTATTACTCATTTGTTTAGCGTGGCACGTGTGCAAGCTCATATGATGAACTCTCTACTACCCAAGTTGGGTTTCTTCCCAAGTTAGATGTCGTACTAGGCTAGAAATATATTTGGGCCCACCATTGGATTTTTTGGGCCTCAACAATTTCTAAACAAAAAGTGACTAAAGTGCCCTTACATCCAAGAGCAAAAATGTAATTTTACAATAAATAATCTATTGAACAGTGATTTTTGGGACGGGGTGTTACATGACATCTTTTAGTTGTCCCCCAATATCACTTATCAAACTATAAAGCCATAAGCTCATGTTTAAGTGATGTAGAATGCATATTATTAGTTTTCCTTATTCTACTTGGATTAGTTTTCCCATTATTAGTTCTCCTAACTTTTAAAGGTTCCTTCTTGGTAAAGGATTTCTTATTAGCTAATTTGCTTTCCTATTTCTTAAAGATTCCTTCTTGTTAAAGGATCTCTTATTAGTTAATTTGCTTTCCTATTTCTTAAAGTTTACTTTTCCTTTTCCTAGGCTACAAAGGGTTTTGTCTCTATAAATAGAGCTGTTTGTAATCTTTTAAGGCAGACTTGATTAATGATAAATTTCCTTACTTTAAACTCTCTTATTCCTTCCCTTTCCCTTCGTCTCTTCAATCTCTAATTCTTCTCTTCAATCCCTTATTTCTTCCCTGCTCTATTGCTCCAGTGTTTACTCTAAACCTACGGGCTGTTTACTCTAAACCCACGGGCTGTTCTACATCAATTGGTAATCAGAGCCTTCCCTCACTTTCGTTTGCGTTTGCTCTCTACCATGGCACCCCAAACCGTGGCCAGCCTTGCAGAACAATTTCATGCGTTTCGAGACAAATTTTTTGACGATATCACTGGCATGGACACCCAACTCTCCAAACTCAGCATTGACTTCAAAGACGAGTTGGTCCAGGCTCACACACATCGCGCTGACCTTAAAGACGAGTTGGTACAGGCTCACACATATCGTGCGCAGACAGACCTTGCCATCACCAAACTCCAAGACTCCGTTCAGTTGCTTATCAATCACTTTCGGGCTGGACATGTTGAACCTTCTACCTCCGCGGTGCTCTCGAGTTCATCTACGCCAACAGCAAAAAGTGGCATTCTGCCCAATCCACCGGTGGATCAAAAACTCAAAGCCGTGCCATACGGCATGTCGCATGGCTCAACTGGGCTCTCGCTTGATGCACCCAAGGCTCAATTGGAGCCCCTCTTTTCTTCTGGGTCTCTGCCACCGCCCCATTATACCCAACACACAACGGGCCCTCCGCCCGTGACTACTCAGGCTCATACCCTGCCACCCCTTCCACATGATCACGCCACTCATCGCCATTTTGACAACGATGTCATCTGCCACATCAAGCCTACCACTCCTACTTTTGATGGTCATGGGGATCCTATGATGTTTCTTGATTGGGTTCAGGCCATGGAAGATTACTTCGCCTGGTACGACTTGACGGATGCTCATAAACTTCGCATTGGTAAGTTGACGCTACAGGGAGCCGCTAGACAATATTGGAATTCCGTGGAACAGCAACTATACCAATTTGGACAGCCACCTGTGACCCTCTGGGACGAGATGAAATTAAAGCTTCGCGAACAATATCTTCCCACCTTTTATCGCCATCAATTGTATGACCAATTATGGACCCTTTCACAAGGCAGTTTGACCGTTACTGAATTCCACGCTCGTTTTGTCAAACACAAGATACGTGCGGGGATTCGTGAAGAACCCGACATCACTATGTCTCGCTTTATCCATGGTCTTCGTGATGATATCAAACGTGAAGTCTGGCAGTTCCGTCCGCATACTTTGGAAGATGCATATTGCCACGCATTGGAAGCTAAAACTTTTTTGCGTCCACAACGTAGATATACAGGGCATCTTGGGCACTCTTCCACTCCTACTCCAAACCGTGGTACTCCTAGCTCTAAATATGGCGTTTCCGGCCCACCTGCTCCTACAATACCCGCAACAGAAAAAGGACCAGTCCCATCCACGACTGCTCACTTCAAATGCTATCGTTGCCATGCTATGGACCACATCGCCTCTCGTTGTCCCCACAAAACTTTAACCCTTGGCTCCCTCAATGAGGACTCTTGTGTGGACAAATATGTGGAGCCCCTTGAACCTGTTTATGATCCATAACTTGATAATTGTTATGAGGATGAGGCGTTTCACCAACTGAGTGTTATGCTTTGTATTTATTCAGCACCTACATCTCCACCTCCTGATTCATGGAAGCACACGAGTATCTTTCAAACCTATGTCCCTTGCGGTACCAATAGATGCCAACTAGTTATTGATGGGGGAAGTACGTTGAATGTTATATCTAAAATTGTTGTCTGTTGCCTTCAACTTCAAGCCGAGCCACACCCCCATCCTTTTCATGTTGGCTGGGTAGATAAAACCAGGTTACCTGTTACTGAAAGAAGTCTTGTTCCTCTTCATTGGGTACTTGTCACGAGCAACTTTATTGTGATATCCTACCCATGAGTGTTGCACATGTGTTACTAGGCCGGCCTTGGCTTTATGACCGCCGTGTGAAAAGTTGCAGCAGAGAGAACACCTACACTTTTCAACATGAAGGAAAGAACATAATGCTAAAGTCTTCCAATCCGGCCATCAAACCAACTAAGGATGTTCAACCAAAAGAGAAGGCTTCTGAGCATCGGTTGAGTATTTTATCACCTGTAGACTTTGCTCATGAACTGCAAGACACTGGCGTGGTCTTTGCTTTCTTGCTTAAACCAGCATCTGATTGCACCCCCACTCCACTTGTCGAACCCATACAACAACTCCTCACCGAATTCTCTGATGTCATACCTGATGACTTACCAGATGACCTACCTCCAGCAAGAGAGATTCAGCATCCCATTGACCTTGTTCCTGGTTCACAAATTCCTAATCTTCCCCATTATCATATGAATCCACCTGAACGAGCGGAATTGAATCGACAAATTCAGGGGTTGCTGGTAAGGGCTTTATTCGTCATAGTTTAAGTCCTTGTGATGTTCCAGTTCCCCTTACCCCCAAAAAAGATGGCTCCTGGCGAATGTGTGTGGATAGTCGCGCCATAAATAAAATTACATTTAAGTATCGTTTCCTCATACTGCGACTTGAGGATATGTTGGATGATTTGGCTGGTTCCCAATGGTTTTCTAAGATAGATCTTCACAGTGGCTACCATCAGATCCGCATTCGGGAAGGAGATGAGTGGAAAACCGCGTTTAAAAACCCCTGATGGCTTATATGAGTGGCTTGTTATGCCCTTTGGCATGTCCAATGCACCCAGCACGTTCATGAGGGTGATGACTCATGTGTTACCACCTTATATTGTGATGAGTCGATTTTATATTATATATTTAACCTCATTCTTAGTATATTTTGGTTAATATGTTGGAAGAATTTTGATACTTTGAATTATATTTCTAATATAGGACTTTCGACTTCCTCTGGAGCAAAACATAATCAAATGGACGAATTTTGGAGTAATTCCAGTTGGAGGACGTACGTGAGTCACTTAGCTTGATCGTATCAAAATATCAGACTTTTCCACCAAGCGATGATTTCCTGGCGAATAAATGAAGGAGCAGTGCGCTATGCTGGAATAGTGACGTTTTGGGCTTTTATTGCGATTTTGGAGCCCAAGATGACCTCGGATGGGTTCGTGGCCTTCTGGAGAAGTGTTCGGAATATTTTTATCTTTAAAACGAGCTATCTTGGGCCAGATTTGGGAGAGATTTGAGACTAAAACGTGGCTGGGCAGATTATGGGCAGATTCTCCTAATCCAATTTGGACTTTATTTCCTAGTCTTATTTTACTTTAACTTAGTTTCCTTGTGGGGATTGGGTAGCTAGGTTTTAGGAGGTATTTAAGCTCCTTTTCACAGCAATTTAGGGATCTCTTTTTAGAACTTCTTTTGGCTTTGGGAGCAATTGCTAGGGTTTTGGATTTTCGCTACTTTCAGGTGTTTTCATTCTTACTCATTCGAATGATATTTTCTTGGATTTCAATTATGATTATGTGTAACTAATTCCTTTTGCTAGGGCGAGGCCGTAAGCCTAGCATGAATATGTAGTTTTATTAATTTTCTTATGAATGGTTGCATGTTTGCTTTGAATTATTAATCACTGTGTTTAAAACTATCTATCTATTTTAATGACTGATCACCATTAGGATATGTAGACAAGTAATTTGATGCAATTTCTGTTGGAACATCACCCTGAAATTGAGGAGGGCTTCTTGTGATTAGTAATTGTAAGTTCACTTAAGGCGAACATCACGCTCTTAAGGGTTGCATGGTTTTTCAAAGGGTTTTCACAAAACTTAATGAGTCTTGCATGTTTATATTTGATCTGAACATCACAGACGGATTGCATGTTAGATATACGTTTTCGCTTGAACATCACAAGGAAAATATGTATTAGGAAAACCTAACCTTCAAAGCATATATGTGGAAATTCATAAGTAATTGATAGAATTGCATAGGATTGCGACGGTGTTGGCTAAACCCTAGTTTTCTCTAAATTGTTAGTCTTTAAAAAGAAATCGTTTTTCTTCTTTGCTGTTATTATTTCCCAACTTTCAGATTTCTTTTATTGTTAGTTTAATCTTTTCAAATTCATAAATTTCAAATCTTTGATAAAATCTATTTTAGTTATTAATTAAGAGTTAGTTTAATTACAGATTAGTCAAACAATCTTTGGGGACAACGACCTTGCATGAGCATTTATACTACAATTACCTTGTATTTTTGCAAGTATTTTCAGTGATTTTAACCCTGTTTGCGCAGGTACTAAAAATCCTATCATATTGGTAAATTTCTGGTAGTTTATTTTGATGACATACTTATATACAGCCGCTGTCAGGAGGAACATCTCCAACATCTTATGACGATATTCCTTACTTTACGAAAGGAAAAATTGTATGTCAACTTAAAAAAATGTTCGTTTCTTCAACCACAAATTTTATTCTTGGGGTTCAATATTTCTGCGGCTGGGGTTAGCACAGATCCTGCCAAGGTGGAGGCTATTACTGGTTGGCCAACACCCACGACTCTGACAGAGGCACGAAGTTTTCATGGTCTCTCCTCTTTTTATCGACGATTTATTCCAAGGTTCAGTACTATTATGGCACCAATAACTGATTGTATGAAACAAGGTGCTTTTCTTTGGACCCCTGCGGCTGCCAAGGCCTTTACAATTTTGAAGCAGAACTTCGACATCCTGATTTGACTAAAGTCTTTGAAGTCGCATGTGACGCTTCCGGAGTTGGGATTGGTGGTGTGCTTAGCCAAGAAGGACATCCCGTAGCATACTTTAGTGAGAAACTTAATGAAGCAAAGAAGCGTTATTCTACTTATGATAAGGAGTTTTATGTTGTGGTACAAGCACTTCGGTATTGGCAATATTACCTACTGCCGAACGAATTTGTGTTGTATTCAGATCATCAAGCTTTGAAATATCTGCACTCTCAACGCACCATTAGTAGTCGACATGTTAAGTGGTCCGAATACCTCCAGATCTTTACATTTGTTTTACGACACCATCCAGGCATTGACAATAAGGCAGCCGATGCCCTCAGTCATGTCGCTACTATTTTGCACACAATGATAGTTCAGGTAACCGGGTTTGATCATATTAAGACTGAGTATTCATCTTGTCCAGATTTTGGGATTATTTTTCATGAAGTTTCCAATGGTAACCGTCGCGAATATGTGGACTTTATTACGAGGGATGAGTTCTTATTTCGAGGAACACAATTATGTATTCCCCGTACATCTCTCCGTGAATTCCTTGTTTAGGAACTACATGGTGGCGGCCTCGCAAGACATTTTGGCAAAGATTGCCTTGATAGAAGATCGTTTCTATTGTCCGTCATTAAAACGTGATGTTGCTCATCTCATCTCCCAATGCCGTACATGCCAGCTAGCTAAAGCTCGCAAACGTAACACGGGTTTATATACCCCTCTGCCGATACCTCATGCCCTATGGAAGGATCTTAGTATGGATTTCGTGCTTGGCTTACCTAAAACTAGTCGCGTCTATGACTCTATCTTTGTCTCGTAGTTGATCACTTCTCTAAAATGGCACATTTTCTACCTTGTGCTAAAAATACTGATGCTTCTTATGTGGCCAAGTTATTCTTTAAGGAAGTAGTCTGTTTGCATGGCCTCCCCATCTCCATTGTTTCTGATCGCGACGTCAAATTTGTTAGTTATTTTTAGAAGACTTTGTGGAAGCTCTTCGGTATTACTTTGAAGTTTTCTTCTGCTTTCCATCCCCAAACAGATGGTCAAACTGAGGTGGTTAATCGCAGTCTTGGTGATTTAGTCCGCTGTTTAGTTGGGGATAAACCTGGTAATTGGGATCTCTTGTTGCCTGTGGCTGAGTATGCTTATAACAACTCAGTTAATCAAAGTACCGGTAAGAGTCCTTTTGAGGTTGTTCATGGGTTTTCTCCCCGATCACCTGTTGATTTAGTTGTTTTTCATGTGGTTGCCCACGCATCAGATTCTGCTACGTCATTTGCTGAACATATTAGGCAACTGCATGATGATGTCCATAGGCAGATATCCATGCACACCGACACTTATAAACTGGCAGCCAATGCTCATCATCGTCAACAGGAGTTTCAGGAAAGGGATTTTGTTATGGTGCGTATTTGTCCTAAGCATTTTCCTAAGCAATCTTTTTAGAAGCTTCATGCTCGTTCGATGGGTCCTTATCGTATCATTAGGAAGCTTGGGTCCAACGCTTACTTGATTGAGTTGCCTGCAGATATGCATATAAGTCCCATTTTCAATGTTTCTGATTTAACTCCTTATCGAGGAACCTTTTCTCCACCTATTTCTATGGATGCTGCTCAGGGTTCCGCTCCTCATATGGTGCCGCGTATTCCTGCTACTAGTTCTGCCATTACAGATCAAACTGAGGACGTCTTGGGTCATGAAGTTGTGGCCTCGTCTACTAGAGGTTCTACTCGTTATCTAGTTCGTTGGGTTGGAAGACCTGCTACTGAGGATACTTGGATTACCGAAGCTGAATTTCGCCATTTGGATTCCACTCTTCTGCATAGTTATCAGGATGCTCTTCATGATCTTGATTTGGCTGCATCTTGTCCTCCCATCATCCATACTTACAAACGTCGTCATCATCCTTAGTCTTGGTTTACTCGCCGGTGTCGAGTTCTTTTTCGGTGGGGGAGAATGATGCAGAATGCATATTATTAGTTTTCCTTATTCTACTTGGATTAGTTTTCCTATTATTAGTTCTCCTAACTTTTAAAGGTTCCTTCTTGGTAAAGGATTTCTTATTAGCTAATTTGCTTTCCTATTTCTTAAAGATTCCTTCTTGTTAAAGGATCTCTTATTAGTTAATTTGCTTTCCTATTTCTTAAAGTTTACTTTTCCTTTTCCTAGGCTACAAAGGGTATTGTCTCTATAAATAGAGCTATTTGTAATCTTTTTTTAAGGCAGACTTGATTAATGATAAATTTCCTTACTTTAAACTCTTTTATTCCTTCCCTTTCCCTTCGTCTCTTCGATCTCTAATTCTTCTCTTCAATCCCTTATTTCTTCCCTGCTCTATTGCTCCAGTGTTTACTCTAAACCTACGGGCTGTTTACTCTAAACCCACGGGCTGTTCTACATCAATTGGTAATCAGAGCCTTCCCTCACTTTCGTTTGCGTTTGCTCTCTACCATGGCACTCCAAACCGTGGCCAGCCTTGCAGAACAATTTCATGCGTTTCAAGACAAAGTTTCTGACGATATCGCTGGCATGGATTTCGTTCTAGTTCTAAACTTAAAATGTTTGGATTTTTCAACCTTTATATGTAACTCATAGGTACAAATCGGATCTGATTCAAAGAACCACGTGTTGCTTGTCCTATGAATATTATCTTGGTTGTGATGTCTAAACATTATAAATTATACTTTTGTAAGATTTATCTAATATCTGGATCTTTATAGGATCGTAACACATCTCAATATTCTAAACAATTAATGTAAGAACACTAATATGAATAGTCTAAGTATAAAGAGGTCATTCATCATATTACCATATATGAATAGTCATATATATAAAGAAACCTAGTGATACAAACCATAAGACTATTTTGTAAAACATGAAGATAGTGAATAAGTACTTTATACATAACCAAATAAACTAAATAAGTTCATAAGTACTATTAAGACTTACATGAGATAAACAAAAGAAACATGCTAAATTATCCAAATCTCACCACTATCATCCTCCATGAGCATCCTACTTGTTCCCAGTCTCTATAGCAACATGACCTACAATAGATCATTGTTATTAGACTCATGAAAGGTATAAACTATTGTTTAAAGTTAATTAGCAAAGTGATATGTACACTTCAACCTTTTTGCCCTTCAGGCTAGCCAAATAAGCCTAGTAGTTCTTTTTCCAATGTCCATCTTTGCTTCAATGGGAACACAGTACCTTCGCCTCCTTCTAATCTTCTTTCTTCTTCTCAACACTTCATTTGGTCTTGAGAGCGTGGCTCCCTTTCTTCCTAGCTTTGAACTTGCCTTTGCCTTTCTAATTAGCCTTGGCAAAAGAAGTGGATCCCTCATCAAAAAGCTACCTTCTCATTCCCTCCTTATTTCTTAAAGGTCCTTTCAGCAATCACACATATGTTCAGAAGTTCTGAGAGAGTATGCTCCATCTTCCCCATATTGTAGTTCATGACGAACTAGGATAAGGAATCAGAAAGGAACGCAAGGAAGATGTCAATGGCCAAATTATGGTCCAGTGGACTGTTGAGACTTTGCAATTGCTCAATGAGTCCAATCATCTTCAGCCCATCTTGGTGAATTGGTGGTTCCTTGACCATCTTGATCTTCAAAAGCTCACACACTGCACTGTAGCGCCTGTTGCGTGTGCCTTCTCTATAGATCTCATGAAGATGGAATATGATGTCAGCAGCATGGATCATGCTCATGGTGTTTATGTTTCTCTTCATTCATGGAGGCCAGAATGTATCAGTTGACCTGACTATCATCATCAACGTGCGTGTCAAACTTAGCACGTGCTTCTGGAAAAGCATTTCTAGCAAGGGGCTCTATGTCAGGAGCTTGCCGCACATATACTAGTTGGCCAAGATCCCAAGCCACTTGCCCAACTTATCTACAAAGATGGTTGGCTAGTTTTCCCCTTCTCCGGTTTCCTTTGGATTTAATGATATTTCTCATGTACCCTTGTTGGGTGATAGCAAAATAAATGCACTATGCAAACAGTTGCAAGTAAGGCTTTCAGGTAAAAGGTTTGGTTATATAAGTGTTTAGGTGTACAATGATAAATTGCTTGAATAGTTGGGTACATAATTTCAGGGCATGATATTTGGTTATATAGTTGGTTAAAAACAAAGTAAAGAATGACTATAGACTTTAATTGTTGGTTTTACCTTGAACAATATTAACTTATTTGAATTGTGATTTTTGGTAGAAAGAACTACGTGTGGCTTGATTTGTCAATATGGGTACGTAGGCAACCTAGGCTAACCTACGTGCAACCGCAAGTTTATGATTTTTTTGTTATGTTCAGTTATGTCAAGTTGATTTTGCTAATTAATATGCGATTTATACCTTGTGCTTGCTGAACACTTGGGAAATAATTGTGTTTGTTGTGCAAGTAGATTTCTGAGTTTTGAGCCAGTTTCAAGGGAGGCTCGGCCGATTTTCTAGTAAAAGTCAAGCCCTAAAGAAGTTTTGGAATTATAGCAAAAAGGCATTTTAGTAATTTGAGCCGACACACGACTGGTGTCGAATAGGGAGAGGGTTCGTCACAGATTTCAAAGAGGAATTTGAGGCGGGTCCTTCCATGTCCTATCTATTAATAGATGTTTGATGTAAGACAAATAAGACAAATGTTATGAACCACAAGTGAATAGTCAAAACAAGATGAAAATTCAATCCTTTAAAGAACTCACAAGCACATGAACTCCAAAATAAATGATCATATATGATATTTAATACCAACCTTTTCCATTATTACAACTTTATTGATCATATTAATATTATACATAACAACTCAAAATATGGTTTTACAACCATGGAGCCAGATTATTCATGATAGGACCTGACTCAAATTCCACTTTGAAATCCGTGTCAAACCCCATGCATGTCCAACACTTGACAAGTGTCGGGCATGAATGACCAAAATACCCTTTTAGCCCTAACTCCAAAAACTACTTTAATATTTGGCTTCTACCGGAAAATCGAAAGTCTCTTGAAAAAGGCTTAAAACCCATAAATCTATATGCACAGCAATACAATTATTTTCCAAGAGTCTAGCAAGCACAAGTTATAAACCACACTAATTAGCAAAAGTTTCAATGAGCTTCAGGCCCCACTTTACCAACATAAGAAAATCAGCAAATTCGACTTGACAAAGCTGAATAAAACAAACAAATCATAAACTTACGGCATCACCTAGGTTAGTCTAAGTTGCCTACGTACCCTACATTTATTCAAGCTGAATTGGGAAGGGCATAAAATTCTTCTACCATGATCAACAACAGTTCACACATCATTTATGAAGGGAGATTCTTTTTTCTTTTTTCTTTTGTTTTTCCTTTTCGAGTACAAGGAGGGAGAATTCACACACAAAAAAACTAAGATAATATGGATTTCAAACCTGACGCATGGATGATTGTTAATTATTCGAAAGAAAGAAAAAATAACATGGAATAATATTTTACATTTTTTTTTCTTTTGAGACAAGCGATAATTTGAATTAAAGGGAGAGGGATCTCTCACACAACTAAAATGCCACGAGGGTTCGGACCTAAGACCTCTAGTCAAAGTCTAAGCTAATTTCCACTAAACTAGACCCTGTTGGTTGAAGTATTTGGTAGTAATAAGATTCAAATAATTAAACTTGCAAAATTGACTATCAACTCAACGATGTCGCAAGATTGACCATCAAAACATGGTACATCTAAATAAAGCGAAATATTTCTTAATACACTTTTTAAGCATTCAGAGCTGAGACTAAAGGCGATTTTAAAAACGATAAATGAATATGAACTTCTGCCAGCCACTTCAATTGTTCTGAAAACATCAACACTTACCAAAAAGGGTGGAAAATACTACAAAAGGCATTATCAAAATTTGTGGCATTATCAACGGACTTCAAAAATTTAAAGAAAACACTACATACTTAGACAAACCACCTAGTTTGATCACCTTCTCCAACCAGACCAAAAAAGGATCACCCCCTCCAGCGGCAGCTTTCTAAATAATATCACAGAAACTGTAGTCGGTGACAGGAATCTGTGAGGAGCGCTAGTAACAGTTGCTTACCCTGCCGGCCATAGAAGTCTTCCAGAGGAGATGGCGTGGCATACAACCAAATCCTTACTAAAACAAGACCCAATGTAAATGGAAAAAGCAAAAAGGGCAAAACAAGAATACTAGAATAATGTTTACCCTAACTGAAAGTATGTGCTGTATTAAATCAAATTATCTATATAACTTAAAAGCTTAATTGGTTTTCTTCTCTTCTTCCTTAACAGCAGTGTCAACTGCACCATCTGTGACCTCATCGTCACCACTGAAACCAAATTCATTTACACGTTTCTTGTCCACGGGATAGATCCATTTCTGGTATACGTATATCAGAAATATGACATCTGTGAAGCAAGAACGAAGACAATAAAATTAAAGGGGGGTAATATGCGAACCAGACACAAACCAAAATAAGTTCAAACAAACAGACAGAATAAACTACTAGTTTCAACTGGCCTTCAGAATATTATATAGTGACTTATAGTGCATCAAAATGTAACACGATAACCACTGGCCTGGGCTATACAGGAATACCGACTTCCCCTCTCCTAAGAATAGGAAAACTTGAGAAAGAAAAGGCAAGCGCCGATTTTTTAGCTTAGTAGCACTGTTCTACCAAAGAAGAAACCAGATTAAAAAGACAAAACCCCCTACACCCCTTAAAAGATCAATGTTACACCTTTTCTCATATCCTAACTAAACTATATCCAAACTACTTCCCGAACAAGGTGATTATGAGCTGTTTGAGGCCCTTCACTTCAACATAGTGCCACCTCAGACTGCAGCTTCCAGGAGGTGATTAGTTTTTTATTTATTTTTAATATGAGCTAAGTCATGATTTGAAATACCTAAATGATGGGAGCTGAACAAAATTCCACACCACCAATGTGATTTATCAACTAACTCATTCAAATTTCAATGAAGAAACAATTCCAACCCCAAAATATACACAGATTTATGTATATGACTACCGAGGAAAATAAAACGAAATAGACCGCATCTTACCATCACGGAAGACAGAAAGGCGATGTAGTATTGGCATTTTTATGACAAAGGCAAATAGATCATCGATGATGGTGTTGAGGAACTTGTAAGTCATCTGCCTCCAGGGTAGATGAGCCACTGACTTCAGCTTATAGTTAATGAACAATTGAGGGCACATCATAATAAAACCTGCAATGACAATGTATTCAAAACAAAGGGCACCAATTATTAAATTTTTACCACAAATAAGGTTAACAACCTAGTATACATAATATAGGAAGATTGATTTTTGTGTAATCTCACTATTATGAGATGCTAGCACAATTCTGAAAAATCTATTATTAAATCAGAGGGTTACCAAAGCAAATGAAACCAGTGTATAGAACAATAGAATAGATAAGGAAAATGCTAATAGCTTAAGACAAAAATAGATTACTTAGTTCTCACTACAAAGTCTTGATTATGCTCATCAGTATCTTCATTCTAAGGTTTTAGATTGAATAAAAGGGCCCAGACATAAACTTATCCTAGATTACAGTTATACAAAGAAGTCCAACCTCAGTAAGTGAGGTATACACAACAGTCATAAAGAGAATTGAAATGGTTTAAAGTAATTAACAAGTAATGCAGTTTGCTACTACTTTAAAAATAAGGGGCCATATTAGCATAGCAAACAATGGATGGAACCAAGAACTTACCAAACATGTAAACACAGCTTGTGAGTGAAGAGAGAATCCAAGAATACCAGCTCTTGTGACGCTCGTACTTAAGTGAGTAAACAGAGGAGCATGCAACAAGGAAGAAGAGCACATATGACAAATACTTCATCGCCATATCATCAAATTCTTTTGTCTTATTTCCTGCATATGACTCACGGTCTCGGAACCTCAACATTGGTATCCTCCCTGTTCTATCAATCTTGAGATGGAAAGGACACAAGTGTGTTAATTTTATAAACTAGGTAAACTAGAGATCAGGATCATTGTTTTAAATAGCTATGTCACGACACTGAGTCTCAAATATGCAGAGTTTCAAACATTAGCAGATAACAGCATAAAGTATCATGTGATATAGCCATATAGGTGGAAATCAGACATATGGCAATTTTCGTATTAGATAACAGCACTCTTCAATAAGAGTTGACACCCTACAGACACACACATATATTCCATTTGATTATCATCATCACATTTCAGTGTCTATTAACATTGTGTTCATCTCCTTATTTGATGATAATTCAACACACATGTTCCATTTGATTATCATCTTCATCATTCACCGTTAATGGAAACATTGTGTTCGTCAATTTATTTTATCATAATTGACAATCAAATGGATATATTACTTCTGATTTCCCTTTTTTTTTTTTTTTTTTTTTTTTTTTTTTTTTTTGATGATGATTCTTAAATGAAGACGCAGAAAATGGACGGTTCATATCATACCACATTGCAAAGGTGGGCCCCAACACATAGACAAACTCAAAACTGAAACAATCCAGATGATAATCAAAGGGCTAAATTATTCCTGTTATTGGCTGATTGTTTGTAGGAATGATACTTCAAGGGCTAAATAAGGATGATTTTTTCTAAGGATCATTCTTAAGGAGTTGCTAGATACTAGGAAACATGAGCATCCATAAATCTCACATTTGGAAAACATACAGATTCGTAACAAGTATAGGATCACCACGTGTCGAAACCTTTCTTAAGAAACCGAATATTATGCTAAATATTTCTCTTCCCAGCTTCTCTTCCCGAAAAATCAATGCCAAAATAACTCTCTTCCTAAATACCCAATCTTTGCACCCTCTCCTTTCTATCTTAACATCCCACAGAAAATCCTTTATTAATTTGTAGGAAAGCTACTCACAACCGACTAAATCAAAGTCTCCTTTATAAACACATATAGACAGCTTTTATCCACCCAGCTAACCTTCAATTCACTCTTTCCAAGAACTTAGAACATAACTCAAAAAGAGTTGCTAATAGGTCCAAAAAAATTAGGGGAAAAAAAAGTAAGACAAGTGTGGTAAGTTATTTGGCCTACTACTTTGTGACAGTACGCAAACTTAAACTGATACCTCAATGTGCATAGCCTTCCCAATTTTCCAAAACTCAATGCAGCAGCCAATTCCAGAACTTATAAGTATCATCCACGAAGTATCATTGTCAAGGAGATACAGGAAGACAATGAACTGACATATGAAGCTCACAATAACAGACTTTGCAGAAAGTCCTTCCATAGACTTATTTTTGTTCCAAAATTGAATATCTGCAGAGAAAAAGTTTAGACTAACAAGCCATCCCATAATCCTCAAAATATATGAGTAAATAAAACAAAAGAAAACTAAAAGAACAATCACTCACCATTCTTGAATGCCAAGAAGTCAAACACTGAATGAAGTAAAGAAACAACCATTGTGATTCCAAGGAGGTAAGGATTTCCTTCCAAGAACACTCTCTGTAAAGCATTACAAATCAATTAAGATTTGAAAAGACAAGAAAACCACTAAATATTAAATTGCATATATTGGTACTCAAGCAGCAAGAATCATGAAAATTATTAAAGTAATGAAATTCCACCAGAAAAACACATTAAACTAACTACCCAAAAAAGTTTCAATAATCATCTAAAGAGCAATTTAATCACATCAAAATAAAATAAGGGAGTTTCACTAAAACACCCAAAATGGGGGCTTAAATTATAAAAAAAACCCAAGCACTATTTAAACATATAAACACACCCAAAACCCATCATTACACACACTCAAAATCCATTTATAAACACACCCAAAAAGTTGACTTTGGGGTTGATTTTGGGTGTGTTTCTATGTTTAAATAGTGCTTGGGTTTTTTTATAAATACATGTCTAGAATTGGGTTTATTTATAAATTTGTAATAAAATAAGTGAACTAGTTACCCAATCCTCTACTTCCCTAAGGTTCTAGGTCCATAAATTTGCAATAATAAATAATTAAAGCGGCAGTATATGCAGATTTTCTTTTATATTATATATATTTTTTATTTTATTTTAAAGAAAAGGAGAAATTTTATTTCATTAAAAAACCATAGAGAAAAGTGGACAAGTATTCCAGCAATAATAGAAGGAAACAAGAAAACTAGTACAGACATTTACAACTATGAGAAAAACAATCCTAATGAAGACACTGCAGCCCAATCAAGCAAAATGGTTGAAAGGGATGAATTCCCAAAAATAGGAGAAACAGAAACCCACAGCACTGCCCAGTACTTTGCCTTTTCCCACACCTCCTCCACTTCTGCCCCCTGGCATCTTAAAAAATCCATTCATTTCTTTTATATTAATATTTTTATGAACATTATACCATATTTATGAGCTAGGTTAAGACTTATATATTGCATGGATTTCTAACAGGTACCTCCTAGGTAACTTTACACTAAATGACTAAATCATATTTTATTTTATATGAAACAGAATTCATTGATTAAAGCAAACAAATACAAAAACAGAGGACAAGAAGTCCACTACACTAAAAAAGCTCTCAGCAAAAGCAGCAAAAACAAGCATCCACAACAACAGAACAAGGCACTAGGAAACAACTCTCCAAACTGAATATATAGAAACGAAAGAATTATCCCCAGAACCACACCCCTCTTCCTATCGCCAAACAACTTAGGCCTCTCGCAGAATAAAGCCACACAAGATTGTTGAACAATCCGGCTCAAATTGGACCCCCTAAACAGCCTAAACCATAAGCATAAAGCAGCCAGGGCAGTGAACAGATAACCCGTACTCTAACAACCTTTTAATACATAACACACCAATGGGAAGAAACACCCATGACACTTGAGGGGCATTTTCTTATCAATCCTACTGATGAAAGTTGATGGAATACCCTTATCTTTCTTCTTTTATCGCCTCTATTAATTTGGAAGGCATCAGTAGGATTTACAAGAAAATGCCCCTTGAAGATGTCATCCAACACTCTGATTGTGATATAAACAAAGCACACTCCCCCACTTCCGCATCATTAAGATTCATACAAAGCCCAAAACTCCACAGCAGTGGATAGGAAATAAGATGAACATACTAGCCATGGACATGTTGTGGGGATACTGACACTATAAAGAGAGCAGTTTTCCCAACCCAGCACTCTTCCCAAAACCTCGCCCTATTCCCATTACCCACCTCCAACGATAACAAGAAGAGAAAGAATTGATGCCTTGGGCAAGGTCTTCCCATGGCAGCAACTTGTGCTCCTAATCACAACATTGGAATCCCAACTGTTCTCATTCAGTCATCCTACAGTGCTCACATTACAATGCATTATATATCATTTGTTTTATATTTTGGACTCCCCAATATTTGAAATGTAGTATCTTAATCTAATTTACCAAATTTCAACTGAAAATCAGTACTGTAGAAAGTATAGCAAAAAAACTGACTATTGAATTTATTAAATGCAAATGCCAGCCAATCTCCTACAGTAACAAAAATAAGCAATACCTTCAGTTCATCAGCCTCACCCTCAAGCATGCTTCCATAACTACGGTGAATTTGGAAAGACTGATCAATCTGCAGGAATAGTTGCCACTTGGTCATGCTTATGGGACCTACCTCCAGGTTAAGAGCCAATTCTTTCACTGTCTCATTAATTGCTATCATCTTATCTCGAAGTAACCAAAATTCATTGAAGAAAATAGTTGGAAAGTAGTTCCCAGTACTGGGCTCAAGATTCAAGTCTGCAAAACTGAAGTTAAGAAACCCAAAACTCCGATCTTTAGCATGTTTTAGCTCAGAAACCCGCATTTTAGTCATATAGAGGCTCCAGTCAAGTTACTGCTTGCACACAACCACCAAAACACAATGGCGACAAGGATAAATCTAAGAATTTATCAACATACATACTGAAAATCATATATTCTCAAAGGAAGATATTTTTATAAAATATAAATAAAAAAACAATATGAATTTTTTTCCATAATGAAAAGCCACCTATGCTCCATACATAGGCATATAGCTTTCAAGAATACAAATCCCCTTGACTAACCAAAGCTTTATTCCCAAATGATGATTCCAAGTATATTCGGATTTTTCATTTAACATAACGAGAAACAGGAAATTGAAGAAAGCTCAGTGTGTGCAGTGGCAGGAAATTATGATGTTTCTAACTGGCATTATTGTAATTGCATGCATCACTTTATTGCAGCATTGTGGTCAGACAAAATGCAGCAGGGAAAAATATAACTCAGCCAATGCCTTAAACTAAGGGTATTAGCATGGCAGCAACTGTATAGAAAATATAAAAGCTACGGTGTATTCCCAGCAATCCCCATTACCAGAAACCAAATTAACAGGAGAAATATCCAGGACTACATTCTAAGTTATGTCAGTATTTGTCAGTGTGTGTAAGTGCTTGCGTGGAGACAAATCAAGACACATCAACGTAGTTCAGGAACAAAATTGTACATGGCATGAAATCATGTACCACTATTACTGTAGCAATTCGACAGTATCATCAGAATATTGAACTTTATTTATGTCATATCAAGACTATATGGGAGTTTTTGCAATAAAAATAATAGAAAATATTGATAGTATCAACATCATATCGAGATGATATCGATATAATGGGACTTGCTGCAGTAAAAGTGCTATTTGAGGGCATTTCCAGGGATTAACAATCATTCAAACCAATAGAGAAAATAATCACCCAGCAATCCAATTATAAGACCAGAAAGCATGACCGTCAAATACAGTAGAAGGATACAAGGGGCAACATTAGGTGGAACAGCATTATGAGGGTACCTGCAGAGGGAAAAACCCAAGAATTGGAAAATTCATCGGAAAAAAAAACTTGTAACATGGGAAAGAGAAAACGGTAGCAATATGGAGTAAGCACTTTTTCTCTGGGTAACAATAAAAAAATAATTATAATTTATATAATTAGTATATCTTAGGACCTTTGGCAAAATAAATCCCATACTAAACCAACCTACAGTATTTCAACTTTTAAAACTCCGAAGCAAGTTCCTATAAATAAAACATTCTGCCAAATACTTGCCAAACATTGTAGTTATTTCAAACTCAGAAAACATACCCCGTAAAATCATCAACCAGATTAATAGTAATATTTGGTTTCCAATACGAAACCCACTCCACAGGACCAATATCTTCAGAATCACCTTGAGTATCATCAACTACCTGAAACAACCAACATGGACTTCATTAGGACTTATGACCGTAACACTATTGAAAAGAACATAAATTTTCATCACGTATTATTTATGAGAAGTCGAAGTTAACAATGTTGCAACATTTCACTATTGAAAAGAACAAGATGGTAATCAATGTTTTATTATCAAGGACATACATATTTTCTGATAGACAAACATATTGATATTAAAAAAACATCACCGGCCTGAATATACAGAAATGTTGACAGAGTGATATCCATATCGCTAAAAGTTTAGTAAATATTAAACCAACCACTAACAGTTAATCAAATAAACTTCATAAGATAGTATGATATGATATATACACGAAATATAGCATGCAGCGGTGGGTTGTAAGGACTTGATACTCTTTAACCACACTGTATAGATTGGATAGTTTCTCCTCTTATGAACCAACTCTAGAAAGGTTTTTTATTCTTACATGTATGGTTAACAGATAAAGAGAATACAGTTACCACTAGTCTTCTATGAATTGACTTTTTTTTTCCTTTTTTTGTTCTTTTTTTGGAATAGATAGGAATGTAATGGTCAAAATAGGCAGAGCCTCTTTTGTGAAGCATATTAATTATTAGAGGAAATTATTTTGTTAACAAGTACTTCATTTTTTTTAAAGCCTACTTTCAATATGTGAACTAGCCCATAAATATTTTCGAGATCCAAAATCTGTTGAACTCGAGCCTCAATCAAGTCCAGGCCCACTCAGCCAATACTCCTCAGTACTCAACTATCCACCTAAGCTTTTCTCTTGACTCAAGGCGTGGGTTTTTATCTCAAAATTCCTTGGTACAATTTTGGGACGGCTACCACTTAATTAACCCTTTGTCCCTTCTCTGATGTGGGACAATTGTATACAATACCAATTCCCAACAGATTTGAGATTCTAGTAATCAAAATTTTAAGTTCACTCATAAACAGTAATTGGAATCAGTAAATAAAAAGAGCGTGCCTCAATTAATGGTTCCTTCTCATCAGAGTCTTTCGAGTCCCCCAGCAAACTCCTTTTTTTATCAGCTTTCGGCTTTGGCAGGTGTGTCACAATAGCTGAGATGAACAAAAGATAAATTTTATTCCAGTATTCATGATGAAATGAAAGAATTAGAAAAGAAACTTTATGGATGAACTCCAGGAGACAATCTTACAGTGTGTCTTTCCAAATACAGCAAGAGGCTGATACTCTGGATCACTTGGGTCTGGAGGGTAACCAGAGCGTGCAAAGAAAACATGAGCATAGAGACTTCCATTGTGCTTTAATGCCTGAAAGAAGAAATATTTATCTTCATATCTTTGAACTTTGCAACCTATTGGAAACTAGTAACGAGAATATTAATTGATCATGTCTCATATAGATAAGTCTATAAGCGATACCTCAGATGGATAGTACTTCATAGAAAGAGATCTGGTACTCTCTGGCCCCCAGAGAGCATATGGAATATTAGTTTCATGCCAAACAAGTTCACGTTCACTGCCGAATTCATTGAACTTTTCACATTCAGAAAGATACAACCACATATCCTGAATAGAAATCATCAAAAATTTGAGTTTGACAATGAGAATGGAAAAGCTCTAAAGGAAAATAGTGGTATAAAAGGCCAAATCAGGCCTACTCTGAAAAAATAACAGTTAGCAGTTTGCTTAAACCTGTAACACATAAAGATTTAAACCAGAAATGGGATTTTTCCCCATAACACCATTCACCACCAAGTTCATTTTTATCCACATATATCTTTCTCTGTATACTCCATTTATCTTCCACAATCTTAGTGCACATGTAACCATGTGTGCGTTTATTTCCATCATAGCTTTTTATTTATGAGAAGAAAAAAAGTTCACTCTGTACAAATAATTATGTTTTGAAACCATACATAGCAGGCGGCAATATTCCCATCCTATCTATATGCGCAGTTGCTACAGTAGCACTTCAACATCCATATGAGTTTCAATAAACTTCCAACTGTCATAAACATGCAGGTCAAACAACTGTCCTTTTTATTTATATTCAGTTGTAATAAATCATAACTTTCGAGTATTGTAGAGGAGGTATATACTCAGCTTAAGCCCTTAATATTTATAATTATATACTTCCCCTAAGCCATGTTATTTGGTAGCCAAAAGATTTATTTTTACGTATGTTGAAGACACAAAAACAGGAACTTCAAATAATCGGCAAAAATAAAGAGAGATACAGCGTACCCAGATCTCAAAAACAACCAAAACCTCAGTAAAGCATACAAATTTGAGAAAATGAATGAGAAAAAGAGGAAGAGTAAGAAAGAGAGATGATTCAGACCAGGGGTTCAGCCTTTTGGAAGAGATTGGTGCTGAGTTGAGTGGGGTCAGAAGGCTTTTTGGGAGAAAAGAATTTGGAAGCGAAGTACCAAAACACAGCAATCCTTATGATTCCAGTGATGCTCTGACCAAACCCTCCTCCTCCTTGCTGTTGTCCGCGTTGGACTTGCCCTTCTGCTGCCGCTGCTGCTGGCGGCGCCATTTTCTTCTTCTTCTTCTCAGCTCGAGCTGTGGCTGTGGCTTTGCCTCCGCTGAGATTTCGTTTCAGAGAATGAAAACAGAGAGAGAGAGAGAGTTACGGGTGAGATCGAAATTGAAGGAAGCGTGAGAGATATTTGTATTGTTTATAATATTTTGCTTTATTTTATCACAAAGTGGGAAGTAGTGTTTCGGCGAATCTCTAATTATACTGGTTTGCCGAAGCTAAGTTTACATGACGCGAAATGTTTTAGGCTGAATTACTTTTTTTTCCTTTGAAAATTTGATTTTGACAATTTTAGTGTCGTAGGTTTTTTCCTTAATTGCTACAGTGCACCCTAAATATTGGTCAAATATCACATTATCCCTTGAAATTTTAAATAACCCATTTTGCCCCCTTTACCAACATTCTATGTCTTATTTTAACAGACTTGAAGGTAGGGGCAAAATAAAACGCAAAATGTTGGTCAACGAGGCAAAGTGGATCACTTTATGTTTTGAGGAACAATGTGAAATTTAACCAATGTTTCAGGGGTCACTATAGCAATTAAGCATTATTTGTTTTGTTGAAGTTTTATCTAATGAAGTTTATTTTTTATTCCACTAATGTTAGGGGGTGTATTCAATTAGGATTTTAATTGACTATTTTGGGATAATTAAGTCTTGTGGTATTCAATTAAAATTTTTAAATAATCTAAACAAGTCTTGTAGTGTTCAATAAGGACTATTAGGATTTGGGTTAATGACTGAAACGGTCCCCCAAATATTGCTCGAGTATTATTTTGGTCCACAAACTAAAATTTTCATTTGAACCGTTCTTATACTCTTTATTTTATATCAAGATAGTCCTACCGTCAAAGTTTGTGTATTATTCCGTGAAATTTAAGGACAAAACCATATTTTTAGGTGAGTACCCTCCTCTATAACAACCAAGCCAACGTAGGAATGCATTCCCTCTCATTTTTGTTAGAAGCTCCACCGAACCCCCAAATTAGAAATCTAGGTTTGTGATGTCGGAGATTTCAACGACCTCAAGTGGCGTGAGTTAGTACAGCGCATGTGGGACAAAGATAATTCGTCGGACTTCATGGACAGATTTGAACCCGAAAAGAAGGTTCGATGCTTGTGATAAAAATTGGATAGGTTATTATTTTGGTTGCAAAAGTTGTTCTTTTCCATTTATAATTGCTTGGTGAGGTCTAAAATTGGGTAAGATTTGATTTCTAGAATAGTAGAAGCAGTATGCATTTTTCGAGTGGGTGGATAATGAAACTTGTCCAAGAGGAAAACAAGTGGTCCTTGGTTTGCTTAGAAGACTTAGAGCAATGAAGGAGGAAGGTAGAGCAAAGGAAGAACAATCTGTGGAAGCAAAAAAGAAAGAACTGCAACATAAATTGAAAGAAATGGTTCAGAAAAAAAGGTTTTGGAATGGGATCATGGGCAAAGACAATTGATAATGTGGGTTTCCTCGATTTTTTCATGGGGTTTGTTTATAACATTTGTGATGAGTGGGAAGTTTTAATTGTTGAGGGGTTTGTTTCTTTGAATGTAATGGTGAAGACTTTTATTTCAATTGTAGAATGAATGTCTATTAGTGTTCTCAAAGTTTCTTGAATTGGGGTTATTTGAATATCTGGGAGATGCACATAACTTAATATTCCACTGAGTATAACAAATTAAAAGCCATTTCATTTGACCACACAGGCAATTTACAAAATAAACATCCATATAAACATTCCAATTACAGAGTTTGAGCCCTTCAAAATCAAGACCAGTTAGACAAAGGACACAAAATTCACCTGCCTAGAAAAGTACATAATCCAAAATAGACAACCAATTACCCAGTTTGAGCCCTTCTAGCTCAAAACTAATTACATATAAACATCCATATAAACATTCCAATTACAAAGTTTGAGCCCTTCACAATCAAGACCAGTTAGACAAATGACACAAAATTCACTTGCCTAGAAAAGTACATAACCCAAAATAGACAACCAATTACACAGTTTGAGCCCTTCTAGCTCAAAACTAATTAGACAAAGTACACAAAATCCTTCTGGCCAGAAAAGTATCTAACCCAAAATAGGCAAGCAATTACATAGTTTTAACCCTTCAAACTCAAAACCAATTACACAATCCAAACTCAGAATCAGAACCAATTACCCAAAATCCCCCTGCCCAGAAAAGTACATATCCCCAAATACATATGACACCCTTGGCAATAATTTCCCTTATTTTCAGGCCATGTTATTATCATGGGAAGTGTTGTCCAAATCTGCTTCTCCTTGTCCCCTTCTTCTTGCCACCTAAACAATGTAATAATGTCAGGTGTGTAAATGTCGAAAAATTGTTAATTAGTCAAATGAGTAAGAATTGAACCAAATGACAAAAACTTACACTTGGCTGTGAAGATGGTAAGCCTCGTCCTCTACTTATGCCTCTTCCTAAGCCGCTTCCTCTAATTGCATTTAGCTTTGAAGATGGTAAACCTCTTCCTAAGCCAACATGTGACGATGGTAAAACTCCTTGTCCATTACCTCTTGTCACCTAAAAAATTTATTGATGTTTATTGTTTTGAAATGACTTAAGCAATAAACAATTGAATGATTGAGAAAATAAAGCTTACACTTTGTTGTGAATTTGGGTAAATATTGGCTTGAACAACAGGCCTCTTCCTCTACCTATGCATCTGCCTCCTTGTCCATTACTTCTTGCCATCTAAAAAATTAATGATTTCAGTTGTCTAATGACTTATGCAATTTAAAACCACAAGACCAATCAAAGCTTACACTTTGTTGTGAATTTGGGTAAGCAGTAGCTTAAGCAACATTTCCTATTCCTCCACTTACGCCTCTCCCTCTACTTATGCCTCTTCCTCTACTTATGTCTCTCCCTCTAACTGTGCTAGATCCTGGTTGTGAAGAAACTTGTATTGGTTGTGTTTCCCTCTTTTCGGCCAAGGCGGCCGACGGAAGGAACTTTTGGTCCTTCTTCTTTTTTGAGTGCGGGGCGTGCCACCACCAAGGCCCGAATTTGGGCTTGAATGGAATGTGAGTAGATGGATGTGTTGCGTCCGAGATCTAACTTTAATCAAACGATTGTTTGGCCGAGCAAGGAACCTCCTCACGACCTAGGTTCTTTCAATACCTCCGGGTTAAGGCTTTATGTGAGCGACCAAATGATGTGGAGTGGGTGGAGATGTAGATGGAAGGTAAAACGTAATGAAACGGAGAACAAGTGCGTAAAGTAAAGGTTCTTAAACTTAAATATAATTTAAAGACAAATGCATTAAGTAAAGTGCGAAAAATAAATAACGTAAAGACGAGAATTAAAGTGCGATAAAATGAATCAAAGCGATAAGTAAAGCAAGAACTAAATGAAAGCGATAAAAACGATAAAGTAAAATGAACTTGAAATTAAACTTAATTGAAGTGCGATAACAATGAAATGTAAAGCAATTGAAAACTTGAATTTAAATGACAAGAAAATATAAATTGAACGATAATTTAAACTTATACTAAGAAAACGAAGAACTTGCTACACTAAGTGCATGAAAAGTAAAATTCTAAGTCTAGGAAAAGAAAAGTGCGAGACGAAAAATAGGTTTGTCTGTCTGATGTTGTGTGTCTGATGTCTTCATGGAGCAAGGTTTATATAGGGCACTCGTCAGCCCATGGGCTAGCCATTGAATGGGCAAAGGTCAACCATTCTAAAAAAATCTTTTCTTTCGAAGCCCCCCCAATATCCGTAGGATTGCATTGATATTCTGACATGCTTGATTCTTCCTTACTTTGGAACATTCGGAGTTACTATCAAATCTCTTGATTTCTTTCCTTGTGAGGCCTCCGTCATGTGCACATAATCTTCCAAAAATCTGAGCGTGAATAGATGGCTTAAACTTAGGCCTCCGACTTCTCTTATATTGCCATCCATATAATATAAGATTTCATATTATTTAATATGTATATACAAATATATATATATATATTTATATATATTAATATATTCATACAAGCATAAGTTGGGCAAAACCTCCTAGCCTGTGTGCATGCCATTCACTTAGCTATATATATACTTGCATATATATATATATATGTGGTTTCTAAAGCAGCCTATTTATCTATATGCATCACTCCAAAATAACTTGCCCATTTTGCCTTCCTAAAGCACAATTTTGGAGACCAGCAAAAAGACCCGGCCATAGCTTTTATTCATCCAAGTACATATATATATATATATATATATAATAAAACAAAGACTTTTCAGCCCAATTCGCAAAGAGATTAAATATCCCAGCCGCATCTGCTCAAAACCAAAAACTCGGCCGCATATTCATACTTTTATATTCATTTATATATATATATATGTAATATATAAAAGCAAAGAGGTTTCAACCTAAATGAACTTCAGCTGCATTTTTACAAGAAAACCCAAAGATTCTTGCCCAAAGAAATCCTGCAGTAACCAACATTCAAAGATATGCCCGAGATTTTCCTATAGTTTCGGCCGGACCTGGCCAGCTTCTCAACCACATCTTGTGAGGCCCAACTGCATCTAATTCTTGGGCAGCAAGGCTCCAACAATTTCGGCCGCTCTCCAGCACCATTTCAAAAAGACCTGGCCGTAAACCCTTCCGCCAAGTTCGAGCTATCCAAAACCCGGCCGAGATTAATCTCCGACAATCCCGGGCATATAAGCTCTGCAATTCCAACCGCCAACTCCAGCTACCTTCGAATTGCCCAGCTACGTCTCACAAGGCCTAGTTTTTTCCCGGCCGTGCCCAGCTGTTTTGCAAGCCTAGCTCTGCCAACGAATCCCGGCCGCACCTTCAGCTCCAGCCCAGATGTGGTGGATTTTTTAACAGCCCCAAACATTGCCCCCCGATTTGTTAAGCTCGGAATTGGTGCAGAGGTAAGCAAATCGAAACCCAAGACCTTTCAATTTCTGAAATTTGAGATTTTTCTTTTTTGCTTGCCTTGCATGTTATTAAATTTTGAATCGGGTAGGAATTTAGGAAGACATCAATTAAATTGGCGGGACCTTTGAACTTCCTATCCATTAAAAACCCTAGATATTTCAAATACCCAAGTGTTCTCTTTCATTTTCACATAACCACTTCCACCATAGCTATAGGCTTTTAGAAGGTTTTCTCGAAACCCATATCCTCTCCATCTTCACATTCATCATTTCACACACCAAATCCACCCGAATCAACGTCAAACTTGAAATTTGCAAGTTTCTAGGTATGTTGCACTAATTCTTGGTTAATTTTGGTATGATTTTGATGCATCTATAGCTTTCAAAAGTTTAGACTTGAAACTTTGAATATGTGAATAGTGCCATGATGTTCTTCGTGTTCTTGATTCGAATCTTGTTTGCTTCACTATATTTTTCTTTGATTCGATTTTACACCATGTTTGTAGGATGGAATCTATTCCAAGTGATAGTGGCCAATTTTTTGAAGATATGAAAGTGGCCATGGAAAAAGACTTGGGCAAGCAAGTATTTGCCTACTTTCTCAATGCCTTTCCCAACTCCGCCCAATATATTCTTGGCCCATTTTTCTCCGCCTATCCGGAGGAGGTGGCCAAGGTGTGGGTGACGTAGCCGAGAAGTGGCCCAACTTATTTTTCAGACTTCACATGGGCGCCCATTTGGGAGAGCACCAAGCCATTCAAACGTTGGCCGACAGGAACCCCCCCCAAACTGGATCCCACTGCAACTAAAGAGGCCCCATCAAAGAAAGCTTCATCCGCCGCCGGGAAGCCCAACAACTCAAGCTTGGCGGATGGCAAGTTTGATTGGTATCATTGGTTCAAGGCGTTGGAACCAAAATTGAAGGGCCATTAGAAGAAAATTGGGATTTATGATACATTGCTCCTATGTGCGGGAAGCCCATTTCCTTGCGACCGATCTCTCATCATTGCGGCCCTATGCTTTTGGTCTTCCTCCACCAATTGCATGAGGCTCCATTTTGGGATGATGACGCCCAACTTGCTAGACTTGGTCGCTATCGCCGGCCTTCGCCCTCATGGAGATGATTTCTCGGCCGCCAACCTTCCAGAAGCCAAGGCGGGCTTAGATTTTCACAAGTCAAACAAGACCTCCGAGAGCTGGGTGAAGACATATCTTGGCCATGACGGAGATCCCACCGACCCTCCTTCCATCAATGGCGTATCCTACACTGAGCATGTGGATTTCCTTGTGATGTGGTTGTGCAAGTTCTTGGCACGCCCAAAATCCAGTGGGATCACAAAGGAATTTCAAGCCTTGGCGGAGGTACTTGCAGATGGCCATCAAGTGGCCATGGGCCCAATCTTTCTTGCCTATCTTTATAGAGGGCTCCGTGAGGTAACCACTAAACCCATGGATTATCACGCTTCTGGCCCTATATGGATTTTTCAATTGTGGCTCCAGCTATATTTTCTGGAATTAAGTCCCAACACCGTTTGCCCAAATGATAAAGCGCTTTTGGGTCCACCTCTGCTCAACGCCCCACGCCGGAAGCATTATGTTGAGGATTGCTTCCGATTTTTCTATGAGTACCAGGAGAGGACTAGGGAGCATCTCTCCATTTGCCTAGATCACCGTTTCTCGGATTATCTAGCCCTGGATCTTTCCTCATATCCCACGGCGAAGACGAAAGATGAGAGACATAATATGTGGGCGAGCATCCTCATCAGCCGTGATCTTCCATATGGCCTAATGGTGAACAAAGGTAGCAACTATCATTGTGGTGGTGAGCTTTATTATCCCGCCGCCGCCGGCTACCAGCTTGGTTTTATACAGAGCATCCCTATACCACCCATGGATTCCGTCAACCTGCTTTCCTCTTGGCGGGTGGAATTTAAAGATGCAAAAGAAGTCACCACCTTGACGGATTTCAACCAAGACTTGGTGAAATCCTTCAGTATTCCGATTAGAGATCCTCAGTTTGGTGACTCTAACATCTTTATCCACTGGTGGAAAGAAATGTCGGCCGGTTGGTTTTCTCAACCATGCTCAGAGATTGAGGATAGGATCTTTAGGTATTGCCCATGCTCATTGGCCTTTCAACAAGAGAAAGAGAAGAAGAAGGCCCAAGCAAAAGGTAAAATATTTGCACTTTCTTCCTATTTAATTTTTTGACTATCTTTCTTTTTCCTAACCCTTCAACCGAAAAGGAAAATCCTCCCGCTGACATTATTGAGAGAGAGAGATCGGCCAAAGCTGCCAATGCAAATTCTGGGCGGGGCAAGAAAAGGCCCAACGCCCCCATCCAAGGTAAGCTATCCTCCATGATTATTTTTGCCCTTTTAAATATTTGCACTTCTAGCTTTTTGAATTCTTGATGGGCACATTTAAAAGCTTAAAACTCCAACTTTTTAGGAGATAGCCCCGCCAGAAATATTTTGCCCTCTCAAACATTCCTACGGCCCAGAAAAGTTCCGCGGAACCTTTCACCCCAAGGTTTGGCCGTGCACTTTTTTATTTTATTTTTTATTTTATCTTATTTTTTTTATTTTATAAATGTGACTAAAATAAGCTTGTTGCAGGTTCCCCAAGGCCGGCGGAGCATCCTTCCTCTTCTCATTCGGTCAGGGCTGTGCAATCGGCCACCACTTCATCTGCTGCTCTGGTAAGCTTATATCTCTACATTCTTGCATTTACTAATTTTGAAGGGCAAAAACTCACCCTTTTGCCCAAAAATGTAGGAAACTCAAACTTCCGCACTTGAGAAGGAAATTGGGGCACAAATCATGACTTCGGTGGGCGCGGATGGGGTAGATTCATCTCCTTAGCCGTTTGAATTTCTTTTACTTCTTTTATGCTTACTATATTTTCAAATTTAGTCGGTCGAGATCAATACCACGGGGCACCCGGAGGATGTTTCCACGGAGTCACACAAGATTATTCCCATGCCCGATGATCACGCCCACGAGTACGTGGCCGAGTTGACCGAAGAAGACTTCCCACACGTTCCGAACTCTCAGGTTCATTGAAATTTCATACTTTTAAAAATTTCTTTTACACTTGCCCCCAATTTCTTATCTTCAATGTTTGAACATGTTAGCGGGCCATTTTTGGCCCCGAACTTTCTTCGGCCGATTGAGGCCGAATTTCAGCCTCTTTGCCATAAGTTCGGGCTCTCCCTTGACTCGCCCTCTCGAGGCGCCCCAAAGTGGCCCAACTTTTCAGGTGATCTTACTCTCCCTTAAATGTATTTTCAAAGCTTTATGTTTGTTAGAGAGCTCACATCCTCCTTTTTTAGGCGGATGTGGTGGAGTCTACCGCCATTACGGTCGACCATGCAATGGTCACCAGTGGTGCGCCTTCCACTATTCCCACCGTCGGAAGTGCACCGCCTGAGCCCGTCCTTATGTTGACCTCGAGAGCTCCTACCTTGGTGGTCGATGCTATTCCGTCCGAACTCCAACTTGAGGTACGCCCCGAATTTTCTTGCTTATTTCAAATAAATGGGCCATTATTGTAATCCTTATACCCTTTTTCTAGATTGGCGAGTCTTCATCCTTTGTGCCTGCCGAGATTACCATGGATCCATCGGCGGAGGATGGAGGAAACTTGGCCATGGTCCCTTATGAAGAGGCCCATCTACCATCCCCTGATCAGGTATGAAACAATAGATATATACATATATACATGTGCAATTTATTTTCCTTATTTGAAAGAAAAAATATAATGCCCATTATTTTCTTGCAGCCCTCTGGTGATATTTTTGACTTCCTAGATCAGTGGGATGCATCTATATCCTCCGCGGAGGCTTCCACTCGCCTTGCCACTTCTTCCACATCGATCGGGGCCCTACCAGATTCCGGGGTTGAGGCCATACTTCAGTCATACAAAGATGGAGACCTCATGTCCTTGGAGGACAAAGATGAGAGAAGCAAGCTCAAGGCCGCCATTGAGAATTTGGCGAGTTCTAGCTTTTTCCCTGATCCACGCTCGGCGGCTATGATTACTCATCTCTTTGGTCAGGTGGAGAGGTTTGCCCCCCGCCGCCGTCTTTTTCTGGAGGAGCAAAGGGTAGGCCAAGACTTGGAGCAGCGGATTACCTCATGTAGTGCCACCATGAGGAGAGAGATCGAGATTGCCCGTCGAATGCAACAGGAGGCTGCGGATATCGATGAGCAGGTGAGGCAGCTTCAAGAGAGGAAGGCTGGCATTGTTGCCAAAGTCTCCGAGATTGTTCGGAGCAACAGGCCTCTCGAGGCTCAACTTCGACAGGATGCATCGGCGGTGGGAGTGTATCGAGAGAGGAAGTTGATGATTCAGTCTACCTTGTTCGCCGGAGATACCACGATGGAGAGTTTTAGGACTGCCCTCCGCACCCTTTTCCTTGATGCTTAGGTTCATACTTGGCCATTGGTTGGCCCGTTTTGTACTTAGCTAGTTTTCTTTTATTCTGTCACCATATGTGGTAGAATTAGCTTAGTTATTATTTCTTGAACCTTTGGTGGATGCTTAGGGCATTACTTGGCCCCATTTTGTAGTAGACTTTTGCCCACCTATATATATATATATATATGTGATATCTTTTGGAAGAGATCCTTTTATGATGCCTACTCTTCCAATCAAAAAATCATTATTTTATTATGACATATTTCTTCGTGGCGGATTATCTCTCCGCCATTTCCCAAACCGTTGGGTAATATTTTTTCAAAAATTGACCATTGATCGGCGCATCATGGACCCGACCATTTTGGTCACTTAACTTGTACGCCCCCTTTCCTAACACTTGGTGGACGAGAAATGGGCCTTCCCAAGTTGGAGATCACTTGCCAAATTTTGGATCCTTTGATCCCACCGGAAGAATGGTCTTCCATACTAAATCTCCGACCCCAAAACTCTTGGCCTTGGTCTTCTTATAGTATGCTCGAGCCACGGCCTCTTTTTGGGCCTTCAATCTATCTAAAGCGCCCAATCTGACCTCGTCTAGGTTGTCTAACTCTTGTGCCATGGCTTGCCCATATTCGTCCTCACTCCATTCGGCATGGCGAACCACCCTTAGGGACTTAACCGAAATCTCGAGTGGCAAGATGGCATCATGGCCGTAGGTGAGGGTGAATGGCGTTGTTTGCATGGCAGACCTCTTCGAGGTTCTATACGCCCATAGGGAGTTGGAAAGAAAAGAGTGCCATTCCTTGGGATTCTTATCAATCATTTTTTCCAAAATCCCATTTATCACCTTATTACTAGCCTCCGCTTGGCCATTTGATTGGGGATTATATGGGGTGGATTGAACCATCCTAATTCCCCAATTCCTCGTGGCTGCTTGAACAGCCTCGCCCATGAAAGCCGTTCCTCGGTCGGTCATGATGGACTCGGGCAAGCCAAATCGATGGATGATATTCTTCTCAATGAATTCTATCACCTCGACCTGGGTAACTTGCTTGAGTGGGATGGCCTCCACCCACTTTGTGAAAAAATCTGTGGCCACTAATATATACTTATGGCCCTTAGATGACTTTGGGTAGATTTGGCCAATCACATCCATTGCCCAACCTTTGAAAGGCCAAGCCTTGACAATGGGATTCATTGGTCCGGCCGGGACATGTTGGATCGGTCCATGCCTTGGACAATCTTTGCAACCCTTGACATATTCAATGCAATCTTTGAGGATAGTCGGCCAATAATAACCGTGCCTCATTAAAAGCCACCTCATCTTGATGCCAGCTTGATGGGCACCGCATATCCCCTCGTGGACCTCGGTCATTGCTACGAGTTGTTCCTTTTTGCCCAAACATTTCATGAGCAAGTCATCGGAACCTATGCGGAACAATACTTCATCCCTTATCACATAATATTGGGCCCTTCGCCGAATTTGTTGGCTATGTGACCCATTTGGATTTTTCAAATACTGCACGATGTCGTGCCTCTAATCCTCTAGTGCTATGGTTAACACCATAACTTCTGCTGGAACCCCTCTTTCAAAGATGGAGGGGAGAGATCGCTTCTCAACTTTAAAAAGCTTCTCAGAGAGCCCCTCAGAGATTTCCACTCCGAATGCTAATTGGGCCATGGCGTTGGCCTGAGTGTTATGTTCTCTCGGTAAGTGGGCGAGTCTCACATCATCGAAATCTTCCATCAATTGGTTGGCCAACGCATGATATCCAAGCAAAGCTTGGCTAGTCACCTTGTAGTCGCCAGACAATTGTTTTAAGACCAACCTTGAGTCTCCCATGACCGCCACACTTTTTACCCCAAGCTCTTTCAAAATTTCCAACCCTATGATCAGGGCCTCGTATTCGGCTTGATTGTTGGTACAATCAAAGTCCAATTGAAAAAAATAACGAGTTCGGAATCCTTTGGGCGTTTCAATGATGACACCTGCCCCGCCCATGTTAGATGTTCGAGACCCGTCAAAATAAAGGCGCCATAGAAATAAACTCAATGTGCCCACCTCGAGGAAATCCATCTCCTCTATTTCAACACAAGGGTGGGCTGCCAAGAAATCGGCCAAAGCTTGCCCCTTAACGGCCTGCTGGGGCACATATCGGAAAGTGAATTCCGCAAATGCCATTGTCCATTTTCCTATTCGCCCTCTAATGATTGGGCGAGTGAGCATATATTTTATCAAATCAGTCTTGGCGATTATATGCACCACGGAGGACAACATGTAATGCCTTAACTTGGTCGCAGTAAAATACAGGGCCAAGCAAAGTTTCTCCACCGGAGAATATTTCCTCTCGGTGACCGTTAGAATTCGGCTGAGGTAGTATACCGCTTGCTCTTTCTTCTCATCATTGTCTTGGGCTAGTAGACTTTCGATGGAGTTTTCCACGGCCAAAATATATAATTTCAAGGGTCGGCCCCGCTTTGGTGGAATGAGCACCGAAGGCTTGGCCAAATATTCTTTAATGGCGTCAAATGCCCTTTGGTGAGTCTCTTCCCACCAAAATTTCTCTTCATCTTTGAGTTTTAGCAAAGATGAGAAAGGCTTAACTTACCCCGCGGAGTTGGCTATAAACCTTCGAAGGAAGTTAATTTGGCCCAATAAACTTTGCACACCTTTCTTGTTTTTTGGAGGGGGCGCGTCAATGATAGCCTTCGCCTTATTTTTATCAATCTCAATCCCCTTTTGGTGCACCAAGAATCCTAAGAAATTTCCAGCGGATACCCCAAAAACACACTTTTTTGGGTTCATTTTCAATTGATGCCGCTGCATTCTTTCAAAGGCCGACCGGAGGTCATCCAAGTGGCCTAGTCTAGACTCCGATTTTATAACAACATCGTCGACGTAAACTTCTAAATTTCGACCGATCATGTCATGGAAAATAGCATTCATTGCCCGCTAATATGTGGCCCCGGCATTTTTCAGGCCAAAGGGCGTCACCACATACTCAAAAGTTCCAATGGATCCGAGGCACCTGAAGGCTGTCTTGTGGACATCCTCCTCGGCTATAAAAATTTGGTTATAGCCGGACTAGTGCCCATCCATGAATGATAAAATTTCATGCTTGGCCGCCCCATCGACTAAGAGGTCGGCCATGGGCATGGGATATTCATCTTTGGGAGTTGCAAGATTAAGGGGCTGTTCGGTAGGATATTTAGAGGCCCGTTTTTGTTTTTTGAGCCCAAATACGGATAAAAAATGTGTTTGGTGGGCTATTGACAAAAACACGGAAAAGGTTTTGAGAGAATGAATTCACGCCTAAAGCGTAAAAATTGAAAACGACAAAATGACGTTCTCTCCGTTCTCAACTCTAAATTAGAGAACGCAGAATTCTATTTGGGAAAACGGAGAAAACAAGGGAAACAGAGCACGCTTCGTCCCTTCATCTTCGTCTCTTCACCGCTTCGTCTTCATCTTCGTCTTCGTCCCCTCATCTTCGTCTTCGTCTTCGTCATCATCCCGTGATCTTCGTCTTCATCGTCATCCCCTGATCTTCGTCTTCATCCCTTCGTCCAAGTCTAAAACAGAAACACGCCCTTCATCTACGAGAAACAGAGAAATTCCTTGCTTCCCACTCTTGCAATCTTCCTACACACTCTCTTGGAAGATCTTGGTAAGAAAAATTTATATAAAATATTTCGTTTTAGATTTGGGTATTTTTGTATGGTGTATCTGAACTGAAATTTTTCTTCTCAGATTTCGTTTCACACTCACTTGGAAGATCTTGCTGCTCAGTCTTCTGGAAGATTTTGGTACGAAATTACTCTTTTTCTGCTATTTATGTTTAGATTTGGGTATGAAGACTATGCTGTTATTTGTGTTTAGATTTGGGGTTTTCTTTATGCTAACTTTAATTTAAATTTTGTTTATGTCAATGATTGAATTTTTTCCCTGTTTTTTGTAATTGATCTTAACTAGGATTGAATTTTTTTTCCCTGTTTTCTACGATCTTGACTAAGATTGAATGTTTTCCCTGTTTTCTGCCTTTGGTTAAGTCAAAGGAGTTGGATCTATTTTCTGGTTTTAATTTTTTTTTATAACTCTGGTTTCTGTCAAACATTTGGCTTTGTCATAGTAGGATGAAACTCTTGAAACAGGAGCTGATGTTAGATGTAATTGACAGATTGATTGTTGACTTTATATGTTTTCTGGTTTTAGACGAAACAGTGCTTAGTGCATTTGAGAATAAATCTGGACTAGTTTAGGAAGGCTATTCGGTAGTTTCTAGTTGTGCATTACATGATTGAAGGTTGTCATAATTTTCTTTCTTTAAAAGGATATGGCGTCCAAGAATGTTGATGGTCAAGAAAAAATGTCATGGTCTCCAAGACATGAGACAATATTCATACATATATTGCATGAACATGTGAAGAAGGGTGACTTGAAGACATCAACTTTTAAAATGAAAGTTTGGGCAGAAATAAGTGATGAGTTGTATGCACAATGTGGACAAAAATGTACTATTCCACAACTTAAATCTAAGTTTAATAGGCTGCGAATAGTACATCGTGACTTCTCAGATTTGATTGAGCATACGGGATTTGGGTGGGATCCTGTTGCAAACACAGTGACTGCCTCAGAGGATGTTTGGGCAAGTTACTTGAAGGTATTATAATAATATCATATAGAAGTCTTTGTATTATTATTTTTAACTGACTCTGATACATAAGAATTGGTTGTGACATTTGATATAATATAATTTTCATGGTTTGTAGAGTAAGCCAAAAGCGAAGCAATTTCGCACGCAAGGCTGAGCGTTTCCAACGATCTAAAGACACTATTCATAGACAATTTAAGCGTGTTTTGGGAGCTTTATGTGCGTTAGCACCACGCATTATAAGACCACAAAGTCGAGGGGAAACACCTTCTCAAATTTTGAATAACCCAAAGTATTATCCTTATTTTGAGGTAAGAAATTGATTGTTTTATTTATTTTATTACTATAATTATATATTTTAAATGATATTTAATTTAGTTTCTAAATATATGAATTTATCGCAGAAGTGTATTGGTGCAATTGATGGAACTCATGTTGTTGCTTGGGCACCAGCTCAAAAGCAAACCTCATATCGTGGTAGGAAGATCCTTATTACTCAAAATGTCATGTGCGCTTGCTCTTTTGACATGATGTTCACTTTTGTTTATACGGGTTGGGAAGGGACTGCAAATGACTCTAGGGTGTTCATAGATGCAGTGATGAGGCCAGAAAATGAGTTTCCTTTTCCAGATGAAGGTATAAACATAAGATTACAATTAATTATTATGTACATTATTTGTGTCATGCAAGTAATAAATTAAAATTACAGGGTATTACTATGTTGTGGATGCTGGATATTCAAACGTGCCTGGATTCTTGGCACCCTACTGAGGTGAGAGATATCATTTGCGTGATTATAGAGGACCTCGACAAGCACCAAGGGGTCCTATGGAGTTGTTCAACTATAGGCATTCCTCATTACATAATGTAATTGAGCGGTGTTTTGGTGTTTTGAAAGCTCGTTTTCCAATTTTGAAATTGATGCCTAATTATCCTCCGAGAAGGCAACGACGAATTCCTATTGCATGTTGTATGTTACATAATTTTATAAGAAAAGAAGCTCGTCGTGATAGGATGTTTGAAGAGTTTCAAGTTGAAGACATGATCATTGATTCAGAAAATACAACAACACCGAATATAGATATGTCTGCAGGAAATATTGCACAAATGGGTGACATTAGAGACAAGATCGCAGCGGATTTGTGGCGGGATTTTATTTAGTGCTCATGACAACATGATTTTAAATTTTATATTGCATATATTTTAGTTATTTGTGAGACTATGAGAGATTTGATCTATGATTTAAGATTATATCTTGGAGGACATGAGACCATTTTGGGTTAGCTAATGCAGGTATTGGATAATGATAATTAATTTGACCATTGCACAATTTTAAAGAATGTTTATGGCTTATTAATAAGCCTGATAAGATATGTGCTACACAAAATATTTGATTTATGATGTTGAAACTAATTATTACAATACTGTTACCGAACGCATATTCACTGTTTTTGTCATTTTCATATGTTTGTACCGGACACGTTTTCACTGTTTTCGTTCTCGGAAAATGTTTTCCAATTAGCGTACCAGACGCATTCTCGAATCTTGAAAATGCAAATTCGTTTTCTCGTTTTCATTTTCTGAAAATATTCTCCGAAAACATTCTCCGAAAACGTTACCGAACGGACCCTAAGATTGCGAAAATCAACACATATTCTTATTGCTCCCGTTTTTTTCTTTACATGTACAATATTTGAAAGTCATTCTACATATCTAGCTAGCCTAATAAATTTGGCTTTTACAAGCCTTACAATTTCTTCCTTAACCTGTAATTCTACTTATGCCGACATTCGGCGGGGCAGCTACTTGAAGGGCTTGAAATCTTCCACCGTTGGTAGGCAATGCTCAACTAAGTCGCGACTCAATTCGGGCATCTCGGTGTAATCCCAAGCGAAGCAATCCTTGAACTCTCTCAAAAGCTCTTCCATCTTGGCCCGAAGTTCTGGCTCCATTAGACCACTAATGTAGATCGGTCGATGGTTGTCTTCCGTCCCCAAGTTGATTTCTAACAAAGGGTCTTGGACTTCCGCCTTCGAATCATCCATCTCGCTTGGTGCCAACTCTACTTTTTCGAGCTCAAGTGCATCATCTTCCAGGCCTTCATGAAGAAATTCCACCAAGTTGGCGGTGGACCCATGCTCGGTTGCTCTTTCGGCCCAAAAACCATATAGCCATCTCAAAGTGTCTTCCACCGCGGCCTTCTTCTCTTCCTCTATGTTTGTATCACTCATTGAGGGAGAAAAAAATCAGCTATAGTGGGACGCTCCCCATCCGCTTGGGCATCATGTGCCCCCAAGTCTATCAACTTTTGGGCCGAGACTCCCGTAGGTCGGTCGTTCTTATTTGACCTCGTAAAATAAAGGGGCCCAATGTCATCTTCATAAAACTTTGCCTTTACGGCATTGGTGGAGGCCATGAAGGGCCGTACATTGGCCTGAACAATCTCTACACTTCCATCCTCGTGCCAAAATTGTAAAAATTGATGAAGTGAAGAGGGCACGCACATGCTTTCATGGATCCAATCTCGGCCCAACAAAGCATTGAAATGGGCCGTTGTCTCCACCACAAAGAAGGCAGTCATTCTAACTTTTTGCCCCACTCTAACTTGGAGTGGGAGAATCCCTTTTGAAGTTGTGGTGTCTCCCACGAACCCACTGACCGTTGTCTCGGTCGGGATTAACTCATCTGAGCCTTTCTTTAATTTCCTCATGATTGAGGCTGGTAGGATGTTGACCGTAGCCCCCATATCCACAAGGACTTTACTCACCGGAACTCCATCGAAATGAGCTCCCACATACAAGGGCTTAAGGTGGGAGGACATTTTCTTGGTGGGCATGTCATAGCACACCTTCTCGGCCACTTTTTCCTCCTTTTCGGGCACCATGATGCAAGGTTGGGCATTCCCTTCCTTTGGAGTTTCTTAGGCCATCTCAATTTCTTTGGCCCTTTCCATTTGGACCATGGACTTAACCTCATCGAACACATCTCCGTCCATAAAATTAGGTTGATCCGGCCGAGCTTCGAAAAATATTGGGAGTGTAACCATGGCATTTACCTCGTCAAAATCTCCAAACTTTACTTTGACCTTGCCCACTTTTAGCTCATTCTCAAACTTGGCCATCTTTTCATTCCGTTCTTTCTCTAAGTGTTCCATAGCTTCCTCCGACAGATCCTCTAAGTATTCGTCGTCCGCATACTCCTCATCATCCCCATATAGCTCTTCGTCTTCGGCTGCCGAACCTTCGAGATTTTCCAATGGCTCTTTAGCCTCTTCCTCAACCGTGTGCTCGACCTCTTCTTCTACCACATTAGTTTCAATGTCAACCATAACTTGGTCTTCTTCCGCCCTAGGCTCGCTTAATATTTTATAGGGCTCATCCCCAGCTTTTTGAACCATGTTTTGGTCATTTTCTTCTTTCTTCTCAACCTTGGTAGGCTGAGCGACTTTGGTCACGATCGGGGCCTTGGCAACCGGAGGCTTGACTTTCGATGGAGCCGCCTTTGCCTTTTGAACCTTAAGAGGTTTATCCACTCTCTTCTTGGTCGGCTCACTAACTTCCACTTTAGAGTTATTTGCCTCAAAAGCCCCAGTCAAATGGGCCTCTAACTCCGAGATTGGCTCTTCTGGGGCCATTACCACAACTCGGCCATTCACCCACTCTCGACGTATTTTCATCTCTTCGGCCGCGGCTACCTCCAAGGAAGCGATGGCATCAGCCTTGGCCAACTCCAACTCCACCAATCGAAGTTTCTCGCGAAGCTTGACCAATCGGTCAAGTTGGGCTTGCCTTTAGTCCGCCCAATCTAACTCTGCCTTTGAGCCCTTCTCGTTTGAGTCTTGCTCAAAGGTACATGCGGGAGTTTTAGGCCCCTACTTCTATACCATTGGCCCGCCTTTGTGTTTGGCACCTTGAAAGTTGGGACACCACTACCGTCTGTGGGGCGGGGTCTTGATACATATGCCACATCTCGGCTTTTGCCTTCTCCCATAGAAATCCACATGTTTCAGTTTTGGCTTGAATCGGGCGAATCAATGTCTTCATATCTTAGAGAGGCATGTTGATTTCTCCTCTTCAGCTAATACCTCGGCCTCTCGTACCTATCTTGGTACTCATGCAATGGCCGTTTGTTCGGCCTCACTTCCATTTCGCCCCTTGGGCTATGTGGGTCGTAATTCTCGGCCGGACTTGTTATCATCTTCTTTTCAAAACTCCTAGATCTACCCACTTGGACTTGATCCTTGGTTTGCTCCTTTTGGTGGGTTCCTTGGGCTTTGGCGAAACTACTTCGAGAGTCACCTCACATTGGCATCGACTACATAGCACAATGGCCTTTGGAGGTTCTTCCTTGGTCGAAACTTTTGTCTCGGGAACCTTGGCCACCTCAAGGTACATTTTAGCCTTGCCCTTCGCCTTAGGATCCGCCGGAATTTCCCTTGCCCTTCTTTCTGCCGCAGCCCTTGCTGAGCCACCCAAGTCCAACCTAGGCCTAGGTTGGTCTGGCCTTGGAAGTTAGCATTCACCATGCTGACTTGAGCATTTGGGAAAGGATTCTGGTCGACACCCATTGTAGCTTTCTTCGGAAACTTCAAGATCTTCCGATCGATGAGATCCTGCACGGCATTCCGAAAAACCAAACAATTGTTAGTCGTATGAGACCACACATTGTGAAACTTGCAATAAGTTTTATTTCTAAGTTCGTTAGCCGACGGAATATCATGATCATTAGATAATTTTATGATCTTTTCTTTCAAAAGTTGGTCAAAAATTTGTTCGGCTTTAGAAATATCAAATGTGTGTAGGACTTTGTCACGACCGCCTTTTGGGAGGTTCCACAAAACTTGGACATTTGGGCCGTGGTCAGCCTTTGATCCTTAGAGGCTTTAGACAAAGCCTTGCACACATACAGCCCTTTGGCCACAATCTCGACCAAGTTTACCTCGGCCGACTCTTCTTCCTCCTCTAAGTAAACTTCATCACCTCTTTCTTCTGAGTCTATATCTCCAATATCTACCGCGTGGACCGCCGTAGTCCTAGACCCGGAAGGTTTGGTTGAATCCCTATAAAATGTCAGCCGAGGTGCTGGCCGCCCTTTTTGTTGCTCCTCCTTTAGAAGGGCTACGTATCGATCCACCCGAAGTAAGAGATCATAAATGTCGCAGAACTCAATTCCTTCGAATTTCTTTTGGAGGTCAAACAACAATCCTCCTTGGGCCAATTTTGCAAACTCGTGCTCCAGCATATTGACCGTACACCTAGCCCTTGCTTCTCTAAATCGCCCCAAATATTCTTGGACCGACTCACTTGGCTTCTGGCTTATCTTTGCCAAGTCGGCCATTGAGACTTTCGACTCCGGTCGATAGAATTGCTCGTGGAAGACTTGCTCCATAACTTGCCAATTCGGGACGGAATTTTGTGGAAGCTTAACATACCATGAAAAAGCTGCCCTCGTAAGGGTACTCGGAAATAGCCTTAGTTTCAAGGCCTCGCGATGCCCAATCTCCGCGCATTGGGCCGTGAATCGGCCAATGTGTTCGATGGTAGATTGGAGCCCATCTCCCGAAAATAGTGCAAAATCCGGAACCTTGAAACCCCTTGGAAATTCCTCTTGATCAAAGTGCTCCGGATATGGTCGCGATAGACCGGCCTACCAATCCTCCTAGCATGGGGCACCATATCTTGAATCATTTGTTCGACCGCACCTCGGTCGATTGCTTGATTCCCTAGCAATGGGTTGTTAGCATTCCCGCCGGGGTTATTCCAACCATCGACTCCGAATTGGTTGATATGAGGCCCAGCGAAATTGGCCCCAGCCCCTTGGTGAGCTTTGTGGGCGGAATTGATAATATGGCGAGAACACTTGAAATTGGTTGACCGCCGCATATAGGTTGTTGCCCATCGGCGGAATATTAACCACTGGGGCTTGGTTGCCCCCAGCTGGTGGATTCAGTTGGGGCGGATTTACTCCAAAACCATTTGGTTGGGCCTCCACTTGTGGCCCAACCGCTGGTGCTCCAATAGGCGCCCCTTGGTTTCCATTTTGTCCATTTTGCTAGCCTAACCATCGATCAAATCTCTCATTGATCTAAGCACTTTGAGTGACCACCGTTTGGGCCATTGTCTCCGTGACACGCATGAGTTGTTGGAGTTCCAATAAAGTGGCCGGATTCGGCCTCAATACTGGTCCCCCGGTGACTTCCGCAATGTCTTCGACTACCACTTGATCGTGGCCAACGGCCGTGTTTCGGTCAGGGCCATTTTGCTCTTGTTGAGTGGCCAGAACATTTTGTAGCTGAGTATTCGTAAGGAGTGAACTAGCCATGCTTGTCTCTAATTCCGACCGGAGTCTAGATTCTTCAACTTCTTGATCTCATCTAGGATTCCTCCTAGTGTTTACGACCATACAAAACCTAGTGATCCCACTGGGCGTGCCAAATTATGTTTCCTTCTTTTCGGCCGGGGCGGCCGACGGAAGGAACTTTTGGTCCTTCTTCTTTTTTGAGTGCGGGGTGTGCCACCACCAAGCCCCGAATTTGGGCTTGAATGGAATGTGAGTAGATGGATGTGTTGCGTCCGAGATCTAACTTTAATCAAACGATTGTTCGGCCAAGCAAAGAACCTCTTCACGACCTAGGTTCTTTCACTACCTCGGGTCAAGGCTTTATGTGAGCGACCAAATGATGTGGAGTGGGTGGAGATGTAGATGGAAGGTGAAACGTAATGAAACGGAGAACAAATGCGTAAAGTAAAGGTTCTTAAACTTAAATATAATTTAAAGACAAATGCATTAAGTAAAGTGCGAAAAATAAATAACGTAAAGACGAGAATTAAAGTGCGATAAAATGAATCAAAGCGATAAGTAAAGCAAGAACTAAATGAAAGCGATAAGAACGATAAAGTAAAATGAACTTGAAATTAAAATTAATTGAAGTGCGATAACAATGAAACGTAAAGCAATTGAAAACTTGAATTTAAATGACAAGAAAATATAAATTGAACGAGAATTTAAACTTATACTAAGAAAATGAAGAACTTGCTACACTAAGTGCATGAAAAGTAAAATTCTAAGTCTAGGAAAAGAAATGTGCGAGATGAAAAATAGGTTTGTCTGTCTGATGTTGTGTGTCTGATGTGTTCATGGAGCAAGGTTTATATAGGGCACTCGTCAGCCCATGGGCTGGCCATTGAATGGCCAAAGGTCAACCTTTCTAAAAAATCTTTCCTTTCGAAGCCCCCCCAATATCCGTAGGATTGCATTGATATTCTGACATGCTTGATTCTTCCTTACTTTGGAACATTCGGAGTTACTATCAAATCTCTTGATTTCTTTCCTTGTCAGGCCTCCGTCATGTGCACATAATCTTCCAAAAATCTGGGCGTGAATAGATGGTTTAAACTTAGGCCTCCGACTTCTCTTATATTGCCATCCATATAATATAAGATTTCATATTATTCAATATGTATATACAAATATATATATTTATATATATTCATATATTCATATAAGCATAAGTTGGGCAAAACCTCCTAGCCTGCGTGCATGCCATTCACTTAGCTATATATATACTTGCATATATATATATATATATATATATATGTGGTTTCTAAAGCAGCCCACTTATCTATATGCATCACTCCAAAATAACTTGCCCATTTTGCCAAAGTTTCTAAAGCACAATTTTGGAGACCAGCAAAAAGACCCGGCCACAACTTTTATTCATCCAAGTACATATATATATATAATAAAACAAAGACTTTTCAACCCAATTCGCAAAAAGATTAAATATCCCAGCCGCATCTGCTCAAAACCAAAAACTCGGCCGCATATTCATACTTTTATATTCATTTATATATATATATATAATATAAAAGCAAAGAGGTTTCAACCTAAATGAACTTCAGCCACATTTTTACAAGAAAACCCAAAGATTCTTGCCCAAAGAAATCCTGCAGCAACCAACATTCAAAGATATGCCCGAGATTTTCCTATAGTTTCGGCCGGACCTGGCTAACTTCTCAACCACATCTTGCGAGGCCCAATTGCATCTAATTCTCGAGCAGCAAGGCTCCAACAATTTCGGCCGCTCTCCAGCACCATTTCGAAAAGACCCGGCCGTAAACCCTTCCGCCAAGTTCAAGCTATCCAAAACCCAGCCGAGATTAATCTACAACAATCCCGGGCATATAAGCTGTGCAATTCCAGCCGCCAACTCCAGCTACCTTCGAATTGCCCAGCTACGTCTCTCAAGGCCCAGTTTTTTCCCGACCGTGCCCAGCTGTTTTGCAAGCCTAGCTCCGCCAACGAATCCCGGCCGCACCTTCAGCTCCAGCCCAGATGTGGCGGATTTTTTTACAGCCCCAAACAAGTTGTGAAGAAGAACCTTGCTCCATTTGGGCTGAAGATGTATTAACCTACAAAAGTATATAAGAAAATTATTAATGTAAGTACACCATAACATAGAACTAAACAAGGTGTCTAACAATTATACGTGTTGGTTTTCATTGTTTTATCCATCACATGTTGCTCTATTATGGCCTCTTGGACTGCATCCAGAACATTTTATTTGAATGAAAACCATTCTACGCTTGGCTGGTGGGGCAATATAATTTGGAAGCCTAGGGTTTGATGGGATGAGGGCTGGTATTTCAACCTCACAAGGCTCCTTTGTCCTAACACTTTTAGGCCTACCTGGTTGTTGCTTACAAAGTGGATGTTTAATTAGAGGAAGGCCACATTTATTCCAATGGTCCATTGAAGGGATGGGGTGAATCACTGGTTCATAAGCCTTCATATAAGTTTGGGGCTTATAACAATCATCCACATAAGCAGTTGGGTTTTCACATCTTTGAAATATTGTTGAGATTACATGGGGACATGGTATTCGATATAAATTCCACCTCCTACAAGAGCATGTCTTTGCTCTAAGGTCTACAACAAATTCTTCACCATAAATGTGGCTCACTTGATGCAATTTCTCACCAACCAATCTAGAAATGTATTGTGATGAACCTAGCTTGTTCTTCTCAATTATCTTGAAGATCCTAGTCCCAACAGAGTATAACCAATTCTTACATGCAGACCTCCTACTAGCCATCCTAAGTATCACATACACCCTTATCCTTTGCATCTGATATGCCTGCATTCAAACTTTCACATAGATTATTCAACAAAAGATCACATTTAAAATGTGACTCGAAGTGAAATTTGCTCCAATTTTTTGCAGGTCTCTTCGTCAACCACTTCCAAGCTTCCTTATCCTCATTTTTCATCTTCTCCATTTCTGCCTCCCACCAAGGCACAGTTGTAGCTCTTGCTGCAACCCATAATATATATTTTAGAGTAAGACCAATATGTGATGCCCTAAAGTTATTGTACAGGTGTCTCACACACATCATGTGCTCTGCAGATGGAAGTATTGTCTCAATGGTAGGTACAAGTCCCTGTTGTTTGTCACTAATGACTACCCAAGCTCTTCCATTTGTAATCCCTAAATCTTTATTAAGCAGATTGAAAAACTAAATCCAAAAGTCTTTACTCTCAATATCAACCACAACATAATCTACTGGGAAATAACCATTGTTCCCATCCACCCCGACAGCCGTCAAGATTTGTCCAGGATAAGGCCCTTTCAAATGGAAGCCATCAACACCAATAACAAGTCTACAACCCTTTGAAAATCTCTTCTTACATGCAATCAATCACACATATATCATCTAAAACACTGTCTTACCCTTCACAATTCGAGTTTTAACCTTCACTATACTACCCATGTTTGCATTTTTCAATTGTTCTGCATAATCTCATAACCTAGCATATTGTTCTTTGTCAGTACCTTCAATTAAATCTCTAGCCAGCCTCTTTGCCTTATAAACTTAAATTTTTGTGACATTTATTTTGTAATCTTCCAACACATCTTCTTGAAATGATTTCAAATCAAACTCTGAGTTGCGCTTGAGCTTGTTTGCATATTTGTCACAAAGCCAGTTTGATGTGGTATACCTAACCTTGTCTGCTCTTCCACACTAATGTTCTAGGCTCAAAGTTTTTATTGCAAATGTCCCTTCCTTTGTATCAATCTTTGATCCATATACTTGGAAAGAATATCCTTCCACACATTTGCCTGCCTGAACTCTTGTTTTTTTTTTTTTTTTTTTTTTTTTCACTTTCACCTACCATGTATAATTGCATGCTTGATAGCCAATATCAGTAGTTCTTTTGTTTGCAAACTTCATTCCCAATTTAAACTCAGGATTTTTCAAATCCACATCTCTTCTATACTGCTTAAACTTTGATAGTTTTTTCTTTTTTCTACCGTTACCCTAATCTTTAGTCTCACTTCCAGTGTCAAATTCTGATGTGTTAGCACCATCTAATGACACCTCTCCTGGAGCCCCATGAGTAGTCCCTCATCTGCTACATTCTCTCCAACAGTTAGCCGGACCTCTGCCTCATTTTCACAGAACTCATAACCACTATCTTTAAATTATGAATCCTCTTCTTCATCTTCATTTGGCAATTCTACCCTTTCATCATCAATTGTCACATTTGCCCATACATCTTCATTTGGTAATTTTGCCCATGCATCTTCATTTGCCACTTTTGTCCCAACATTTTCAAAAGTCTCCTCATCTTCAATATACGCCATCTCTTTCACTAGGTAATTCTAAGTCACATCCACATCACAATTCTCTGCATCTGCATCACAGTCATAATCTTGAATTTCACTTATTTCCCTCTTTTCGGCCAGGTAGGCCGATTGAAGGAGTTTTTGGTCCTTCTTTTTTGAGTGCAGGGCGTGCCACCACCAAGCCCCGAATTTGGGCTTGAATGGAATGTGAGCAGATGGATGTGTTGCGTCTGAGATCTGACTTTAATCAAACGATTGTTCGGCCGAGCAAGGAACCTCCTCACGGCCTAGGTTCTTTACTACCTCAGAGTCAAGGCTTTATGTGAGCAACCAAATGATGTGGAGTGGGTGGAGATGAAGATTGAAGGTGAAATGTAATGAAACGAATAACACATGCATAAAGTAAAAGGTGCTTGAATTTAAATATAATTGAAAGACAAGTGCGGAAAGTAAAGTGCGTAAAATAAATAATTTAAAGACGAGTGCGTAAAATAAAGAATGTAAAGGCAAGTGCATAATTTAAAGTGCGTGAAATAAAGAATTTAAAGACGAGTGCGTAATGTAAATTGCGTAAATTAAATAATTGAAATGCGAGTGCGTAAAGTAAAGGGCGGGAAGTAAACTAGATTACGAAGAACAGTAAAGAAACATGAATTGAAGTTACTGTAATTAAAATAGAATTGAAAAACAAGAACAAGAATGTAAAGGCATAATTGAAATCTACGGAAACTAGAACGGGAAAAATAAGAACTAGGCTATGGTTACATTATGCTACTCCTAGGATAGAAATTGAAGAGAATGTAAAATGACAAGTTGTGTGTTGTGTCGGGGGTCCTTTCTCTCTTCCATAAGCTTGGTATTTATAGGGGCTTTGGTGCGTCCCAATTTGGTCGGTCGTCAATTGGCCTTCAAATCAATCATAATTGCTCCAGAATATCTTCAATCCCTTGTCTCATGCTTGTGATTTAATATGAATAATATTTGATTTGATTTTCCTTCCATCTTGAGCTCTCCCTCAATAACTTCAATTGACCATCAAGCTGGCATAATTCCTTCCATATTTGAATTGTAACCTATGAAAATCCTCCTACTGATTATCTCTCTCCTTATTTAAGCATTGACTGATTTTATGTATTCGGCCGCTTTTAGTCTTCCGACCGTATCTACATTTTCGGCCGCATATAGGCTTTCGACCACTTTTACATTTTTGGCCGCATATAGGCTTTCAACCACTTTTATGCTCTTGGCCACATTGATGTGTTCGGCCAGATTGGTGTATTCCACCACATGTAGATATTCTGCTACATTTATGATTTTGGGCTTCTATCCGGCCTTATTGATTAGGCCCACCGAAATATAGCTTGGGCTCACTATTAGTTTAATTGTCAGATCTCGGGCCTGACCTGGTTAAATTTCAACCAGGCTCAAACATTGCCCCCCAGTTTTTATGAATTTTGCCTCAAGCTAAGTTTATGAAAACTTGAATTTAATTCTCTTCTACGAACACACGGCCGTTTCAAGATTTTCCTCTTATACTAGGCCCTAGACAACTTTGAACTTTAAACTAGTATTTCCGTAATATTGCCGAAGCAATCCGACTGTGAAAGTTCAATTAACTATTTCCATGCAGCTGCACTCTTCATTCTTTGATCACAAATAGTCTTTTATGGCCGTTATTAATTGGCCCAATTTCATTACTAGTTTTTTAGAACTAGCAAATCATTGATTGACCTTCTTTGACAAACATACTGCTTCTCTTACTTGAACCAACATAACCACACCATATTTTTATATTTTTAAACTCAATAAAGAAAATTAGCCATAATAATTGGCTATAATCATGGCAAGATATTTTGTGGGCAGTCTACCCTAGTTAATATGATCAACCTCCTTTTGGTTCAAAAAGGGAAGGTAAATGCACCTTTCTTTTCTTCTCCTCATGGCTTAGGATATAATATGTGATACAACCATTAATTGACTAGGGTAAAATGAGATTTCCTCTTCCCATTTGTTCACGTCAATTGGCTTTAATAATGGTTCACATCAATGTTAAAGCTGGCCATTGAATTGGCCCAAAACTTTGTAAAGCTCCCATTATTTTCAGAAAAGGAAAGAAAGAATATATATAATTGCTCCATGAAACAAATTTGCACGTCAATATTACTATATATATATATATATATATATATATAGTAATAAGATTCTCTAGGTCACCCATTAATTGGCTAGAATCATGGGGAAATATTATGGGTAGATAACTCTTCCCTCTCTTCCTTTATGAAGCCACGTAAAATAAATTCAATTTCCTTCTTCTACTTGCCCAAATAAAACTTAGCTATTATGGGAAAGTATTTTATGCCATGCGATAAAATCTTTCTTTACTTTCCTTCAAAGCAACATAAATATTCTCCCAGTCAAACTAGGTTCTCCTCCATTCATTTATATAAACCCCAGTGAACTAATCAATGAAGTACATCACCCTTATAAACACCAAAAGTGTCTTTGGCTATTCTCAAAGGTAAGCCACTTCTATCACCTCTTCTTCGGTTCCACTTCTATCACATATACATCTATATATTTCTTTAATCGTGATTTTTCCTTTGCTTTTCTGGCACACAATTAGGATTTGGAAGACCACGTGCCGTTCAAAAACTCTCTCAAGTTCGTGAGTTTCTCAATCTCGGCACTATACCTTGTTAAGGTATTTATCATTACTTTATATATGTATATATATATATACGCACGTATACATATATATTTTCTCTGATCATATGAATATGGACCTGTTGACATCTTCAATATCCCACAATGCATGCTTTTATTCTAATTGCCCATATGGCCATTTGGCTTCCTTCGTGGATGCAAGGCCATTAAGATGGCTTTTGTTTAATAATTCTCTTTCTTCTTTCTTCACGTGCATGGCCAATTTGAATCTTTGTTGTGGCTGCAAAGTTATGTAGATTTCTTTGGCCGCCAGGCCACTTAGCTGGCCTTCTTTTTTTATTTTTTTTATTTTTTTTATAGATAAAATTTAACATAGCATGCAGTTTTGACCATTGGCCCAAAAGGCCATTCATTTTGGTCGTGGGATTGTTTATTTGACCCAGCATGTAGGGTCAAATTATATAATATATATATATATATACATATATATGGAAATTTAATATTACTAACAAATAACATTTTGCAGATTACCAATCTTCCGTCTTATTATCGTTCTTCAATGTCTCCTGAAGAAGCAATAGAGTACAATAATATATTGGTTGACGCCCTTAATGAAGATGAGACCGCTTTCTCCAATGACTTTTATGATTTTGCGTCATTGCCTGCCACTCCACGCAACATGATCCTTGGTCCCTATTTTTACGGTCGTATGCCCAGCTCTGTTGTTAAAGTCATGCGACTGCAACAAAAAGACATTTGTTTGCTCGGAAAATACCTTAATTGGCAAGGTTGGGACCGACCCAAGCTTATGAGGGGTTGGCCTACTTCTGGGCCAGAAAAATGGAACAAGTGGCTTGATCGACTATCAAGCTTGTGCGATACGCAATGGAGGGAAGAGGGCATCTATGATGCAATCATGCTTTGTAAGTCCAGTTTCACATGTGACCGTAATCTCGTCGCAGCCGGTCTTTGTTTTTGGTCGACTTCTACCAATACTATGAAGTTAAGATTTGGGATGATGACCCCAACTCTTCTTGACTTAGCCGCCATGGCGGGTTTTCGACCACGTGGTGGTGAAGTAAGTGCTTTATCTTCATCAAAATGTGAGGTTGATTTCGGTTTCACCAAGAAGAACAAAAGCTACAAAGTTTTCATGGAAGCTAATGCTCAAGAAACAGGGCCACTCACGCATAAAGAACATCCAGCTTTTCTCATGATTTGGTTATGCAAGTACGTCTTCTGCATGGCGTCGGCGCAAGTTACTTTAGAAGTTCAGCCTCTGGCCGAAGCACTAGCAAAAGGCCATCGGTTGGCCCTTGGGCCAATGGTGTTGGCGTATTTATATCGAGGTCTCTACAATATGGTGCCACTCAACCCAATGAATTGCAATACTACCGGGCCGATTTGGTTGTTTCAATTGTGGCTTCAAGTATACTTTCCAGAAGTACGGCCAGCTCATGCTATATTTTCTCCTAATTCTCTTATTGGAGTAAATCTTTTATCTCTACCCCTCTCCGGCCTCAAAGTTGAAGATTACTTTGGAATTTTATACAATTGTGAAGGCCGTTCCCCAGACGAATTTTCTGTTTGTCTAGACCGAGAATTTCCTTCTTATCTTGGGTTGAAACTAAGTTCTCCTTCCCCAGCCGATAACGGCCGAGATGCCTTCCTTAAGAGCCTTTGGGCTAGCATTTTATTAAGTAGAGACTTACACCTCGGCCTGTCAGTGGGTACACATGCCAACTACCCATGCGGGGTTGAGATTTATTTCCCTTCTGCGACCGGTCGTCAATTGGGTTTCACCCAAGCTATCCCTCTTCCGATCACAGAATCTTGCAATATGGGCACATCCCACAGAGCTAAGTTCAAAACAAAAGCTGAATGTAACATGGTCTCTGTAGACAGCAAGCGAATGTGGAAAACCTTGAATCTGCATATTCAAGATGCCAACTTTAATTCTACAACCCACTTTGATACTTGGTGGAAACACGTCACCTGTGACTGGTTTACATCAGCTACTAACATTATTTTTGCCAAGCTTTTTCAGAAATGGCCGTCAACAATTAAGGATGCTACTTCCTGCAACTCAGTGAGCGACACAGGTATGCGCTATTCACGGCTGCAAGTTTGATTTTCAACTGCCCACATTATAACGATTCTCAACAATTTTTATCGCAGGTAACGTGGCCAGAGAAATAAGTTCCGCTTCGCCAGCATTACCAAAGAAAATACTGCTCAACAAGCGAAATCACTCAACCATGACTGGTAATGTCCTTACTTCTTTCAGAACATGTTATTCTCAGGCTTCGTAATTAATTGATTATTTAGTTTTAAATCAGGGGATTCATCTAGTCATAGTCAAGCCGCTGCTTCGGCCAAGCCTAAAGTAGTCTCAAGGCCTAAATCCCTTGTCATTCGTAGTATGTCCCTGTCCCTTCTCCCCTAACTTCTTTTCTTTGGCTATGCAATAACATAATAACTTTACTTGTCCTGTAGCTGGCCGAAAGACTAGCATGACGTACGAGTCAAGTAGTGATGAATATTATGATTGAATAGCAAAAGCTCCAACAAAACGGCCCAAGAAAGATCCCGTCATTGAGGTACTCTCACCTAAAGAATTATGCTACCATTTTTATAATATTCTTGCACAGGCTAACCATCATTTTTGTAGGATCTGCCTGACCTTTCCTCACCCGGCCATTCTCAAGAATTTATAGGCTTTGAGACCGAAGACCAATTTGATTCGCCGGCCGATAATACTGTCATAGCTGAGGTTAATGAGGCCGTTGTTGCGGCCTTAGCTGATGACAACCTAGGCAAACATATCTCCCCTTTCAATGTGGTTGAAATAGTTAAGGATACAACGCAAGTAGACTTCTTTTCTTAATCAAATCTCCTTCCTTATCCCTTATGGATGTTCACCACTTGATTTTTCCGCGGGAAATTAATGTTGGGATTTCAAAAACTGTGGCTTTATCAAAGACTCCAATCGAAGTTGAATTTGCTCAACCTATTCAAGACACTACTGCAATTACAACACATGAAATGAGTGTTCTGTAGCCTAGAAAGGTACTTAATTTAATATATATATATATATATATATTAATATAAAGTGAATGCTCGACTGCCACTATGTTGCTTATGTTATGCATCTTTGGCAGAAAGCACTCCCCTCAGAGGCTATATTGGAGTCACTTCAAGGCATGAGAGATTACTTGGCTGCAGCAAAGGCCGCCACCACTTCTTCATACAATTCTTCCTTAAATATTGCAGCCAAAGCCACCGTCCAAACCATCCTCGACAAAGACCATGCAAATTTAGCTAATGAAGCTCAACATACTCGTCTTTGCTCATCCATTCAAAGTCTCCTTGATGCCCATTTTTTCCCAACTGAGGAGGAACCCACAATCAAAGGTTTCAGGAAGCAATTGGCCGAGGGAATCCAGGCTTACAATCAAGCCGTGATGGAGTACAATGATGGCCAAGCCTTGACTGAAAAGATTCAATCAACTAACCATATTCTGCAAGCCCACCTTCATATATGCCACGAGGGAAAAGAAGAGCTGGACAAACTTGAGGAGGAGCAGAAAATCAACCATCCTTGCCAAGATTGATAATGCGGTCCAAGACTCTCAGCCACATCAGGTCAAACTAGAAAAGTTTATGCAGCAACAGGCCGATTTCCAAGAGAAAGAACACGACTACAAGAACTTGATGAGTACAAGGGCCGAATTATGGGTTAACTTCAAAACCATCATCCAAAAGCATCTTTAAAACCTATAATGGTCCTTTTATGATCGTTTTGTACTTTTATAGCTAGGCTGCATTTGAACCTCAAACTATTTCTCTTTTATTTAGTTGATGAACCTTTGGCTTTGGATATGACTAAATTTCTTGTTCTTGAAGAAAATAGTATCAGACTTCATCCAACATTTTGCTTCTAAGCTTAGACCGTAATCGCAACTTAACACCTTTGCATGTATTTTCTTCACAAAAATGATTTGCGGCTAAAACAATAAACTTTAGTTCAGCCGTTCTTGTATTGAGAAGAAACCTTTGACAGCCGACACTATTCGGCCACTTTCGTCTGTGAACTTTTGTAGTGCCCAAATCACTAACAAGTTCTTTATTTTTTCATATATATATATATATATATATACATATATATATTTATGGCCATAATATTAACATGACCTTTATTTGGAACGTTGTCGGCCTACTTATTTGGGTAGCGGCCGTTGAAAATAATATTTTTATGGAGACCAAGGGGGTGGCCATCCATGTTTAATTCCAAGTGGTGAGCCCTTCTTACTTTCTGCATGGATTTCACGATTGCGCAAGTTGTAAATTGGTGTGCAAGTCACCTTGGTATGACCATAACTATTTTTTCCTTTTATGCTGGCCGAATTTCCTTGCCCCCCAAGTCTGCTTGATTGGCCGAACTTGGCCCTCTGTTGGGGTCTGATAAACTTGACCATTTCTAATTGTGGTCTAATCACATCTGACTGGTCCCCTACAACCATGTCTATTATGACCACTTCAGATTGGGTCTTATTCAGACATTTCTCTTTTTGATCCTGTTGATCACTAATTTCAAGAATGGACGTATCAAGTTGGGTCCTATTTTGGTGTTCAACCTTGACCGCTTGTTGGACCGCATTCTCTTGGGCGGATTTTTCTTCCTCAACCAACGTGAGAGTTTCAATAGGAAAGTCAATTTGAGTTTTCAACTCTAAGGCCAACTCGTCCACTTCTCTCTCATTCACATATTCTCGACTGACTTCATTTTCCTCTAGGTAAGTTGGTGAAACAGGTGGCCGGACTGCAACCATACCAAGACTTTCCCCTTTTTCAACCAATGTGGGGTTTTCAAAAGGTAAATGGGTCGGAGTACTGAATTCCAAGGCCGATTCATCCACATCCTTTTCCTTTATACATTGTTGGCCAACCTCATTTTCCTCCACATAGGTAGGTAGAATGAGTGACCGTATTGTAGTCACTTGATGGTTTTCCTACTGTGGCTGAGATTTAAGATTGTGACTAAGAGTTTGCTCTTCTACTACAAGTCGCGAGGTGACTTCACGCAAACCTTGGAACAAAAGTTCGTTGGAAGCATGAAACTCATCCATCATATCTTTCACTTTAGATATTTCCTTTATGAAATTTTGATGTTCTTTGTCCATACGGTCAACATATGGCATTTCACCTATGTTAATATTATTTTGGTCGTTACAGCCAAAAATCTGATTAGCTTGGTGGAGGCCGTAACTAGGCTGATTATAAATATTGACCGAATTATTTTGTCCTTCGGCCACTTGATTGTACTGGCCATTATAACCATGTTAGCCATTCGCATAATTTTGATATATTATATTATTTTGGCCATGATTATTGTTTCCGCCATGTTGGCCATTGAATTGGCTACCAGAGCCATATTGATATGTAGAATCGTATTGGCCGCTATAGGCACCTTGATTGGTTTGGCCACCAAAGCCATTTTGATCATTCGAACCATTTTGGTTCATAACATCATATTCCCCAATATATTTGTGCCCATTATATTGGTCACCAAATCCTCCAACATAGTTGTGCCCACCATATTGGCCGCCAAACTGACTACTTGAGCCATAATGTGAGTAGATGGATGGGTTGCGTCCGAGATCTGACTTTAATCAAACGATTGTTCGGCCGAGCAAGGAACCTCGTCAAGGCCTAGGTTCTTTCACTACCTCAGAGTCAAGGCTTTATGTGAGCAACCAAATGATGTGGAGTGGGTGGAGATGAAGATTGAAGGTGAAATGTAATGAAAGTGCATAAAGTAAAAGGTGCTTGAATTTAAATATAATTGAAAGACAATAAAGTGCGTAAAATAAATAATTTAAAGACGAGTGCGTAAAGTAAAGTGCGTAAAATAAAGAATGTAAAGGCAAGTGCGTAATTTAAAGTGCGTGAAATAAAGAATTTAAAGACGAGTGCGTAATGTAAATTGCGTAAATTAAATAATTGAAATGCGAGTGCGTAAAGTAAAGGGCGGGAAGTAAACTAGATTACGAAGAACAGTAAAGAAACATGAATTGAAGTTACTGTAATTAAAATAGAATTGAAAAACAAGAACAAGAATGTAAAGGCATAATTGAAATCTATGAAAACTAGAACGGGAAAAATAAGAACTAGGCTATGGTTACATTATGCTACTCCTAGGATAGAAATTGAAGAGAATGTAAAATGACAAGTTGTGTGTTGTGTCGGGGGTCCTTTCTCTCTTCCATAAGCTTGGTATTTATAGGGGCTTCGGTGCGTCCCATTTTGGTCGGTCGTCAATTGGCCTTCAAATCAATCATAATTGCTCCAGAATATCTTCAATCCCTTGTCTCATGCTTGTGATTTAATATGAATAATATTTGATTTGATTTTCCTTCCATCTTGAGCTCTCCCTCAATAACTTCAATGGACCATCAAGCTGGCATAATTCCTTCCATATTTGAATTGTAACCTATGAAAATCCTCCTACGAATTATCTCTCTCGTTATTTAAGCATTGACTGATTTTATGTAATCGGCCGCTTTTAGTCTTTCGACCGTATCTACATTTTCGGCCGCATATAGGCTTTCGACCACTTTTACATTATTGGCCGCATATAGGCTTTCGACCACTTTTATGCTCTTGGCCACATTAATGTGTTCAGCCAGATTGGTATATTCCACCACATGTAGATATTCTGCTACATTTATGATTTTGGGCTTCTATCCGGCCTTATTGATTAGGCCCACCGAAATATAGCTTGGGCTCACTATTAGTTTAATTGTCGGATCTCGGGCCTGACCCGGTTAAATTTCAACCAGGCTCAAACATCACTATAGTATAACACAATAACCTTATTGGATGGTATGTGACCAATCATTTCAACCATTGTAGCATCTGATGTAACAAGCTCCAATCCACTTTCAACATTTCTACACCTAATTTCCAAACTTTGCTCAACTTGAGAAATGTCAACATCATACCCAAGACCTCTCCCAATTTTCAGTAAATCTAACAAGAACAGAAAATCCTCTACAATATTGTCCAAATAACAAACCTTACCCTTTTTATAAACCCCATTTTCAAACCAGCCTCCATGATGTAATTCCAGAATGCACATTCCATTGGTATCTGCAAACTTGAAACAACAATATGTTAATTTAAAGTCATAGTTTTGTTGTTAATGCTAATGACAATAATTACTGAGTTGAGTGTGAAGCAGACAACCAAGGGACCACATACATTTATAAAAGCCCCATATTCAACGTTTCAGACAAAATAAAGCTTACACTGTGCAGTCAATGTAGCAAAAGCCAAATCCACATACAGGAAAACGATTCATTTACCCTTACTTTAAACATAAAACAACCAAAAAGCCGAACACAAACACAGAAAAAGAAATCTTTTACACATAAAGAAACCACACTTCCAGACAAGGACAACTCATCCATTTCCAACCAAAAACAACATAAAATGCATTACAGAAGCCTTTACTATATTTGGGAGTCTTTACACCCTAACGAAATTCGAACTCCATTATCAGCAAGTAGTGAATTTCCCAAAATCCCCAAAATCAAATCCTAACCCAAACTCCAAAATTAACATTGAAATTACACACTAACTTCACCAATTCAGTGACTCGCACACTACTACAACATCGACCAATTCTGCAACTCACATAAGAATCCCTTTCAGTCCATGGTAATCGCCTAAAAAGAAAGAAACATCGACCAAACTGTAGGTGTTTTGCTTCTGAACGATAGAGCTTCTCAAAAATTCGCATATACTCTTCAAAACTCAGTCACGTGGCCATCGCATGATTAGAAGTGACGGAATCTGTCACAGATGGACCATCTTGATACAAAATAAAGAGTTTAAGGACAGTTCAAATGAAAATTTTAGTTGGTGAACCAAAATGATACTCGAGCAATAGTTGGGGGACCATTTTGGTCATTAACCCTGAGGATTTTTTAAAAAGGGTGTCCAAATCTAGTGGTATTCAAACAACACTTTAAACAAGTAACAAAAAGTCTTTTGGTATTCAAAAACTTGCTAATTTCGAAGATTTTTTAAAAAAATGTGGAATTTGTGTGACTTTTTAGTGGGAGGTTATAAATACCAAACCCTATCACACCCTAATCCATCAGACTTTTCACGTGAGATTTTTTTTGTCTGCTAGAAAAGATGAACAACTCTTCGTGAACAAGGTATTGCTTCCTTCTCATGATGTGTCTTCTTGCTTTTATTGTATGTCTATTTGCTATATGCCATGTTTGTATTTGGTCTGTGTCTATGGCCCTTCATGGGTTTGTTGCTACCTTTTCCATGTCAGTGATGCTAACTTTTCCATGTTTATATATGATAGCTCTATGGCTCTTCGTGGGTTTGCCGTTACCTTTTCCATGTTTATATATGATAGCTCTATGGCCCTTCACTACAATTGCTACTACCTTTAATTTAGATGACGTATATATATACATAAGGCTGGTGTCTTTGTTTATATGTGAACAGAACGTGTCTAGTCAACCCAGTCACAATAGAATTGTTTTCGTCTTTAATTAATTTGTTTTCATCTAGATTCCAGGAGTAGAGTAGGAGGACTTGTTAATTGAACTGAAACAACTTTATACATGCAAAACTCAACTTGGTCTTGTCAAAGACCTAGGACTTGCCATTAATATTTACCAAAGTTAGAAAGAAAATAGAAAATAGGAAACATGAGTGAAATTATTTTCTTTTCTTTTCTTCTTTGGTATGATACGTATTCTTGTTAAATAACTAATAAATTTCTTACATATGTTGTAGTAGTAATTTAAATGAGGGATTCACAACAAGGAAATAACAAAGGAAGGGGCAAAGAGAAAGAGAACTATGAATCTTGAACCATGGACGATACCAATGAGTTGTAACACCTCTTGGTGGATGCTATCAATAGGGGATTGAGTGATGGAAGTGGGTCACTTAGCAAGCAAAATGTAGAAAGAGTGATACTTCCTCATTTTAATGCAAAAATTAGGTTCCCAAAAACTTATAATTATTACTTGAGTCAAATGAAGTGGTTTAAGAAGCAATATAACAAGATGTCTACACTTATGCGTAACAACTCTGGCTTTGGGTGGGACTCAATTGCAAAGACGTTCACTGCTAGTGATGAAGTATGGAAAGATTACTTGAAGGTGAGCTTAGTTCATAATTTTTTAAATATATTAATAGCTTACTAGTTTAGTACAATATACTAACAATGAATAATTTGTTCTTTGCTTGTCCCACTCAAGTCACAGTAAACTTTGAGAAAATAGTGTAGTTAATTATGAGGATTTAAAGATTGTCGTTGGGGGTGGAACTGCTACTAGGAATGGCTCCATTGCATTGGGCCCTGATAATACTGATGCAACAACTTATGGGGAAGAAAATAGAGATTTCAAGATAGAAGACTTTTCATATAATCCTACAATGATGCGTTCATAGCAACAAATCACTATGAACCGTCCTACTAGCCTCCATAACCCCGCCAATGTAGTCCACTATCTCATTCCCCTTTAGGTTTTGAGGTTCATACAGAAAAACCAAGTCGCAATAAGCGAAGTAGATCTGACTATGAAGGGAATTCTAGCTCAGTTGGAAACAACAATCAAGCCAAAATTCTAGAAAATATTTCTATTGGTATTGAGATTATTTCTGCCAATTTTTAAAAAAATATCCAATCTAATGGAGAGAAGAGAAAGAGAAAGAGAAAGATAGAGGGATATTTGGGATGCTATAAAAGAGATACCAAATTTGGATGACAATACTCTTTACATGGTGAGTGATTTGCTTCATACTAAAGCAAAGAAGGACTTGTTCTTGAAGATATCATTGGAAGAGCGCTCATCTTGGATAAAATTCAAGTTAGGATGATTTAGTATTTTGATCATCTTGGATTTTGTTGAATTTGTTTATGCTATTTTGGTTGTACTTTGGTTGAACTATTGAGTTATAATTTGGTGGAGCTATTGTTATTATAATTTGGATAAACTATTTTAGTACTTTGGTTGAACTATTTGGGTTATAATTTGGTTGAACTATTGTTGTTGTATTGTTGGTAAATTTTTTGAAATCCCATACATATTACATTATTGTTAAAAAAAAACGTAAGAGAAAGACAACAACTTCACATACATATTATATTGTTGGTAAATGTTTTTAGAGCCTCATTGTACTAAACATGAACAATTTTTAATTTTTTTTATGCAGTTATTATATTGTAATGTGTATCTATATGACTTGACATGAGTAGAGAATAGTTGACATGCATATCAGTTCATCTGCACAGTATTATTTTCTTCTTTTTCTTGTTTTGCAGCCTCGTATATTTTTTTTACATATGTATAATTTCACAACCGAACATGTATGAAGGTAATGACATAGAGGAGGAAGAAATTGATGATGAAGATATGGATGATGAAGAAATAGATGAAGAATTTTATGAAGCCATTTACACATCAATGGTGGCAATTTATGCAGTAATGCATGTGCTAAATCAGTTTCTGATTATGACGCGTGGTGAACATATTGAACGTCCATTAACTCAACGACGATTTACTAGCATTGGGTATGACTAGTGGAACCTCCCATCCCGCTAGATTAATGAACCAACAAACATTATTCCACCTCAACTACTCAAGTTGATGCCTCTATGTCAGCACCAACGAACTTCGTTATAATTTGATTGCTCATACTATTTATGTCACGTGGCAGGGATTTGCCAACCAACATTTGAACTCTGCGACCAGAGGCAGCTTTGAGGGTGTGCAAGTGGTGCCACCTCACATGGCCCCCGATTTTGTAGGGCCCCAAAAGTTTTGTGTGTGTATATTATATATATTAATATTAGGTATAATATATATTGAAGTGTACAACGTAGGGGGTCAGTTTAGCATACAATGAAATTAACATTTGAATATGATATTCATAGGTGAGTGTATAATTTTGAACATGCTCCTATTCTGAAGTCTAACGTGAAGTTGAAATCACGGTTATTTACTTTGGATTAGTGGATTATTCATATGCTTTACCTTTGAAACTTTCTCACACACACAACAATATTCGTGCGGGGAGTTAAATGAGTTTTGAGTATTATAATCCTCTTGTTTTATAAAATAGAGGATTAGTTAGCATTTAACTACAAGTTCGAAAAAGTAAATCAGATTGAAAGTGACCAAAGAAGTCACAACCCCTTTATGCAAAAATCAAAGTAAAATTCAAAGAAACTGGGGTGAAAATTAAAGTGAGTTAAAAACTTGAAGTTGGAAAATACATACTAGCCTTTTCAACTCAAGTGAGTAAAAAATCTTTCAAATCTTTTGAAATTACTAATTCAGACTAAAATGCTAGTGGGTGGAAAAATATGATGATGTCTCTCAGGAATGGCAAGTGGAATATGGTGGGAGCCGACAAAAAGGTATGCTTAAGTGCCTCTGTAGTAGTCGGCTCTTGGCAGGATCCCAGTAAAGAAGGGAAGTAATGAATTGAATTGCAGACTCACTGGCAGATAGGATGTAAAAGGAGAGACCAAACCTAGAGAATTGTGGAAACTGATATTTGACATGCCTTGAAAGAAGCTACCCTTCAGACCAAGACTCCATGGTTGGTCTGTTTAACACACTGCAAATCTAAAAGAGCTTATTGGCCACATTTGCATCCAGAAAGAGAGAGCAGAGGTTGAACATCTCAGCCATTATTGCTCCCACAAGTTACATGTTCACTTTTGAATCATAGAAGTAAGGTGAAGCAACACCTCTGGGTCTTTGTACCAATGAGTTGTGACATAATCTGTGAAGGGAATACCTGGCTAAATCTTCTTAGCAGAACCCAAATCCTCAATCTTGACCACACCTTGCTTCACCAACAAGTTATTTGGCTTGAGGTCATGGTGGCAGTATCCATTCTTTAGCATGTAATCCAGGCCAAGAAGAATTTGATGACACAAGTTCTTGATTTTTGTCTCAGTGAATCTCTTTTTATGCAGGCGGTGCAGCTTCAAAAGTTAAGATAAGTTTCCCTCCATGAATTCAAAGACAAGGTAAGTAGTGCCATCGAATTCCAAGAAAACTTGTTTCAATTTGAAAATGTTGGGGTGGTTTCTCAACTTAGCCTCAACTGCTTCTACATGTACTTGGGCAATCTCCTCCATCTTCTTGGCCTCAACTTTGGCTAGTGCCTCTTCGGCATAGGCTAACTTCTTCTTCAACTGGTCTTTTTTTAACTACCTCTTTCTTGAGCTCATCATTTTTCCTCTCCAAGAAAGTTGTGGCATGAGGAATAACTTGGAGGGGACCAAGGTCACCATGCACTCAAGTTGAAGGTTGTTTGACCTTACTTACACCAACGACCTTTCTTTGTTCAACCTTTCTTTGTTTATCAAGAGCTCTCTTCAAAGACTCAACAAGCTTGGAGCTTGGATTCCTTGCTTCAATTGTGGTGAAATACTTACTATAATATAAATCAAATTTAAACTCACATAAAAACAAATGTCTCGAAAAGTAGAAACTAAGAAGTGCCTCACCTCTATTCTCGCTCAACCTCTCGAGGTTTCTCTGCTTAGCTCGAACTCTTATGATATGCTCCAATTTTTAACCTCGAATGGAAGGTCTTGCCCCCACCTATTTGCGAAATGTATTAGGATATCGACTAACTACACTAAGGTGAATTCAACGCAAAAGGTTGACCTACATGACATGCAAATATCCACATGCTCTATGGAAGCGAGTCTGCACTCGAGCAGCAGAACCCACATCACCCACTCTAAACTCCCAATCCTCCACTTCAAATTGTGAACTCTCTAACTCAGACATCTATTCGACATGTCACATACATTAGATCGTGTTCCAGAATGGGGATTTATCTAACTCAAATGTTGAGGTTGCCTCCCTTCGCATTCCAACTCTCTCAATTATTCTATATAAACTCCCCTACCTCTAATTCAATCATGATAGTACTTAAAAGCATGCACTAGACAAACTTCTTAGAAAGCAAAACCATAGCATGACAAAAACAATAGAGACAATTTATTTCATTTGGCATTTGCAGCAACATATGTTGAAATTTGCATTGACAATGGAAGTTTTTTTGGATTGAAATTGTGAATTGAGATCATAGAATGAAAATGCATGTTACAAAGAGTTAGTAGTATTTAGTATTTTTAGATCAAATTTTTGGTGAATTTTGGATCTTGAGGTCTTGAGGCTTGAAATGGGTCCACGTAAGAGTTGAGCGGCTGGGTCCAAGTCTGGAGGTTCCAAATATTGAATTTTGTTTAACTCAAGTGTAATGCATATGTGCTGATGTAAAATTGGTGAACAAGAAAAAAATGGGAAAAAAAAAATGAAAACTAAAAATATTTTCAAGTTGCTTTAAACTATAAGGGTGATTTGAAAACTAGATTTCACTTTTTTTACAACTAAAAAAGAAATCTGTTACCAAACATGTTTTTAGTTTTTAGTTTAAAAAAAGTGAAAATAAAATTGTTATCAAACAACTAGGGATGACAATGGGTCGAATTTGGGGAGGGTTTGTCATTCTTGTTGGAATTTTAAAAAGGTTTTAAAAATTTAATCGTTTTTTTTTAAATTATCTTGGCTGTTTTATTTTATTTATTGTGTGGGTTATAAATATTTAATATTTAGGTTTTATTTCTATATTGAATGCCTTAATTTTCTGGTTGGTGAAGGTTACATGTTCTTGGATGCCTATAAAAGGACACTCCTCCTTCACATTTGTAACAACCACAATACACCATCAGAATATCACATACCACAATCACCACCACAAACTAATTCTCTCATTTTCTACTCACATATATATATATATTCTCTACTTTATATTATTATTTTGGCAATGGTTCTGTGACTTGGATATCTATATCCGTCTATGAACGTGCTCATAGCGGATCTTGAGTTTGTTTACAAGGGGTCGTATCTTGCAGTCTTGTAGCTTGTCAGTACCTGCACGTAGGGGGGCTACAAAGGTTTTAGGACAACGTCTTTGATGTGCTTCACCATACCAAACTCACATTCTTACTTATTATTTATTTTGCTTTTACTTACCTACTATTTTGTTTTCTTCAATTTCATTGCACCTTAAAAGCTTTCCATTTTTTATTATAAGTTATTTACAATATAAATATTTTTGTATTTGGCTTTGCGGAAAAGGAAAACTATATTTTTTCATAACAATTCTCATCCCCATCTTCATAAAGTATTTTTCATCCATCACCACCTTCATACCCGCAATATTCAAATAAGGGATTCACCATCCTTGCGATCATAGCCCATTAGAAGGAAAAAAAAAACTCATTTGTTGATTGAGAAAAAAGCACTATGACCACAAGCTATACATCAATTCAACTTTTTTAAACTAAAAATCTACTAAACACCATACCCGAAAATTTACGAAACCGTCCTTATACATGTTATTTTATCCTTCATCCTCGACTCATTAGGATCGAGCCCCGCCCTTCGCAGGAAAATTGTGCATCTTTTTTTTTTTTTTTTTTTTTTTTTTTTTTTTTTTTTTTTTTTTTTATAATTTCTAATTTCATTTGTGTCATGATCAAATCTTTCTAAGTTTTTTGAATGAATAAAAATAAGTAATTTAATTAATTATAAACATGTTAGTAAAAGGGTAATTATAAGGTTAATTTTTGTCAACTCAAGATGGTCTCCCTATCATGACCCGTTGATATAAGGTAATGTACCAACCCAAATTCGAGTCAACTCAACATGATTAATAAAGGAGCATTTTTGCTCACCATTTTAAGTCAAGGTGTACCATCACCACCATTCGCAACACCTGACATAATCAAAGTTCCACAAATACAAAGCAAATAGTTAACTATGGTTATGCTTATAGACACATGTCAAGTGTTGAGAAGGGTGTGTGATAGTACTGTTTGGGCCACAAATTGGCATGCCCAGCCCAGCAAAAATTAGGCCCAGAATGAAGCTGCAAAAAAATCAAAGAGAGATGGAAGCCCAAAAGCCAGAGGAGACCAGCCCAAGACTCATCAAAGTAAGCAAGGCTAATATGGGCCTCACGGGCCCAATATAAAGGGGAAGCCCAGAAATAGGGACAATCCCACGTGATATCTCTGAAAAAAGAAAAAAAGTCAGCAATGGCAACTGTCATAGGAGAAGTGATTGAAGGGTTCATAGCATCAAGATCGATTCTGGAAAAAAACTGAAGATTAAATCCCTCTTACACATATATATATATATATATTCAGAGATTTTTTTCTGTCTTTTCAGAGAAGGTAAAACTCCCAAGGAGATAAGCAAGTTACAATCTCAGAGAGGGATAAGCAGGAAAGCAGGAAGCTGTCCAGAAAAGAATCAAACTAACCATCACGGGCAAAATATCGCAAGGGGCAGTTGAAATTAGGCAAGAGATTTCAAAGAAAAAAACAGGGAAGTGATTGCCTATCTGTTGAGAACCTATCTACCAGAAAATGATGAAATCCCCTTTTTCTCTTTTCCATTTTTAAAGGAAGATCTTTTGAAAAGATTTGCCGCCCATTATTAAAAGAATTACCCTCCTCCAGAAGACATTTCTTATAAATATGAGAAGGAGTGAACAGGGCAAAGACACAAAAAAATCTTACAACAAAAATTTCATCACTCAATCAAACAAAGATCCTACATAGGAAAACCCTCAAATAAACAAGCCCACTTGAATTTCAAGTGAAAAACCAGCTCCAGATCAGAATGCCCAGAATCCAGACTTAGGAAGCAAGTCATTCAAAACGATATTTCTCTCGTTACAAATTTGGTTCAGCAAAAACCAACACAAGCAGAGTTTGAGCCTCCTCCAAGTATGGAAAACCCCAGCCAAATTCACGGAATAGCCTCTAGCTCACCAACGTCCTCAAGAACAGTCACTTCTGCCCCTTCAGACTGAAGAAACCGCAGTTCTGCCTACTCAGAAGCTTCGCAAAAGCTTGAGGTACATTAAAGCTCTGCCAGAGTCAACCTTTGGCATCGATTTGTAGTTGAAAATCGGGCAATCAGAGTTGTCTACGATCCAGTCCAGCCCAGACATTCCCAGTCCAGCCCATCACAGAGCCTCCCATCCAGGCAGAAATGGAGATCTAGCTATCTTTTTATCTTTTTGGCATCGACATGTATTTTTGTAGTCCTGTAAAAGGCACTTCCGCCCAAAAATAGCTTAAATTTCATCAGCCATTCTGGCCAGAACAACCTCTTTATACTGAGATAAATTGTTAAAGTCCTCACTAGTCTGAGGCAAGAAAAGAACTTACTTGGGAGATATTCCTCACCCAAATTCACAATCGTTTGTTTAGGAAATCAGTAACTTGGGGCGCAAGTTATCCATTCCAGACTAAGTCTGCTAGGCTGTTCATTACTAGCAGTGGCACGCTCGCACACCAAAGAAAGCTGACTTGTTGACCAGTCTATGGTTCTCAAGGCAGTGGGGAACTTTGCCCTTCCATCATAGGAGTAAACGCAAAACGGGTGAACAAGTACACCTTGGGTTAAAGTGGTGGGCAAAATATTTCATGATTAATAAATGTCTGGAAAAAAAAAGATTAATAAATGGGTTTTTAAGAGCATTTCCAAACGATATGTTTAAATTGCCACATAGGCATATGACGGTAAGAAATAGCTCCAACCATTACTCCAACCAAAACCCCAAAATTGACGTGGAATGAAGGCTAGGACTTTGGACGTCAAAAATGACGCTGAGAAAAGCAAGCGCCAAATCAGTTTTATTATTATTTTAATACACCCAGATTTGTTTGCATTAAATATTTGTTACAATTTGGCTCATTTTCCATTTTTTTTAAAACCTATTCTCCATTCTTATTGGCTGAATAGAATAAAAGTTAACATATTGAGTGGAATTAACCTCCACAAGCTTAAAGGTTCATTTGTCACCTACGTAAATTCCCCTACTTGAATAATCAACATAATGGAAAGTGAGACTCCCCTACAGGAGTTGAGCGATACTTCAAGAAAGAGAAAGAAAGGTAGGAACGGTAACTACATTGTTATCTTTGTTTCAAGAAAAGCATACGGAACGTTTCCCCCCTTAACCCCTCTCTCCTTTCAGTCGAGCTGGGTTAATCCCCCTAGGGGGAATAACTCCTTAAGTACCGAGAGAGCCTTTGTGCACCACATATGTGTTTCACTCTCTCCCTTGCTGTTGGAATCTCGTACAATCAAGGAGTTTTTCATACATTGCATTCAAGATAAGGAAACAGAAAAGGCTGATAGGGTCACTAGTTCGATCGATGTTCCTAGCGGAGAAAAGAAAACATATAGGTCAACCTACCCCAAGCATTTATAACTCTCGTGAATTCTTCGTCACTTGCACTTGGAACAACAAGTCTACAACAAAATTCCCTTAAGGAAAACTGTTGCTTTAGACTTGTTGCGTATGATGGGACCTAAAGCTCTGTAAACTAGCGTTAAAACGCCTTATTTTAGTTAGGACTTGATTAAGGGTCTCAAACCGCTTTATTCTTAAGAGACTTCCTTTTAGTAGGAAGATCAACTGTAAGTGTAAGTTCCTATTAACAAGGAGTTCCTTTAAGATAATAGTGTAAGATTGGGGAGTATGGTAGTGGAGTCTTTTTGTCCTCCACTACCCCCTCCCCCTCCTCTGACTTAGCTATCTAGCATCGTTTCGTTAACGAGGGTTGCCTTCCTCTCCTGTTCACCTTCCCTGAGGGATAGGGAGTCCCCAAATTTCTTTAGAAACCCTCTTGTCCTCACCTCTCTGGTTCACCTCCCTTGAGGGATAGGGAGTCCCCAAATTTCTTTAGGAACCGTCCTATCCCCAAATCATGGTATGGAGCCACCATCACATCAATATAGAGTATTGAGTGGAGTGAGGACCTTGATAATATGTCAAATTGCTACATAAGCCATCAAATTTAAATTTGACATATCCTATGTTGCACCAATACTCCTAACTGAAGGGGTATGCTCATATCCGATACTCCTATACTCTTATTGGATATGCCGATTCTCCTCTTCTTCTTGATAGAAGCTAGATTTTCATTTCATTTGGGAGAGAATAACAAAAAAGAAGAAGAAATAGGAAGAATGAATTAGAAGCTGTCATATTTACCCATAATGAATATGATGAATGAAGTTAGAGATTTGGGAAGTGGCTTCTGTGTTTTAATTTGTTTTTGTGTTTTTCTTTATATGATTTGAACAATTCTATGAAGACTTTTATTTTGTATTTTGTTTATGAAGACTTGTATTTTGTGTTTAGTTTCATGTTTTGAACTTATGATGGATACAATATTAATTTTTTCTATTTATATAATTTTTTAAATATATATTATTTAATCACCCTATCGATGCCGTGTCTGTATCTTAGTTTTTGGAATTTTGCCGTATCGGCGTATCCATATCCGTGCAACATAAGACATATCCATTGAAGATGCTCTAACAAAATGGTGTCACGTTATTTACCCAAAAAACAAAAAGTAAAATAAAATGATGTGCGATGAGAAAATTTGAGTGGTTGGAACTTTATATTAGCATACACCTGCACACACGCGATATAATACTCGTCGCGTTAGTAAACCCTAACTCTTTTCTTCTCTCTATATCAGAGCATATTGCCGCCGCGCAGCCCTCTTTTCTTGTTGGCCGTCTTCTATTATCTTCCTTGTTCTAACAGAACCCATCACCCATCACCCCTTCTTCTCTCTCCAATCTCGGTACGTTCTATTTTGCCCACATTTTCTTCTTGTTGGGGTCCAATGCATTCCACAGATATATAAATTTTGGGTGATAATATTGCATTTTTTGTTTTGGTTTTTATTTGGATTTTAATTTCTTTTTGGGTTTAGTTCAGAAGTTCAGTTGCTGTTGTGTGGGGATTCAAAATTACAGATTTTTAATGTTCATTCTTAAGAATTTGACAGTTTGAGTTACTGAATTTCGTTAGCCACCTCTCTCTTTATTTTAGGGTTTCTCGGCAGGTCACAGAGGGCGGCAAAACTAGAGTGACCAGAACGGCACCATGGGGCGTATGCACAGCAGAGGGTTCGTTATTTTCTTGTTATCTGAACAAGCTCTGTAAATAAGCTACGTGAAGCCTTCTCGCCTTCTGTTGATATGTTTGAGCTTGACCACTTTTTGGTGTTGTACTTTGTGCTGTTTGTGCAGTAAGGGTATATCGGCTTCGGCTCTTCCATACAAGAGGACCCCTCCGAGCTGGTTAAAGATCTCAACTCAGGATGTGAGAAACCTTAACTCTAACTAGTTTGGTTTGGTTGTGATTTGTTTGGTTAATGTGAAATTGAAGTAAGTTCTGAATATTTTGCTCAATGTCATTCCTCACTTTTGGGAAAAAGAACAAAAAAGAAGAAGCCGTTCTTACCCAATTGGTATCAGACAGTAAAGGATTGTTTTACGTTTTTTGGGTCTTCTTTAGTCAATTAGCAACCAAACAGAGGCTTATTAGTTCAACTCTCTCTGTCTGTCTTTCATCTTCATTGAATGGATTGATTAAACAGTGAGAGAATAAAAAAAGGTAGCACATTCTTTTAATGTAATTTGGGCACATCTTTCCTTGCTGTTTGCACCAAATGAAACCTTGAGGCTGGTTATAGTGTACTACACATAGTAGTGATGTTCTAATTAGCATGAATTTTTCGTACTTACAAGTCTGTTAATGTTGCGATTGTAGTTGGCATCTTTGTAATTATAACATTGAAAACGAAGCATGATGACCTTTTCTTTTGTTTGGTTCTATTTGAGTGGTTTTTGGCATTTTAGAATAATCAAAACTTAGTTTGTTTTCTGCGTTCCATGTTCATATAATCAATTGTTATGCCTTTAAATCTAAAGTGAATGGCCACGTACCTTTGTGTAATGGAAAACGCTGCAAACCCATTCCTCTCTATTGAATGAATGAAAGTATATTTGGTTGTCTGTTAACTACTGATATTTCCAAGATAATTGATTCCCAATGCAAAGGAACTAAATACTAATTTCCATTTTGTGTATTATACTTACCAAGTTGTTTTTCATGTTTAAGGTTGAGGAGAACATTTGCAAATTTGCCAAGAAGGGTCTAACACCCTCTCAAATTGGTGTCATTCTGCGTGATTCTCATGGGATTGCTCAGGTGAAGAGTGTTACCGGAAGCAAGATATTACGTATACTGAAGGCACATGGTGCGTCTTCTCCTGGTTTCTATTCCATGTTTTGTTTTTATATTTGAACACAAATGAGTAAATGGTTTTGTTCTCCTTTTGTCTTTGCTGGGTTAGGTCTTGCTCCTGAAATACCTGAGGATTTATACCACCTCATCAAGAAAGCTGTCTCAATTAGGAAGCATTTGGAAAGGAACAGGAAGGACAAGGATTCTAAATTTAGGCTGATTCTGGTTGAGAGCAGAATCCATCGCCTTGCTCGTTACTACAAGAAGACAAAGAAGCTTCCACCAGTGTGGAAATAGTAAGTATCTTTTTTTTCGTTTTGGAATCATTTCATCTTCTTCATGAGACTGTCGTAGGGGTTTCATTAGCCTCACTTGAAGACACCTAATGGAATTCTTCTCTAACACTAGGTAGAGTGTGTTAATATCCTATATGGAAAATAGATGTTGCCCTAGCTCCATAAACAATTTAGGATTCTTCTGCTTACTGTGTATAAATTTGCCTTTCACGAACCATTCACAATCTGAAGAACTCATTATATGTGGGAAGCTAATAGTTTTTATATGCTGTCCTCAAGAAATTTATACATTTCTAGAATGCTTTTCCCTCGGAGATGAAATCTATGTGAGATATGTCAAATATTAGTGTTTGGTTTTCCCCCAATTCCATAAACATGCTAGTTATAGGGTGGCATCTGTGACAATGAGACTGGAGTGGCTCTCCGTTAAATTATCTTCTTTTCGTGACTGGTTATACAAATTTGCGCTACGAGCATTGCTTCTGCTGTTTGATCATTTCAAATTATATCTTATTTTGTGTCAATAGTTGTTCCCTAATTGCTTATATCATTTGATCTCTTTTTGCAGTGAATCTACCACCGCCAGCACCCTTGTGGCTTAGGTCGGATATGATTGGCACCAAGGCTTAGGTCGGATATGATCCGCACCAATTTCGGGTGTGGCCACATTAAAAAAGCAGGACTAGTTTTTAGTTTGTTACTTGTTTGCTTCAAGTTGGGAATTTTATGAAAATCTTGGTTGTGGAACTCCTTGGTAGTTGTTTTTTGTGCGGATATTTAAGAGTTCAGAACTTTTGTTTTGGCGGATTTATCTTTTATTTTTCAATCGGATCATTTTAATATCGTTGCATCAGTTTGATCATTTGTCATCATGAAAATGATTTGGAATGAGCATGTTGAGTCATTGAACGGGAAGACAATGATTTTACATTTTCAGAAGTACAAGAATTGATATATATATATATATATATATGTATATTCCTTTTGAATCGTGAAGAAAAGGACTGCATGACCATGAATTAAGTGACAAGTTTGAACACAATAACCAAATTGCCAATAAAAAATAGAGGGAAATTTCCATAAATACAACATGAACTTTGAGGCACGTGCGCGATTATCAGTTGTACTTGTAGTTTTAATTTTTATTTTCCATTATGACAATATATTTTACGATAATTTTTCTATAGAACAAAACATAATTATCCAATGACTTCTTAGAGCCTTCTTCCTCCCCCACCTTGCCATACACCCTTCAATCTTTGATGGAAGGTTGGGTGTCACATTCCGGGATCGGCTTCGCCGTAGTATAATATTATTTGCTTTGGGCCCTCCCTCTGACCTCATGGTTTTGTTTTTGGGAACTCATGAGCAACTTCCCAGTGAGTCACCCATCTTGGGATTGCTCTAGCTCTAACTTGCTTAACTTTCGGAGTTCCCATGACTCTAAAGCCAATGAGCTCCCAAAAGGCCTCTGGAGGTGGGTATGTACATATAAGGCACATCACCCCCTCTCCGTTGGTTGATGTGGGATGTTATAATCCACCCCTTTTAGGAGCCCGATGTCCTTGTCGGCACACTTGCACCACACGGCAAAGTGACTCTAATACCAAATTGTCACATCCAAGGATCGGCTCCGCCGTAGCACGATATTGTCCGCTTTGGGCTCTCCTATCTACCGTCATGGTTTTGTTTTTGAGAACTTATGAGCAACTTCCTAGTGGGTCACCCATCCTGGGATTGCTCTAGCCCTAACTCGCTTAACTTCAGAGTTCCCATGACTCCGAAGCCAATGAGCTCCAAAAAGGCCTCGTGCTAGATAGAGGTGGGCATGTACATATAAGGCACATCACTCCCTCTCCGTTGGTCAATGTGGGATATTACATTAGGGGCAATGGCAAACCTATTTAGGCACAAGGAGGTGCAGCTGCATTTCCACTCACTGAAAAAACTAGTGTATGTACTTCTGTTGAGGCCCAAAAAAATTCACGCTTCGGCCCAAATAAATTATCGGCCCAATACGATACCTTATCAAGAAGAAACCCGATTTAGGCATGCGAAAGTTCGTCATATACGATTTGCACACATGCCACGCCAAACGACACGCCACGCTAAGCAAGGAATTATCATTCCGCACCTAATCACGCCACAAGCCTAGGTGGGCCCAAGCCACTCAAAAAACCCGGGGCTTGCTTGAGTGGGTTGTGGCATGGATGGTGATAAATCAACATGAGACCCATTGATGGACCGAGAAATGGAAAGTCTCAGGTTGCTTGGGAGCCTCGAGACTCAAGCCCATTTCTTAGGCCCAAACATGTGGGTAAGCACAAGAGAGAAAAATAGCCCAAAAGCCCAAGCAAAATAACCTAGCCAAGAGATAACCCAACCAAAAAAATAATAAGCCCAAATCAAGAAGCCCAACAAGCCCATTTGCTTAGAAAGCCATCTTGGCCCTTAGAAAAACCCAAAATAGCCCACAAGAGCTTCAGCTCTTTTGAAAAGCAGAGGACACGTGAAGAGCAGATGGCAGACTCCTTAAGCAAAGCTGCTGGAAACCAGTCCCAAGCCAGAGACATCCAAAGAACCGATGAATACCATCCCGCATGCTGTCAGAAGCATCCCTTGGACCAGCATATATTTTCACCTCTTTTCCTCAATCAGATTCAGCCAAAGAAGAGGAAAGAAAAGAAGAAAAAACAGCAAACCAAGAGTGGAAGCTCCCATTGCACAGCCGCGGGAAAGGAGGATGTTGAGCCCCCAAATCCCCTGAATTCATGAAAATAGACAGAAGCAATCTTTGCCAAGAAGGGGAGGTCAGAGAAGGGGAGGAGAAAGGAAGAAAAGCTTAGCCAAAGTAAGTAGAAGTCATTAGGGTTTCTTGAAAAATGGTGATTTCCGGCAGCTATAAATTGAGCCTTCCCCTACCCAACAAAAACAACCCACAACCTGCAGAGAGCAAGCTTTCTCTCTAACTTGCAAAAACTCAACAAGCTCGTGCACTGTTCATCTTCTTCTCCAATTTGTTTTTCTGGCAGCTGCCAGAAGAACTCTGCCTTTCTTTTTCCTCTTTCCCTAGTCGAATTCCTCACAAAACACCTCATTCCTTACTTAAACACTTTCTTTTCTCATAAACCAAGCCTAATTTCTCTCTTAGTGCTAAACCCATGTTGATTTTGCTCCCATGCCACATGCCACTCATGCTGAGCTATCTGTAAGCATGCCAAAACTATCTGCCAGTTACTATTATTCTCGTTGGTGAAGATAACCAAAATACTTCCTAAGGCTCTACTGCCTTTTCGAGGTATTTTGGGGCTTAACTTTCGAACTCAGGCTCAAGGGGCAATTTCTTCCATTTTGCCCTTTACGGCAGTCAGGCCCGTAGTAGCTGCCGGAAGAAAAAAGCCCCTACAACTTCAAATTTCCCATATGCTCCAGCTAGTGGTAGTGCACTCCAGGTGTTCGACAGAATGCCTTAGCCAAACTATAAATGTTGTGCTGTTGTTTGGGGCCACACAAAAAAAAAAAAAACACAAAAAAGAGAAAAAAAAAGAGGTGAGGGGGAGGAAGTGGGGGTGGGGATGGCAACGGGTCTGGTAGGGGCCAGGTATGAAAATACCATCCCCGTCCTCACTCTTCATCCCCGTCCCCGTCCCCGTCCCCGAACCCATCCCCATTTAATAGGTTTCGGGGAATCCTTGTCCCTGTCCCCATCGGAGGACTATCTCCCATACCCGCCTCCCAAATCTTTCTTTTTTTTTTTTTTTTTTTTTTTTTATTATACATTTTAACATTAAGTTTCATATTAAATTATCATTCAACGCATCCAAATTAACTATAAAGTTCAACTCAACTATTCAAAATCATATCAATATGAAGTTCCATAGAAGATTAGGAAGAATTAGGAGATGAATGTTAACTTAGGGTTAAACATAAATATTATAAGTATATATTTATTTATTAGTATAAACATATATATTTTCGGGTCGGGTTCGGTGATGGAGACACCAATAACATCCCCTCCCCATACTCGTAGGGGATTTTTTAAGTTCAGGGATCCCCATACCTGATACCCGTTTGACCTCGAAATCTTCCCCTGTTAGGGTTGGGGACCCGCCCCCCCCTCCCCCCGGGGATTTTTGTCATCCCTAGGTGGGGGGGGAGGAAACCAGAATCATGGGCTTTCAACAAGGCTTGCATTTCGTGGGCTTTAATTTAAACAAGGATTCTTTCTTAAAGCAATTCTTTCTGTGCGCTTTAAAACATCAATTCTTTCCTAAAGCGATTCATTAAACAAGGCATGCATTTTGTGGTCTTTAAGCAATTCTTTCTTCTTCTTTTTTGGTATGAGGTTTTCATGATATGAAATCTCAGTCAATGTAATTAATTGTAATGTAGTAATATTTTTTTTTTTTTTTTTTTTTTTTTTTTTTTTTTTTTTTTTTTTTTTTTTATGACTTATGACATTAATTGTAGGTTATTCATGATATGAAATCTCGTCAGCAACAATGGTAGCATCATCGACCCCGGCTCTCCTTCTCACCCGACCTTAGCCGAATTGAGTTGACAGGACTCGACCCAAATTCCACTAATATTATGTCAATTCCAATAATATTCCATCAATTCCAAGTGTCACATAAGCGACACATCCTCGCCCGCCTCTGAAACACAAAGTCAACCCGTGCCGCGTTCCTTATAGGACTCAGGGGATACATAGTCAACCCGAGCCGCATTCCTTGCAAGACTCAGGGAACACTTAGTCAACATGAGCTGCATTCATAGCAGAACTCGAGGGATACGTAGTCAGCCCAAGAATGCATATCCTCGCACCACACGGTTCAGGCGTCCCTGAGACTGGTGGGGCATTTTCATAAATGAATAAACAAAGTTCCAAAGGGGGGGGGGGGGGGGTTGGGGTGGGGGGGGGGGGGTACTGTGGTGGGTGGGTTGGAAAAACCTTTTTCCGAAACTTGTCATAAAATTTCTCTTTTCCAACAAATCCCCTTTCACAATTCCATTTTCCGAATCATTTCTCAAGCACTATCTCTATAAAAACCCAAAAATATTCAGTCTCAAGCACTTCTCGAAGTATGAAACTACATCGGAAGACTCTTTGTCAGCCGAGTGGTCAAACTTCCCAAATCTGGTCCCACGGCCTCCAATTTCCGATCCAAAAGTTCCTAAGGGTTCAACAAGGTTTACTATACATGTCCTGCAAGTTTGGTCTGAATCGAACGGTTGGATTGCTCGCGATTGCTTGATCAGACGGTTATCGTTTAACACAAACTTTAAATCATTGAATCGGAGTATCCGGGACTCCGATTCACGATCCGAAAATTCCTACACGATCCTAGGGACCCTAGATCAACACATTTGAAAATGAAGTTGATCCAACAGTCCGAACATATCGAACCCGGATAACGCCTAATATGCGATATCCGATCAACAGTCAAACAATAACCAAATTCAAACCCAAGCATACCGTCGTGTTCAAGACAATATGAGGATCATTTTAGGACTCAAAGACCTACCATGAAGTGGCCCACGCACCGCCACACGCACCGACAGCGCGTGGGTATTCATAGTAATTATGGCGATCGGAAAATCTCCAAACCACCGATCAAGACCTATACCTACATGATCAGAAAAATGAGTGGAACAACTTTTGTTCTTGGACCATGGCCAAAAAGTGGCCGGAGATGGCTGGAATCGCGAGCCAAAACAGGGCGAAATTTTAAGTCGTAATTCGAGTTTCAAAACTTCAAAACAAATCCTAACCAACCAACCATCAGCTAATTCACGTTGCACACCTGGATTGACAAATTTGGTGGCCGGAATCGTCGGAAACGATGATGGAAAGTTTTGGCAGAATCGGAACTTTATCGAGCTACGCTAGTTTTGATCAAAGAAATTGGGTGGGGTAAGGTAGAGGACGAAGAGAGGAAAATTTTGCAAGTCGTTTCATCGGAAACGGTGGCAGGATGAAGCTGGAATCAACGCCGGAAGTTCCGGCTGTCACACGCGACAAAGGAGAGAGAGAGGTCTGTCGGGGGAGAGAGAGAAAGCTGGCTGGGTTTTTAAAAAACTAATTTCGAAATATTTACAGTTGTGCCACTACACTTTCGTTAATCATAACTTCTTCGTTACAACTCCGATTTGAGCTCACAATGTATCTACGGATTCATCTCGACGTGCTCTACTTAATGGTACTACTAAAATACCCAAATTTTTTCCCAAACAAAAAGTCAATTTTTAAACCCATTAAAATATTCTAGGGGTAAAATTGTCTTTTACTTGAATAATTTAATAATTAAATATTAATTTAGGATCTGGTTATTACATGAGTGCTCAGATGGCTTAGCTTCTATCGCTGTAGAACTAGACCTCGAACTCGATCCTCACTCGATCTTGACTCAGGATCCTACCAAGACCTAGATTCCCAAAAAGACCCAGACCTCGAATATGTCTATGATTCCTACCCAAATACCGACTCCGACTCAGACTTAGACCCTGATTCTGGCTCAGATTCCGATTCAGATTCCTACTCAACCTATATCCTATGCATCTTCCACTGCACAGATTACGACTTCCCGACTAATGACCCTGACACATAGGCGAGATTGCGCACTCATGAGACTTGTTTCAAATTGCATGGCTACCCCAAATGGTGGGCTACTCTTAAAGATTGAAAACAACGTGATACTACAAGTAATGGTTATGGATTTCATATTTCAGATAAGAGTGATTCCATAGGTTGGATAATTAATTCTGGTGCAACTGATCATTTGAGGTTTTATCTTGATGATTTTCTGAATACTACCCAACCCAAACGAACTTGTATGGCTAACGCCAATGGAGTTACTTATCCTATGACAAGGGCTGACACTGTTGCTTTCTCATCCTCTCTCTCAGTGTCTAATATTTTACTTCTTCCATCTCTATGCAATAAATTGATGTATGTTGGTCAGATTACTGAACAATTGAATTGTTGTGTGCTAATTTACCAGAGTTTTTGTTTGCTTTAGGATATTCACATTAAGGAGATTCTTGGTCGTGGTACTAAGCAAGGGGGGCTCTATTATATTGATGACTTCAGTCCCGACATGGCTAACAGTGTGACCCATACTTCTGATAGCAAACAAAAGCAAATCTGGTTGTGACACCGTCGATTGGGACATCAATCTGTTAGACACCACAACAAAATGGTGTTGTTGAACGAACACTTCTGATTGGTGCTCATGTTCCTCGTCATCATTGGGATGATGTTATCGTCACCTCCGTTTACCTGATCAACCATATGCCATCTGGTGTCCAGAACTTTCGTACTCCATTACAAGTGCTCGCACAATACGGGCCTTGCCCTCTGTTTTGGTGCTCACACCCTAAATATTGGGATGTGTGGTCTTTGTTCATCTCCACCAAAATCAACGTAGCAAGCTTGATCCCTACGCCCTTCGTTGTATTTTTGTGGGATATGCCACTCATTAGAAAGGTTGTCGGTGTTATCACCCTCCTACTTGCTGAACCTATGTCACTTTAGATGTGACCTTTCTAGAATATGAGATGTTCTTCCATGACCCCACATCCAATTCTATGCTTCAGGGGGAGATACGGAGAGTAGACTTGGAGCAACTTGGAAAAAGAAGAAATTTGCATATGCACAGAAGGGATCAATCGTCCTACCTTTGAAGATCGATCGCCACGAGGGCCAAGAAATGATCAATCATCCAACACTAATGATCAATCGCCCTGAGCCTGGAAAGCAATGTTCTTTTCTGCTAGAAACCGATCAATCGTCCATTCCCGATGATCGATTGCCTAACCCTTGCGAAGCTATTTCTGATTTGAGCCCCACTCCTACAAACAACCCAAAGCAACAAGCTGAAGACCCCCTCTCACTCGATAGTACCAGTGGACCAATCTCCTGAGAATATCTTTGAGGTAACTACTTCTATTGCACTTGTGAATTTAAAGGATTATTCTATTGGATATATATTACCATTCAGGCAGAATCGTGGGAAGCCACCATATCGTTATTCACCAAATATTGGCAAGACATCAAAGTATCCAATTGCGAATCATGTGTCCACTAAGAAACTATCTACACCACTCAATACTTTTATGCATCAGTTGTCTACTATTCATATCCCAATCAAGGTTGCTGAAGCATGGAAAGACCCTAAGTGGGCTGAAGCTATAAAGGAAGAGACGAAAGCTCTGGAGAAAAATCAAACTTGGACATTGGAAACTTTACCACAAGGGAAAAGGACCATCGGATGTAGATGTGTGTTTACTATAAAACACAATGTTGATGGATCTATCTAGTGATACAAGGCAAGGCTTTTGGCAAAAGCATACACACAGACCTACGATATAAACTATGAAGAAACCTTTGCTCCAATAGCAAAGTTAAACACCGTCAGAGTCTTGTTGTCCCTTGCAACTAATTTGGATTGACCACTACACCAGTTTGATGTAAAGAATGCTTTCCTGCATGTAGAACTCACGGAGGAGGTGTATATGAACATTCCTCCTGGATATAATTCTACTAAGATTGGAACAGTATGCAAATTATGAAAGACATTGTATGGATTGAAACTGTCACCACGCACATGGTTTGGATGGTTCACCATGGCGATGAAGAAAAATGGTTTATGGTAGAGTAACTCAGATTATACTTTGTTCTTGAAACATCAGAAAGGAAAGTAACTGTTTTAATAATCTATGTTAATGATATGATTATTACTGGGAATATAATTAGGAAATATATCAGTTATAAGACTATTTAGCTACTGAATTTGAGATGAAAAATCTAGGTGGACTCAATTATTTCTTGAGGATTGAGGTGGCCCGATCAAAGCAAGGCACATTTCTCTCTAAAAGGAAATATGTCTTGGACTTCTTAACGGACACATGAATGCTAGATTGTAAACCTGTAGACACTTTTATTGTTCAGATCATCATCTTGGAGAATACCCGGATCAATTTCCAACTAACAAAGAAAGATACCAAAGGTTAGTGGGAAGATTGATCTACTTGTCACATACCCAACCAGACATTGCTTATGCAGTGAGCACGTCGTCAGTCAATTTATGCATTCTCCAAGTGAAGACCACATGAATGCAGTTATTCCGATACTTAGATATTTGAAGTATGCACCCGGAAAAGGACTTATTGATAGGTATTCATATGTAGATTAGGCAGGTAGTGTAATAGATAGAAGATCTGCATCTAATTATTTCACATTCGTGGTAGGTAATTTGGTGGCATGGAGGAGCAAGAAACAAAAGGTAGCAGCTCTATCTAGTGCAGAAACCAAGTTCAGAGGTATGACTAAAGGAATTTGTGAGCCCTTTGGTTAAGGAAGTTGCTTACTGAACTTGGATATGAACCTACATCCACAATGGATCTCTTTTGTGACAACAAGGCTGCAATCGCTATCACATAGAATCCAGTTCAACATGATCGCCTAAACATGTTGAGGTGGATCGACACTTCATCAAATAGAAGCTTGAGGCTAAAGTGATTCAGTTTCCTTTCGTGAAATCCGAGGATTAATTGGCAAATATTTTGTTGAAGACAATTTCCAATAGAGCGTTCCACAATTCACTGGACTAGTTGCGCATTGGTGACATCTATGCACCAACTTGAGGGGGCGTGTTGGTGTGACTTGTGGACTAATTAAACTTTCCTTGCACACTAAAGATTCCCATATTAATTGTAATTGATTCCCCTTATATTTCTAATTTCCTACTGTAAATAGAATTAGGAGTTATTACTTTCCTTGGCCTTCAAGGTTTTATTATACTATAAATATGACCTCCTACAAGGAGAAGAATACACAGAAAATTGTCACAAACACATATTCTCTCATAGTTTCTTATATTTGTTTGGGCCTAATTTGGCACACCCAATATAAAGAAATAAAAAGCCCATATTGGTTTTTGGCATCCACCAACATTCCTTTGAAATTGGGCCAAGAATACACACGCAACCCAAAGCATTGAAGGCTCCAGCCCAGGATCTATCCAAAAGATGAAAACTTGGGCTTCAAAAAAGGAAATCAGCCTATAGCCTCAAACTGGGCCCGGCACGAATGAAACCAGAAATCAGAAGACAGACCCAACGTGACTAATCTGAACCAAAATTTTGAAATTGTCAACAATTTCAACTGGGTTAATAAGGAGTAAATATAAAAAAAGGCAAAACAGGAAGAGACTACTCTGAAAAAATCTGTCACCAAAAGATCAAACCCCTTCTTATAAAAATAAATTGTTTCTACTCCAGAGAGGGTGATTCTCCCAAGAGATAAGCAGGCCATGTTTTCAAAAGAAGATAAGCAGGAGGACAAGAAGTTGTTCAAACTGGAAAATCAAACTAACCATCACGGTTTTTTAGCTCTCACAAGGAGCATATGGGAATTAAAAGGAGAGATAGGTTTTTCTTTCAAAAAACAGGGAGGTGACTATCAATAGGAAATGATTGGTGAGAGCTTATCTACCAGAATTGATAAAATCCCTTTTTTCTTTGTATTTAAAATTGAGAGATCTTTTGAGAAATTTTGCCGCCCATTATTAAAAGAATTGCCCTACTCCAGAAAACACTTCCTATAAATATAAGGGAAGGTGTATAGAAGAAAAGAGGCATCACTAAAAAAAACAAAAAAAACAAAAATCAACCAAAATTCACTTGAACAAAAACAAGAGAAACCAACTTTAGATCAGAATTCCCAAAGTTCAAACTTAGAAAAATAAGTCATTCAAAACGAGATTCCTCTCGTTATAAATTTGGCTCAGCAAAAGCCAAGAACAAGCAGAGCTTGAGTTTTCACAAATATGAAAACCTCAACAAATTTTACAGTGCAGTTCCAGCTCATTGAGTCCTCAAGACCAGCCACTTCTGCCCCTTCAGACTAAAGAAGCAGCAGTTATGCCCATTCAAAAGCCTCCCAAAGCTTGAAGTAGATTAAAGCTCTGCCAAAATTGAACTTTGGCATCGATTTACAGCTGAAGCTGAGCAGTTGAAGTTGTTAACAGTCCAGTCCAGCACAGACATATTCAGTCCAGCCCGAATCAAAAGCTTCTATCCAGACAGAAATGGAATTCTAGCCTTCTTTTTATCTTTCTAGAGTTGATTTTTTCCTTCCAAGTCTTGTAAAGGGCAGTTATGCCTAAAAACAATCCTCTTTATCATCATTTATTCTGGCCAGAATTACCAATCTTACACCGTGATAAATTGTGAAGTCCTCACCAGTCTTAGACAAGAAAAGAACTTACTTGGAAGATATTCCTCACCCAAATTCACAATCACTTGTTTAGATATCAGTAACTTGGGAAGCAAGTTATCCATTTTAAAGAAGTCTGCTAGGATTTTCAAGGCTAGCAATGGCATGCTCGCACACCAAAGAAAGCTGACTTGTTGATCAGTCAATGATTTCCAAGGCAGTGAGGAATTTTACCCTTCCATCATATGAGCAAAAACAAAACGGGTGAACAATATTTTAGCTGTTTCATCATCCAATGGCACTTTAGCTGGTGGTGGAGGAAATTCCATGGATCCTCCAAATCCAAATCCATCATCTAAGCTCTCTAATTTGCTAAAAAGATCATCTCCTTATAGTAGCCAAGTTACAGTTGATGTCTTTGTAGTAGCACCTGCTTACGTTCTTGGAAGAAGAAAATTTACAAGTTACAGTAAACCCCCTAATCTATAGGGTCATTTACGAGTTCATACTCAATTTTGGGGACATCTACCAGTACATACTCAACGTGGCAGACAATTTGCTCCCTCCGTTAGCCAAACCGTTAGTTAATCTGTTAAATGCTAATGTGGCATTTGTGGAACCTATTTTTAATTGACATGGACTCCACATAAGAAATAAAATTAATAAAAAATTGTTTTGTTGTTCAATGAAATAGAGTTCATAAGGATAATCAACCAGCCACCATCTGTCAAAAAATATTTATTTTAAAAAAAACGAACACCATCTTCCCACAACTACCATCTCCAACCTGCACTAGCGCCACCCACCCCCTGGCATCTCTCTCTTTGGAACTTCCACCATCGCCTGACAACCCACCAGCGACCTCTCATCATCCCACCTAGCCAACCCCCATCCTCCCTTCCTCCGACTTAACCCTTCGTCGATCCACCCCAAACCCACTGCCAATGCCATTCTCTCTCTCTCTCTCTCTCTCTCTCTCCAATACAACCAAACCCCACCTCCCTCTCCTTACCACAAGTTGCCACTTCCATTTTTAATTTACCCAAGCTCAATATAGATGAAATTTGGGCAGCAAATGTTGCAAATAAATAAATAAATTGGGCAGCAACATCACCTTTCAAGATGCCAAAATGGAGATTTTAGAATGAACATTTCAAAACAAATGTCTAGTATTATCAAACCAATTAGCTCGAATTTGAAATTTTATTCAATTTTATGGCCTAGAATTCAAATTTCATTTAAGAGAAATATCAAATCTAGACACCCAACCGCGACCTTCCATCTACAACGCCCACCAAAGCTCCCTCCTTCCGACTGCAACACCTGACGTGCATCAAAGTTACCCCCTCAGCCACCTCCCAACGACGAAACCAACTCTAGATTCAACTCTTAACCCAAATTCAGATCTAGATTTTGTGTGCACTCTATTTCATTAAACAACAAAAGATTATTATTTTTTATTAATTTGACAGATGGTGGGGGAATAGAGTTCATATGGGTTTTGTTTAATGGAATAGAGTTCATATGGGTTTTGTGTGCACCCAACCACGGCTCTGGAAGTGGGATGATGATATGGGGGTAGGGGAATAAGGATGGATTGGGGACGATGAAATTTTTTTTGGATGGGGGTGGTGAGCTGGTTGTTTCTGTACTTTTTTATTTGATTTTTCTTTAATTTTTAATGAAATAGTGATTTTAATATTTTAAAACTTATTTTAAAAAGTAGATAATTTTTTATTAATTTTTGGGAGCTGATTTCCCCACTCCCTTTTTCTCCACTTACACTCCCTTTTATTTTAAAATATATTTTAATTAATTTTTTTTTAGTTTTTGCTCATTCCTATTATACCCTTACCTACATTAATTTATTTTTACTTCACTTTTATATTATTATTATTATCTTTTAAAACTTAATTTACTTACACCCCATTTTCAATGGATGGATGAATTCTTTAAAATTATTATTTTAAAAACAAACAAAATATTTTCCCCAGCAACAACCCCCTCTCTCTCCCCCTCTCTTCGTCAACCCCCTCCTCCTCCTCCCATCTCAACCCAACCCACATAGCCACCCACCCACCGATAGCCATCGTTGCCCCGACGCACCCATCACCACAAACGACCTTATCGCCCGAAACGCCCGATAGTCAAGCCACACTCAAACCCCAAAACTCTTTTTTTAAAACCCCGAATCTGGATTTGGTGGTTGAAGAAAGAGGGGGAAAAAGAGAAAGAGAGGGATAGAAAAGGTTTAAAGATCTTAGCCATAGCTACCAGTATATGGATGATTGATGTTATTGGGTTCCTTTTACTTCTTTTGGTTATGTTTTTGGAGGAGGAGCTAACAAAAAGTGAGGAAGAAAACAGAAAAGGTCCTTTGAGCCTTTGTCATTGGAGCTTCTGTGTTGGCTTTTTAGACCTTCGCAAATCATAGGGCAATAAACAGTTGATTTGCTGGGCTTGGTTTTTTTGGTCGAAGAAAGAGGGGAAGCAGAGAGGGGGAGAGAGCAGACGGAAGGGTGGGTGTGTAGGAGAGAAGAGAACCCGAGGGTGGGTGGGTTTAGGATATATTTTTTTGGTTTAAAAATATTATTTTTAAGGAATTATTTATTATTATTTTTCACATATCAGCACCTCTCCAAAGTGCTCACTTGCCACATCATCAAGGGTAAAATAGGAAAAAGAAAGAACAAAAAAGAGCAAAATTGATTAAAAAAACATTAAAAAACAAAAAGGAGTGTAAGTGGAGAAAAAGGGAGTGGGGAAATCAGCTCCCTAATTTTTTTGTCCACATGTAAGTCCACCTCATTAAAAAATGGAATCCAGATTCACTAACAGTTTGGCTAATGGATGGGGCAAATTATAGGGTTTATGCGACGTTGAGTATGTACTAGTAAATGTCCCCAAAATTGGGTATGAACTTGTAAATGACCCTATAGATTGGGGGGGTTTACTGTAATTTGTCCAAAAAAGAATTAAGATGATTAACAATGTATTGTGAAAGGGAAAAAGATGAAAAGTCGGGGAGGGAGAAATGAAAGCGAGTGGAGAGCTTGTCAAGAAAATGAGAAGGAGAGTTATGTCTATATGAGTAAGAAGAAAGGTAGTCTTGGCCTTAAGCATACGGTGTGTTGGCCAAGGTTGGATGGAGACTATTGCAGCAAAAAGATAACCTTTGGTCCGATGCTTTGACTAAACAATACCTACAAGGGAGTGTAAGATAGTTTATTGTCTTAAACTCACATAAAGTGGTCTTCTAATCATTATCGGTTTGCAAGAACTCCAGATTAATCAAGGACTCAAATCTGTCTCATCTAGCAGACCTTGTATCAGTGTTTTAAATGGATTACAAGGCTAAAGGGGTTTCTAGTTCTATTAGAATTGGGATTCATTGTTCTATTGCAATAAGGATAACTCAAGGAGTTTCTTGATGGGCAAAAACTCCTTGAGTGATGCATATAAATAAAGGAGCTCCCTCTAAGAGCCGATACACTAAAAAATCTCATCAAGTAATTCACCCCATCTGGAATTTGAGAATAAGGCAGTCGGTTATCTTAGAGAAGAGCTGTCTACCAAGAGAGAAGAGATGTCTACCAAGTGTTCGATAAAAGTCTTCAATGGCAAAACAAGGTTAGTGTTCAAGTTATAATAGCTTAATTAAGTTTACATGTGGTATCAGAGCATAAGTTATTTTATCTTCTACCTAACAAATTTTGTTGAAGCTTTAAGAACTCGAAAATTGAAGGATAATTAAGTTTTCAAGGTTAAAGAAACTTGACACAGCAAGAGTTACACCTTGCTGTGACAAACAGAAATTGATCAAAGGTTTGTATAGTTCTTGCCGTGCTCTGAGCAAGCCAAAGCAACTCAGACACAACAAGATCTGTACATTCAAAGTTTTATGATCAAACTTGTGTTGAAAATAAAGGCATAATGAATGATTCGCTGTCCAAAGATGTGAATGATTTATTGTGCAATTATTTTCAGCATAACAGCATAAGAGATGAAACACGTAGGCTATCAAGGTTGTTCTTCTGTCCAAAGATGTGGAACCTTTCTTGTACAGGAAGCTTATGTGATTTTCATGTCTTAGTGTTGATAAACATGTTTTGATTTCTTCACCTAAAGGTGAGAATCGATCATGTTTTAAAGTTATGGGGTTTTCAGTTTTAAACATATATATATATATATATATATATATATATACTATGTGTTTTTCAGTTAATCACAACTCGATTGAAACTCTCATTGGCTCCAACTACACCAAATGGAGGGAAGATGTGGAAATTGCTCTAGGATTGCTGGACTATGCGATGGCTATTGAAGAAGATGCTCCTGCAGAACCAAATGCAGATGCATCTGCTGGAGCGAAATCAAAATATGCAAAATGGGTCAAGGCAAACAAAATGGCTATTCTAATCATGAGAAAGTCAATTTCACCATCTATCAGGGGAAGCATTACATCATGTAATAATGCCAAGAAGTTTATTGATTCCATTGGGGAAAAGTTTCAGGAATCAGAAAAGGCTGAGATTGGAACTCTAATGGGACAGCTTACTGATACAAAATACAATGGGGAAAGATGTGTGAGAACACACATACTAAACATGCTGGAAATTGGGAACAAACTGAAGGCACTCAAAGTCAATGTGGATGAAACAATGATGGTGCATTTTGCTATAAATTCTCTGCCTAGTACTTTCAAGCATCTAAGAAGCACATATGTAGCTCACAAGGAGAAGTGGACAATAACTGACCTTATAAGTATTTGTGCGCAAGAAGAACAAAATATGAAGAAAGATAAGGCTGAAGAAAAGATTAATATGGTTCAGAACAACTTCAAAAGGGATTTTGGAAAAGGCAAAAACGTTGGGAAGAAAAACAAGGAAGAAAAGGAAACTAAAGGACTGAAACTAGAAGGACTCAAGTGCTATTTCTGCAAGAAGTTTGGCCATATGAAGAGGAATTGCTACAGGTACAAGCGTTGGTTGGATAAGCAAAAGGCTAAAGGTAAGACTGATCAAGTATATGTTTGTTTTGAGACTAATGCAATTGAGATTTCTTCAGATTCATGGTGGTTAGATAGTGGTGCATCAGTTCATGTGGCTAATTCCTTGCAGGGGTTCAAAACAAAGAGGCTGCCAAGCAAGGCTGAGATGAAGGTGTTCGTGGGAAATGGAGAAAGAGTCAAGGTGGAATACATTGGATTAGCTAGGATTGAGTTAGAATCTGGTTTTGTTTTGGAATTAGTAGATGTAGTTTATATTCCTTCTATGAAAAGGAATCTTATTTCAGTTAGCAAGTTTGTAAAGTCAAACTTACAGTTTGAGTTTGATGAGTCTGGGTTCTCCATTTTTAGAAATAAAGTTATGATTGGTAATGGTTTTCTAAATGATGGAATGTTTCGATTAAACTGCAAACCAAATCCCAGCACTGGAAATCTAAGCATCAATGTGATAAGCACTAAAAGAAAAGCAGAAAAAGAAGAATCTTATAAACTTTGGCACAAGAGATTAGGACATGTCTCAGCTGAAAGAATGAATTTGCTTAACAAAGAAAATCTGTTGCCACCACTTAACCACCATGACAAAGACAGTGTTTGCATAGAATGTGTTAAAGGAAAATTGACAAATTTGAGAAAGAAAGGTGCTACAAGAAGTGAAAAAGTGATGGAAATCATACATACAGACATTTGTGGTCCTTTTCCCACTCAAACACATGATGGTTTTAAGTATTTCATAACCTTCACAGATGATTACTCTCGATATGGTTATGTGTACTTAATATCTGAAAAATCCAATGCACTGGACATGTTCAAAGTCTATAAAGCAGAAGTGGAAAACCAGTTGGATTCAAAAATCAAAGTAGTAAGGTCGGCCAGAGGAGGAGAATTTTATGGTAAATTTGATGAGAGAGGAAGGAACCCTGGACCTTTTGCCAAATTTCTACAAGAAGAAGGTATAGTGGCTCAATACACTAACCCAGGCACACCACAACAAAATGGAGTGGCAGAGAGACGAAATAGGACCTTGATTGAGATTATTAGGAGCCTAATGTGCTGCACAAAGCTTCCAAAATTTCTTTGGGGAAAGGCTTTAAAAACTGCAAATTATTTGCTAAATCGAATTCCTACCAAAAGTGCAGACAAAATTCCTTATGAAACATGGTGCAATAGAAAGCCTAGTCTCTCACATCTTAAAATCTGGGGAAGTAAGGCAGAGGCAAAGTTCTACAATCCAATGGAAAGGAAACTAGATTCCAAGACATTAAGCTGTTTTTTCATTGGATATCCGGATAGAACAAAGGGGTACAGGTTCTATTGTCCCAACAACAGCACAAGATTCATGGAAACTCAAAGAGCTATTTTTATTGAAGATGAAATTGAATAAGACACTAAGGTAAACTTTGATTTTGATGAAATTTTGGAAAACAAGGAACCTGCTGAAAAGGAAAATATGCTGAGAGATATAACCATCTTACCATTCACTGATTTGAATGACAAGCAAGTCTCACCAAATCATGATCTAACAACTAAAGTTCCACAAATTGCACTAGAAGACATGCATATAGATCAACAAGAACCTCAGCCTCACAACTTAGAATTGAGAAGATCACAAAGAACTAAGAAACCTTATTGAAGAAATTTATATGAAGCAACCGGATGGTTTCATTCAAAAAGGGGAAGAAGAATTGGTTTGTAGGTTACAGAAATCAATATATGCATTAAAACAAGCTTCAAGGCAGTGGTATTTGAAGTTTGATGAAGTTGTGAAGTCTCAAGGTTTCATTGATAATCCCTTAGATGAATGCATTTATCTCAAATTTCATGGAAGACATTATATTTTCATGCTCCTCTATGTTGATGATATTCTCTTAGCAAGCAGCAATCTGTCATTATTACATGACACTAAGAGAATGTTGTCAAACTATTTTGAGATGAGTGATTTAGGCGAAGCAAATTTTGTATTGGGGATTGAAATAAGTAGAGACAGAGAAAAGGGATTACTTGGTTTATCACAGAAAGGATATATAGAAAGGATACTCAAAAGATTCAATATGGAAAACTGCACAGGATGTGATGTTCCATTCTCAAAAGGTGATAAATTGAGCTGTGAACAATCTCCTAAAACTGAGCAAGAGAAGCTGGAAATGCAGGACAAGCCCTATGCTTCACTTGTAGGAAGCTTGATGTATGCACAGGTTTGTACAAGGCCAGACCTTGCTTTTTGCATTAGTGTTCTTGGAAGGTTTCAATCTAACCCAGGCCAAGCACATTGGGTAGCAGGCAAGAAGGTCTTGAGGTATTTGCAAAGAACTAAAGAGTACAAACTGGTTTATCGAAGAGTTGAAGAATTAAAATTGGAAGGATATGCTGATGCATATTTTGCTGGTTGTTTGGATACTCAGAAATGCACATCAGGTGTTGTATTCTTGTTTGCAGGAGGATCAATGGCATGGAAAAGTGTAAAACAACAAAATGTATCAACCTCAACCATGCAGGCTGAATTCTTAGCAGTTTATGAAGCTACTTCAATAGCAATATGGCTTAAGAATTTTATGTCAATGTTGAGAATTGTGGAATCCATATAGAGACCAATCCAGCTGTGGAATGATAACAGTGTTGCAGTTTATTTTGCAAAGGGAAATAAGAGATCGTCAGGTCTGAGACACCTGCAGTTAAAGTTTCTGTCAGCAAAAGAGAAGATTCGAGATGGTTTTACAACTCTGGATCACATTGGGACAGATTCTATGATTGCAGACCTTTTGAACAAAGGTTTGCCTAATCATTTTTTTCATAGGCATGTCAGAAGCATGGGTTTTCAGATCAGTTTTGATGTTTAAGTCAGTGGGAGTCAGTGGGAGCCAGAGTTGGATCTGTTTTCTTTTAATTAGTTTCAATCGAAGTTGTCCTTATAGTTTTATTTTGAAGATGTTATTCAAAGTTTTTTCTTAAATTGTGTTTTTCCAATTTATAAATTTTTGGCATATGGATGAAGGAAGAATCTGCAAAATTTGCTAGCACTTGTGTTTTGCATTTTTCGTACCCATGAAGGAGCCATGATAGTTTTGCTAAGACCTTCGTAGTCTTGTAAGGGTGAGCTAAGAATTGTTTTGATCATCAAACACATTCTAAGGCATATCTCAACAATTTTTTATCCTAATTCAGCTGGCAGCCCTATGTGTTGTTATAGACTTATATGTGTGGTTATAAAAGACTTGAATGTTATTTGTTCAATGTGCTTCGACAGTTCCATATGAGTTTATATCAATGACAATGGCCTGATAAGAAACTGAGAAGTTTAAAGTCCTAAATTGGTAGAATGTAAGATAGTTTACTGTCTTAAACTCACATAAAGTGGTCTTCTAATCATTATCGGTTTGCAAGAACTCCATATTAATCAAGGACTCAAATCTGTCTCATCCAGCAGACCTTGTATCAGTGTTTTAAATGGATTACAAGGCTAAAGGGGTTTCTAGTTCTATTAGAATTGGGATTCATTGTTCTATTGCAATAAGGATAACTCAAGGAGTTTCTTGATGGGCAAAAAACTCCTTGAGTGATGCATATAAATAGAGGAGCTCCCTCTAAGAGCCGATACACTAAAAAATCTCATCAAGTAATTCACCCCATCTGGAATTTGAGAATAAGGCAGTTGGTTATCTTAGAGAAAAGCTGTCTACCAAGTGTTCGATAAAAGTCTTCAATGGCAGAACAAGGTTAGTATTCAAGTTATAATAGCTTAATTAAGTTTACAGGGAGTAGCTTGAACATCATCAAGAATAGAAGGCCTATGTCTTCTTCCCCCTCCCCTACATGGCGTGCTATTGAGCATGGTGTTGATGTCTTGAAAATGGAGTGAAAATTAGAGTGGGTGATGGGTTGCATATCCTCTTTTGGACTGATTATTGGTTTGGTGATGGCCCTCTGATTCAAAGTGTTGAGGGAATGGATGAAGATAAACTCCCGTTGAAAGTTGCTAATTACCTTGCTCATGGAACTTGGGATCTTCATAAGTTAAAGGAAGACTTACCCCTTGAGATGGTTGCTTATATCATTTGTGTCCCTACTGGGTTATGTTGTAAACATGACTCGCCTATTTGGAAACATACTTCTATACTTCTAATGGTTCTTTTAGTGTCAAATCTGCTTACAAGGCTAACTGCAAGGACTTTTCCAATATGGATGTTATCTGGGCCTTTATTTGGACTTTAAAGGCTCCCCCTAAGATTAAATATTTTCTTTGGTTACTCCACCAAGATCGGTTTTTAACTAATGAACAAAGGGTCAGGCGAAGGATGACTCTACATGCAAGTGACATTTGTGGTGCCCTTGTGGAGAATGTGAATCATATTGTCATGAGTTGTTTAATGGCTTCTCTTGTTTGGTGCCAATCCTCCTTGCCTATAAGTTTGAACTTGTCGCAGCATGGCAACTTGATTACTTGGGCTAGAAGAAGTTTACACAACACAACTGCACCTTAATGGGGTATGAGGTTGTGTGTTCTACTTTGTTTGCTTTCACATGCTGGTTCCCTTGGAAATGGAGGAACAAGAAGATTTTTTATCCTGGGTTTGTCTTCCCTCCCAATCCCAGTCACATAATTCTTTTGGCTATTGTAGATTGGCAACATGCCAACATTGATCTTGCTCGTAAACCCATCCGCTCTCTAGCCACTCTATCCTGGCAGTACCCTACTACATGAGTGACTAAAATTAATACTGATGGTTGTCGAAATGGAGAGACTGATCACATTGCTGCTGGTGGTGTTCTTAGATCAAGCTCTGGGATGTGGGTTAAAGGGTTTGCTGCTAATATTGGTTATGATCAAGTATTAGATACTGAGTTATGGGGTATCTGTAAGAAGGTTTATTACATTAAACCTACTAAAGTGATCTTCTAATCAACTTCGGATTACAAAGACTTATTGTTTATTAGGAACTCAAAACCTATCTCGATTAGGCAAGCCTGTAAACAGTGTTCAATAAGGATAATGAAGGCTTAAGGGTTCCTAGTTCTACAAGGATTGGAATGGATTAATCCTATAGCATGAAGGATATCTCTAAGTGTTTCTTGATGGGCAAGACACTTAGAGAGATGCACATAAATAGAAGGCTCCCTCCTAGATCCGAAACACACAACACAGCTAAACAGAAATTCACCCATCAGAGTTATAGCTATAAGGATCAGATTCTCAGGAGAAGAACTTCTATATCTTGCGTTGCCAATCTGTTCCAGCATCATCCAATCTGCGCCAGCACCATGTCAGACTCAGGTTAGTGTTAAACATGTTATGGCTTTAAAGAATTAACATGTGGTATCAGAGCTTAAGTTATATCATGTTATACCTAAAGGTTTCTTGAAGGTTTCTACAGATCATGGCTTACAGTTCTTGTGCAGTGATTGAGTAAGCCAAAGTGACTCAACCATTGCATGATTACTATATTCAAGGTTTATGATCAGAATTTGCACCATGATGCAAAACATGTCGAAAGGCTTTCTATCCAAAGATGTCAGCAGTTTGATATGTCTTGCATCATGGTGGATCGACATGGGACATGGATAGATATGGATTAGTGAAAGGTTTTCTTCTGTCTAAAGATGTAGAAGATCTTTTGCTCCGGAAATTCACATCTACTCGTTTTCCAGTGTCAATAAGCATGCTTGAATCACTGTCCAAAGATGTGATTAAGTGTGTTTGATTAAAGTTCTGGGGAAAGTTATATATATATAAAGTGCTTATCTTGTTTTAAACATGTACAGTCAATCATAACTCGATTCGAACTCTCACTGGCTCAAATTATAAGAAATGGAGAGAAGATGTGGAAATTGCTCTTGGACTTCTGGATTATGAGATGGTTCTTACTGATGAAGCTCTATCAGTACCTGCGAATGATGCATCTGCTGAGACTAAGGCTAAATATGCAAAGTGGATTAAGGCCAACAAAGTGGCAATTCTGATCATGAGGAGGTCTATTTCAGAAGAGGTCAGAGGCAGTATTATTGAAACTGAGAGTGCTAAGCTATTCATGGAAACTATTGCAGAAAACTTCCAAGGATCCAAGAAAGCTGAAATTGGCACACTCATGAGCCATCTGACAGATATGAAATACAATGGAGAAGGCTGCATAAGAACTCATATTCTGAACATGGTTGAGATAGGAAACAAGCTGAAGGCTCTAAAAGTCAATGTGGATGAAACCATGATGGTGCACTTCGCTATTAATTCTCTACCTAGCATTTATAGACAACTGAAAACTACTTATATTGCTCATAAGGAGATATGGTCAGTTGCTGATTTGATAGGTATCTGTGTGCAGGAAGAACAAAGTATCAGAAAGGACAAAGGAAAAGAACAAGTGTATTTGGTGCAGGATACTAAGTTTAAACCAAAGGAATGGACCAAAAACAAGAACACAGATAAGTAGCAAAAGAAAGATGAGTCTGCAAAGGGCACGGGTCCAGTAGGTTTGAAGTGTTTCTTCTGCAAGAAATTTGGACATTTAAAGAGAGATTGCAGAAGATACAAGCGCTGGTTGGACAAACAAAAGGGAAAAGGTAAGCATGAAAATGTCTCTGTGATTTATGAATCTAATACAGTTGAAGTTTTATCTAATTCATGGTGGTTAGACAGTGGTGCAACAGTTCATGTGACTAACTCTTTGCAGGGATTCAAAACAAAGAGGGTGCCAAACAAGGATGACTTGAAGGTGTTCGTGGGAAATGGAGAAAGAGTTAGAGTAGATTTTGTTGGTTTAGCTAGTCTTGAGTTGGAGTCATGTTTTATTTTGGAATTAGTTGATGTCGTTTATGTTCCTTCTATGACAAGGAATCTGTTATCAGTTAGCAAGCTTGTAAAATCAAACTTACAGTTTGAGTTTGATGAGTCTGGTTTCTCCATTTTCAGAAATAAAAGTTTTATTGGTAATGGATTATTGATCGATGGAATGTTTCGTTTGAACTGCAAATTACCAAATCAAAGTACGGAGATGATAAATGTGTTAAGTTCAAAACAGCCTTGTAATACAGAATCTTTCACACTATGGCATAAGAGACTTGGACATGTCTCGAAAGAAAGAATGAATCTCCTAAGCAAAGAATCAATTCTCCCACCACTTAATCACCATGAACAAGATAAAACATGCATTGAATGTGCAAAAGGAAAGCTAACAAATCTCATAAAGAAAGGGGCAATAAGAAGTGAGAAACTACTTGAGATAATACACACAGATATCTGCGGACCTTTTCCAGTTGATACACAAGATGGTTTCAGGTATTTTATTACTTTTACATATGATTTTTCAAGATATGGATATGTGTATCTGATAACAGAAAAATCCAAAGCATTGGAAATGTTTAAAATCTACAAGGCAGAAGTGGAAAACCAGCTGGATTCTAAGATAAAAGTTGTAAGATCAGATAGGGGTGGAGAGTTCTATGGCAAGTTCACAAAAAAAGGAAGAAATCCAGGACCTTTTGCAAACTTCCTACAGCAAGAGGGCATTGTTGCACAATATACAAATCCTGGAACACCACAGCAGAATGGTGTTTCAGAAAGGAGAAATAGAACCTTAATAGAGATGGTGAGAAGCATGATGTGTTGTGCAAAGCTTCCTACTTTTCTATGGGGAGAAGCTTTAAAAACTGCAAACTACCTTGCCAACAGAATTCCCACCAAAGCTACAAACAAGATACCCTACGAAATCTGGTGTAAAAGAAAGCCTAGCTTGGCTCATCTAAGGACCTGGGGATGCAAGGCAGAGGCAAAGCTGTACAATCCTATGCAGAAGAAGCTTGATTCCAAAACAGTGAGTTGCTTCTTCATAGGATATCCAGATAGGACAAAAGGTTATAGGTTTTATTGTCCTAAAAATAACACTAGATTTGTGGAAACACAGCGAGCAATTTTTATTGAAGAAGAAGAGGAAGGATTAGATGAAGCAGATTTTGATTTTGATGAAGTTTTGGAAACTAAGGAAACTGCAGCTGAAAACCAAACAAGAGAAGCCACTATCTACCTTTTGATGCGTTGGAAGAAAACCAAGCCTCACCAATGGATGCAAAAGGGAATAATGAAGAAGGACAAGTGACTGAAAACCAGCAAACTGCAGTAGAAGAAATGCAGACAGATCAGCCAGTACAGGTTCCAGATTTACAGCTCAGGAGATCACAGAGACCTAAAAGGCCAGCCTTGTCAAATGACTACTTTGTTTACCTGCAAGAATCAGAGCATGACATCAATACTAAGGAAGACCCTGCAACTTTCAAGCAGGCCATGGAAAGTGACAAAAGTTCACAGTGGTCTACAGCCATGGAATCTGAACTAGAATCAATGAGCAAAAATGGGGTATGGAAACTAGTTAATTTGCCACTAGGATGCAAACCCATAGGATGCAAGTGGGTTTATAAAACCCAAAAGAATGCACAAGGACAGATAGACAGGTATAAAGCCAGATTAGTGGCAAAAGGTTACACACAAGAAGAGGGAGTTGATTACAATGAAACTTTCTCCCCTGTATCAACTAAAGATTCATTCAGAGTCATAATGGATTTGGTTGCTCATTTTGATCTACATCTTCATCAGATGGACGTTAAGACAGCTTTCCTAAATGGAGAACTGATTGAAGAAATATATATGAAACAGCCGGATGGTTTTGGCTCAAAAAGGGAAGAGAATTTAGTGTGCAAGCTGCAGAAATCAATATATGGTCTAAAACAGGCATCAAGACAATGGTATCTCAAGTTTGATGAAGTTGTTAAGTCCCAAGGCTTCATTGATAATCCATTGGATGAATGCATCTATATGAAATTCAATGGAAGGAATTTCATCTTCATGCTGCTATATGTGGATGACATTCTGCTAGCAAGTAGCAATCTGTCCATGTTGCATGACACTAAAAGGATGCTGTCAGATCATTTTGATATGAGTGATTTGGGAGAGGCAAACTATGTTCTTGGAATAGAAATCAACAGGGACAGAGAAAGGAAAATGATCAGCTTATGTCAGAAGGCATATATTGAGAAAGTGCTTAGAAGGTTTAACATGGGAAACTGTACAGGATGTGATGTTCCCTTCTCAAAAGGGGATAAATTGAGCAGTGAACAATCTCCTAAAACTGAGCAAGAGAGATTGGAGATGAAGGACAAGCCCTATGCATCACTAGTAGGAAGCTTGATGTATGCACAAGTCTGCACTATACCAGACTTGGCATTCTGCATAAGTGTTCTTGGCAGATTTCAGTCTAATCCAAGCCAAGCACATTGGATTGCAGGCAAGAAAGTATTAAGGTATTTGCAGAGAACTAAAGAGTACAAATTGGTCTATAGAAAGGTTGAAAATTTGCAGCTGGAAGGATATGCAGACGTTGACTTTGCAGGATGCCAGGATACTAAGAAATGCACATCAGGAGTTGTTTTTCTATTTGCAGGTGCTGCAGTGGCATGGAAGAGCATGAAACAGTAGTATGTGTCAACCTCCACTATGCAAGCAGAATTCTTAGCAGTTTAAGAAGCTACTTCAATGGCAATGTGGCTTAAAAATTTCATGTCTATGCTAAGAATTGTGGATTCAATACAGAAACCGATTCAGTTATGGAATGACAATACTGTGGCAGTGTATTTTGCACAAGGAAATAAGAGATCAAGTGGAATGAGGCATTTGCATTTAAAGTTCTTATCTGCGAAGGAAAAGATTCGAGATGGAGAGACTGCTCTAAGTCACATTGGCACAGATTTTATGATTGCAGATCCTTTGAATATAATCATGTTTTTCACAGGCATGTGGCAAGCATGGGATTGCAATTCAGTTTTGATGCCTAAAGTCAATGGGAGTCAGTGGGAGCTAGAGTTCTTGCAGTTATGTTTTAATTCTGATTTTGTTAACTAGTTTTATCTAGACAGCTTTATTTTGCATATTTAATTGAATTAATTTTATACAATGTTCTGCATTTGCTATTTATGGATGACAAATAGAATAAAGGCCAAACTGTAATCATATCAGCATTATGTTTACAGTTTGAATCTATGAATGAGTCATGAAAGATTGTTAAAAACCTTGGTAGTTTTGAAGGGTGGGCAAAGAACTGTTCAGTTGTGTCACACATACAGTAAAACTAAAACAGTTCTTGTTTTTCAATCCAGTTGGAAGCCTTATGTGTTTTGCAGATTCATGTATGTGATTATAAAAGTCTTGGATGTTATATATCCATGTACTTCGATAGTCCTTTATGAATTTTTCAAAATGACAGTGGCTTGATAAAAGAACAAGAGAATTTTGAGTTCCACATGGCCATTAAGTAATGAACAATAAGTCTAAATTGATTATTTGATCAAGTGGGAGAATGTAAGAAGGTTTATTACATTAAACCTACTAAAGTGATCTTCTAATCAACTTAGGATTACAAAGACTTATTGTTTATTAGGAACTCAAAACCTATCTCGATTAGGCAAGCCTGTAAACAGTGTTCAATAAGGATAATGAAGGCTTAAGGGTTCCTAGTTCTACAAGGATTGGAATGGATTAATCCTATAGCATGAAGGATATCTCTAAGTGTTTCTTGATGGGCAAGACACTTAGAGAGATGCACATAAATAGAAGGCTCCCTCCTAGATCCGAAACACACAACACAGCTAAACAGAAATTCACCCATCAGAGTTATAGCTATAAGGATCAGATTCTCAGGAGAAGAACTTCTATATCTTGCGTTGCCAATCTGTTCCAGCATCATCCAATCTGCGCCAGCACCATGTCAGACTCAGGTTAGTGTTAAACATGTTATGGCTTTAAAGAATTAACAGTATCTACCATGGTCTCAAATTCTTGGGATATGGGCTGCAGTGATGTTGTGCTGGAATCTGACTCAGCCATTGCAGTGCATCTTCTCAATAAAGCTATGGGTGCCCTCCACCCTCTTGCTACCTCGTTATGGGGCTGCCAGGACTACATTAAAAAATGTTTGGGCTGCTCTATTTATCATGTCTATCATGAATGCAATATGGTGTTTGATAGACTTGCTAACTTGGGCTCTTGCCTTGATTTGGGTCTCTGTACCTTTCAAGTGCCTCCCGACAGTATTAGGTCCTCTGTTGTTGATGACCTGAGTGGTCTCTGTAGGCCTCGGGTCATAGTTTAGTGTTTTCTTTTGGGCATGGCCCCATCTTTTCACCCAAAAAAAGGAGAGTAATCCATCACCATCATTGAACTCTATTTGTGATTTTTTATGATGGTTAGTTCGGATTTGTTTCGTGTGAACTGTGCATGGGTAGGGGAGGGATACTGGAAAGGCGGGTGTTTGAAAGGGTTGGGGGAAGCCATGGATAATTAGGTTTGTTTTTATTTTTGTTTTAAATTATGTTAATCTTAAAATTTAAAATTATAATGAATTAATTAACAGAAAATGAAGTTAAAATTTGGATTTAACGGAAATTGTAACGGAGTTAGACTCAAGTGGTAAATTACAACACTTTACAAATTTTAGGTGGTTAAAAGTAAAAATTAAAAGTTCATGTGATAATTGAACACAGCCCTAAATGTGGTATTAATGCAAATTTCCCAAAAATAAACAAATGAGTGTGGGTTAGGGATAATTGTGTTTATGTTGAAATGGGGTTAAAATATAAACAATTCGTGTTTCGGTCAATTATAACTTTTTCTTTTATAAAAACTAGCCCCTTGGCACATGCTCACGTATGTGCCAGTTGGTTTTATTTATTTATTTATAAATTTTATTTTTAGAATTAAGAAAAAATAAAATGGGTAGTTATGTTCTGCAAAAGTAATACCTATTATTTGATTTTGTTTTAATTTAAAAAATGTGAATTTACCATATTATCCTCGTTTAATTCATAATTTTAATTCATAATGTTTGAATTAACCAATGACATTTTCTAGTATTTTGAATATTTCACCATTCTCTGTCTTTTGCTTTATATATATAGATAAATAAAATATATGTTTCACTAAAACGAACAAGTTTATAACAATGGTAAGGTAAGATTTATGTGTTTGTTTAGATCTAATGGATTGCTAGACTAATATACTAACTTTGGTTCGGATTAGTCCAAATGAGAAAATTTGATGCTTTTTAAAAAAAAATATATATATATATAGTCCCCTTCTATTGAGGGATCCCTCAAATAATTTTATTTGAGGGACGCCCTTTAGGGTACCTTACAATTTTTTTTCTAATGATCCAAACTATATATTTTTTAGGTCTTCATTCATAGATCATCCTTATAAAAAATTAGACAAATCGGAAACCTTTTCGACATCCAATTGTGTCTTACAAAATCAATGAACACGGTGCTTCAAGAAAGTACTAAAATTTCAATAACTCAATTGAGTGGTCAAATGATATCGGATTCAAGTGATTTTTTGTAGAGATAATCTTTGAATGAGTATCTACAAAATAGACGGTTTGGATTAGTGAAATACAATCCATAGTGGGGCCTACAAGGGGTGTCCCTCAAATAAGCTTATTTGAGGGATCCCTCAATGGAAGCTCTCTCTGTATATATATATATATATATATATATATATATATATATATGCCTTCTATGATGAATTTTTATATATAAAAATTATAGTAAATTTGAGAATTCATAATGGTTGGGTTGGGTCAAGATAAGAAATTGATGGATTCATCCATAAAGCACAATAATTTTTGGAGTCGTTCTATGGTGAGGGTGTCATATATAGACCTTAGATCTAGAACTTCATGTTAGTCACATGATTTATCTGAATAATAACTTCACTTAAATTTAATAAAATAATCACGTGGCTAATATAAAGATTCACATGAGATGTCGATATATGACACCTTTAGTATATGGTACCTATACTATAGAATTTCGCAGAATTCTTGATCCGGTTTTGTGGGCCCAAGTAGAATGAGTAAAGTGCAACAAGTCTGGGCCTTAGGAGCTTTTTAACTTGAGGAACCGCTATGCAAGTGCAACAGTGAATGCGAGGAGGAGCGAGGAAAGTAGGAAGGAAGTGGGAAAATGGTGGAAGGCGAGAGGGAAAAGAAGAAGAAGAAGAAGAAAAGGGAGCCTCAGCCTCAGCCATTAGAAGAAGAAGATAACGAGCCTAAGCATAAGAAGAAGAAAACAAGGGAGGGTTTCTATGTCAATTTCTCCAGAAGTGAAACCCAAACCCATGAAGAAGAAGAAGAAGCAAATAAAAAGGGTAAGAGCGAGAGAAAGAATAAGAGAAGACGAAAAGTCAATGCCATACGCGTTGGCGAGCGGCTGGTTTCTCCTTATTTTCACAATCAAGGAGGAGGAGGAGGAGTAGATGGAGAAAAAGGTAAGACCTCTACTAAAATTATTAATTCAGACAGTTGTGACGTACTAGTAGTTGTTGAGACTGAAACAATTTGTTATGAAAATAAAACAGAGAAAAAGAAGAAGAAGAAGAAAAAGGAACAAGAAGGCAACTACAATGTGGATTTAGATGAGGCCAATGCCAATGCCAACGCCAACCATAAAAGAAGAAGAAGAAGAAGAAAAGTTCCGAAATGCGATGATGGCCAACGGGTGGTTTCACCCTATTTTCAGAATCGAGGAGGAGATGGAGAAAAGGGTAAGATATTCCCAACCTCTGCCACCAATTCAGGCATTATTGTTAATGTAGTAGCTCAAACTGAAAAGGCTTCTTATGAAAACAAACCCAAGACAAAGAAGAAAAAGGAAAAACTAAATTGCAATGTGGGTTTACTTGAGGCCAATGCCAATGTTAATTCCGACCGCAAAAGAAGAAGAAAGCCCCTATATGCATTGGACAGCGAGTGGTTTCTCCCTATTTTCAGAATCAAGGGGGAGATGGAAAAAAGGGTAAGATGTTTGCGACCTACCTTAATGTAGTAGCTGAAATTGAAAAGGTTTCTGGAGAAAATAAAACCAAGGAAAAGGAACAAGTAAATTTCAATGACGTTTGTGATGGTATTAGCATAAAGAAGAAGAGGAGAAGGGTAACACGACATGATGAGGATGACAGTAGTTGCAGAAATGCTCTGGAGCCCGAGCCCAAGCCCGAGGAGATTACAGACTTCCTGCCAACCTCTCCGGAAGCCATTCACAAAGATGAAAGTATAGAACCTGCAGGTGTTGCCAATGAGGATGCAACTTCAGTGGAGGTATCCGGTGCTAATGGCATCGGAAAGAAGAAAAGGGGAAACCGTGAAACAAGCACTATGATGAATGTAGTAAATGAGAAAGAAAGGGATGTGGAAGAGAAGTTTGAGATGAATCCCCAAATAAAGGCTAATAAAAGTAATAATGGGATTTTGAAACTTGAGGATGTACTTGCACAATTTGCATACGAGGGTGGTGCTAGCGTGAACAACATACAGATTGACAAACAGAAGAAGATGGGCGCACCGTTGCAAACTTATAATCAAATTAGTGGTGTGAAGAAACAAGAAGTGGAAGAAGAGAAGGAGGAGAAAAAATATCAGAAGGAAAGTGAAACAGCACCTCATTTCCCATTGAATAATATTATCAATTCTTCCATTGTAGTAAGTGAGAGTGCCAGGAACTCAACTGAGGAGCATGCCACTGTGCCAAGCACCTGCAGAACCTTCAAAGAAGAAAAAGTGTGTCAGAATAGTGCAGAAAATGGAAAGGTTTCTTCCAAGAGGAGGAAAAATGAAAATCACCAAAGAATAGCACGTGTGGAAGTCCGAAAGGTTTCCCCTTACTTCCAAACATCAGGAGTGCAAGAATTGTTGGTAAATGGGGCTGATGATACAAAAGCTAAGCCGCCTAAACGCTGTTCAAAAACTTGTTCCAAGTCTGTTAAGGTCTCTTCCTACTTTCAGAAAGAATCCAAAGAAGAAGATAATGTGGATGGCCACTTGTTGGAAAGTAAAAAAAGGCGTAAGAGATCTCCGGAAATTAAGACTGCTCTTTCCGCTTCCCAGAAGAAAGATGAAGCATACCGAAGAAGAACTCCAGATAACACATGGATTCCTCCTCGCTCAGAATATGGTCTCATGCAAGAGGATCATTTCCATGATCCTTGGAGAGTTTTGGTGATTTGCATGCTCCTTAATCGGACAACGGGATTGCAGGTCTTTTTTCTTTATATAACTTTGTCACTTGATTACTTGACCATTCATAGTATTATGTCTATTTGATTTGGACTACTATAAATTGCTAGATTCATAGAAGTACATATATAGAGAGAGTAGGGATTTAGTAAGTAACTACGATAAGTAGTTAAAATAAGTAACCAATCATTAACCGTTAAGTCTAGTTTTGAATCATTCTGATTGGCAAAGTAAAATATTCCCACTCAAGTCTCTTAACATTAGCCTTAGAAAGAGTTCACAATTTGTTTATTTATTTCAGAAAGAGGTATTGGCTCGACTTCTGGCTATGCCATCTCATTTAAAACATAATAGTTTGAGTAATGGTACCAAATACCCCCTATATCTAACTGAAGCATATATGATATAATTCTTCCGAATGATAGCTGTCACTTGTTGTAGGCAATTTGTTTAATGAGGTTTTTGAAAATGCATAATTATACATGGATTTTTAGAAGAGATAATTGTACATGCATATTTAGGACTAGTTCCACCCCTTACCCATAAGGCATTTTCTGTCTGTTCTTTGTATCTTTTAGTAGAGTTCCCTCAGCTTTATTGTTTTTGTTGGTTGTTCTCTTCATGGCTTATGAGTTATTTCCATGTCTTGCTCTAAGAAAGCACTGGAAAATGGAAAAGGAATAATTACTAGATTGACATCAAATTGAATTGAATGATCTTATTAAAATTTGGGTTGCTAGAACATTAGACGCTTTTTAACTTCTACATTGTGTGGTAATGACTATACATAGCCATTTGTGTACTAGGATTGGAAAAGAGGTTTGCAAGCTGAAAGATTATAGAACTTCTCCCTATGATGTTATTGAAGTTAATTTATCTACACTTGTCCTCAGGAGGGACTGGAAGTTTATTTTAATTTCAAACAATATTTCCTTACAGATAAGGTAGAATGTATTTTCAAATTAGTATGGAAAGTATTAACTTTGGGATTATATATTGGATGATGGTTCTGGTGGAGACTGTTATTGAAAGTATGGTGCTTAGTTCTCTAGTCCAGTGACATCTAGTCCATTGCTTTGTATAATTTCATTTCCGTTAGCGAAATTTTTTTCCTATCTAAAACCTCAGAATTCATCTCAGGCCATTGAAGTCTTTAAAATCAGAATCATAGGATTTGGAATTTTCAGACCAAAAAAAAAGAGGGATTTGGAATTTATAACAGTTTATTGTTTCCAAAAAAAAAAGATGCTAACTTGTCTAAGCCTAACTGTTAGAATTGATTCAATGTGTATGACTGCAATCTTAACTGTTAAATAGTATTTATGAAGGTGACTGTTGTTATGTTTTATCAAATAATCCTGTTTACTTGCTTTTCAAAAAAATAAAAATAAAATCCTTGTTTTCTATTGCTAACTGTGCAGTCTAGGTTCTCACATTAGTACAGTATAGCTACATTATACCTATATGTAAATTACACTGAAAATTACTAATCTAAGTTATGCTTTTTCGTTTATGATTTAATATAATGGGTCCACGGTTTTGTTTCATGGCATCCTTGATCTGGTGTTGGACTGTAGATTGGAAAAAAAAAATTAAAAATGTGATCTTGATTTTAAGACTCATTTCAAAGTGATGAAAGATATGAATACTTTTCCCTACTGTTCCTATGGATTTATTGTTTAATGGATTATATGCAGGCAAGAAGAGTTATATCAGATCTCTTCACTTTGTGTCCCAATGCAAAGGCTGCTACTGAGGCTGCCACAGAGGATATAGAAAAGGTTATAAAAAGTCTTGGTCTACAAAAGAAGAGGGCAGCGATGATACAGCGTTTGTCTCAGGAGTATTTGGAGGAAAGCTGGAGCTATGTAACTGAGTTGCATGGTGTTGGCAAGTAAATTGGCTAATCTAAAATCCTTTTATTTGCTTATATATTCTTGTTCTTTCTATTTGTTCCTCTTCCTCCTGTTTATTTTGGCAATACTTAAGAAGCCTAAGCCTATGTCTGGTTTCTCTGGAGTTTTGGAGGATGAGTACATGGTTCCCGAATGTATATGTCAAAATAAAATCATGACCTGCCTAGCCTGGATAAAGCGGTTGCTTTCAGCAATCCAACCATTCATGATGAAATTCATGTTTTCATGGATCGCACTGCCTTATTTTGGGGGATAAAAAATGGTACAATTTTGATGGCATGATGTGACACAACGTGAAACGTTAATTTTCTCTTTAATGGTTGAGATTTTGCAGAGTCCAGACTAGTGTTCTCCCCAAACTCCAGAGAAGCCAATTGACCTCCCTCCCCATCCAATTGCATGCAAGTTATACAACTTGATCTTGATGCAAGCAAGCTGAATTTTCCTGTTTATTTGAGCTAGGTATGCAGCTGATGCATATGCAATATTTTGCACTGGAAAATGGGAACGAGTGAAGCCTACAGACCACATGCTAAATTATTACTGGGAATTTCTCGGCAGAATTGTTCCTCCAGTGTAAGAGGCAGTTTGGCGAGACTTTGTCGTTGAAGACTTCAATGTGTACAGGTGCCTTTTAGACGTTTCTCTTTGTTACTCATATGTACTAAATTGATCTTTTTTGGCATATTGAATTGAATTGCACTTTTAGTTGGAATGATACAGTTCAATAGCTTCAAATTAATAGTTGTATCTAATTACATGTTTTTTTACATGCTCAAATAAAATAAAAGGGATAAATTTAGAGTTTTTCTATTTAAACCTTATACTTTTCTTTATCATCCCCAATACTTAAATTATTAAGCTATTAAGTTTTACTATTGTGTAAAAAGACAAAAAAATCATCCAACTTAATACTTAATCTTAGTACATCTACACACATACCCGATCACTTGGAAGAAGTCAAATTCAATTTGAGTTTCCTAGGCGGCTAGTATGGCAGTTATCCTCACACTCATAGACTGAATCTAACTCGTCTTTCCCTTCTCTTGAAAAAAAAAACAAAAAGTCAATTTGAGTTTCTTCATTTTTGATGAATTGGCTTAAATATCTTGAAGAGTATGTGAAAGAGGGGCGGAGCAACACTGGGACTAGTGTGGTCCCGGGCCCCCACTCAAGTTTTTTTATATTTTAAAAGTAATATATTGTTATGTATTTCTATATGTATATTATTTCAAATACTTTAATTTATTTGAAGTATTACTCCATTTATCCTTTTACTTTAATTTATTTTTATATTACTTCATTTACTTAAGTTTACAATGTAAATAATGAAGTACCCCCTATTTGGATTCAAATAAAAATGCTAGAAAATCAAATTCCCACCAAATCAAAATATGAAAAATCGGTTTTAGTGTAAAATACGATTTAGGCTAAAAATGATGGCTCATTAAGTCAATATATACTTCATACTAAAATCTCATAAAATCAAGTTTTCTTATATGATGTGTAAGGAATAAAAGCTGCCAAGAATTATCTTGAGAAAATGATTATTCTGAAAAACCATTTTTCATACTTAGTCAATATTTTTATATAAAATATTTTTTCATGTATGATATAAATACATGAAGGGACCTAAGGTTTTTTTTAATTTATAAAATTTTGATTTTTTTTCTTTTTATTGGGTTTAATGGGGGAAAAAGCGTTAAAGATATTTGCTAAATATCTACTTTTTGTCTATCTCCATCGACTCCGAAGAAGGCGTCGACTGAAACTTTTCTCACCTTAGGGTTTTCTCTCTTTCATTTCTCTAGAATTAAACTTTAATTAGTTTTGCCACAGTGATACATTAGTTTACTATTATGAATCAAACAATAATAATATCCTTCATTTAGTGATGAAATGTACCATATAACGATTTCCGTAATTAATCAGCATTCAATCAAGAAATTTTGTCTTGATACTTAAATAAAATCTTACTTGTTGTGATTGTTCAATTTGTGTTGCAAGAAAACATAGGGTTTATGTTTTAATTTAACTAAAATTAGTGAAAGACTAACACTTATTAGATTTATGCCAACAATTAGGATCATCAATTGACATTCATTGGATCAATTCAAAACGAATTCAAGTGGACATGGAACATTGAAGAAAAATCGGTCTTTTAGATCCTAATTTCTCCTAAATTTATAAATTTTACGAACTTTTGCAACTTCTCTAAATCGGTCTTTAAAAATTTAAAATGCTAAAGTTGCCAAATAAATTGGCGCTCTCCTATTATATATAATATACAAAAAATTTCTTATGCGGACATTCAAACGTTATTATCATGTGGATGTTATGCATTTTGTACTACCCCTCCATGCTTTCTTGCTTGTTTACAATTACATCCGCACAATAATAATGTACAAACATCCGAATAAGAGAATAATTGTATATATAAATATATATATATATATATATATGTAATTATACAAGTTATGTTTGGGGAGAGGCGGATAAAGGAGAATTGAAGACAACATCGAATCGTCACACCATTGAAAACGACCATTATTTATTTATTTTATTTTATTTTTCCGACATTAGGTATTTTTTAGTCAATAAGCAAGGAAATTAGAAGTAGTTGTAGTGTTTACCACCACACCACGACCTTAGCTTAGCATTTGTAATGTAAATTTCTGTACACAAAAAAGAATTTGTTTTTGATAAGTAATAAAACAAAAATAGAAAATGGAACTAACAACCGACCATGATTTGGTCAGAAATTGAAATTGGAAAGTAGCTGGTCTGATGCAAGAAGTCAAGTCCAAAAGTCAAACGTGTCAGAGTCATTGGCGGTAAAAGATAAAAGATAAATGGCAATTTTGCTAAAAGTACAATTGTCATGTGGTTGTCCCTCCCCAAAATGGGTAATTATGAGAACAAATGTTGTAACAGAGCAGAGGCAATTCTGGTAGTTTTGTTTGCCCTCACTGGCTTCTCACTGTACGACAGGAAACCATTCCTTCATTTTCAATCCTACCTACCTAAGCGCTAAACTAAACTAACCTAACCTCTTCTTAACTAATTTCTGTCCACCTTATTTATTAATTTGGGTCTTCCTATCTCCCTAAACCCCAATCCTTCATTCCGATTCTCAATCCGGCAACTCTCATATTTATAAATATAGATTATCAAAGGTGGATAGGTTGAGGCAGTGGTTTGTGAACCCCAGCTCAATCCATAGATGGGCATGGAGACATCAGAATTAGGCATAACTACTGGTTGTAATAAGCTACCCTTGACTACTACATTCATCCAAACCGACACAAATACCTTCCGAGAAGTAGTGCAGCGTTTAACAGGCAGCAGCAGCCCGCTATCTGATCCTGCACAACAAGCACAACTCAAGAGAACGAGCACCAGCATTCCTAATAATATTACTAATAGTACTGTTAGGAAGACCAAGACATGGTCATCGACGCAGACATGCAAACTTCATGAAAGAAGGCAGTACATGAAGATGAGGCCCAAGCTTGAGATAGTGAAACCACCCACCATGACCTTTCATTCCAAGCCACCCAGTTCATCAAGTTCAAGCCCCTCAGTACCGAGCCCTTGTACAATATTCTCAAAGCTGTCTATACTGCAGCTAGAACAAGCTGAAGAAAACAAATCAACGAATACTCAAGAAGAAGAGAGAGCCATTCAAGAGAGGAGATTTTACTTGCATCCATCACCCTGCGGGGGCAGACCACCTGAACTCCTTACATTGTTCCCTCTTACATCTCCCAAATCAAGTCAAAAGGAATGATCATTTCCAACAAAAATACTTAGCCAAATGTCATCCTCTACGTCATTTCAAAATCCGCAGTATAAATTAGCATTGCATATTCAATTACCAGCACAAATCAAATTATCTGAAATCTCAAGAATTTCCAGTAAAGCAAGCTCTAAGCATTCAAATTCATCACCATGACAGCCAAGATTGTCATATCATGCATGGAAATTTTATTCGAATAATGACAGATAAACCCTGAACTAATGACTAACCAAAATCTAATCTTTTGAAACTTTATTCGGATAAGTCTGCTGAAGAATGCGTTTCAATAATACAGCTTGATTTAGGCTCTGACCTGCCTTCCAAATTTTGAAATCTGGAGGAAAGTATTCAGCATCGCTCCATGACTTTAAGGAATCAATTGAAAAGGGACCCTGTATGTTTCCCTGGGGATCTAAATAATGCCATATCAAGCTCCCCAGCTGATCACCAGGAATCTCCTTTACGTCGTATCTTTCTTCATTTTCCTCATCATTACTTAAATCAATTACCTGAGACGTTATTACCAGCTTATCCACCAGTTTCTGAAATCCCTTAGTGTCTACAATTCCATGATTTTTCCCACCATTGCTCTTGTTTACGGAGGACTCTGACAGTCGTTCCCGCCATTCTTGCCAAGAAGCATCATGCTTGCTTGCTGCTGAAAAATAATGAACATAAATATCAATTTTCATTTTTTGAAATGGTATTGTTTCCTTATATCTACCAATAATAATAATAACAACAATATTAATAACGATAATAATAAAATGTAATGACAAAAATAGCTAATGTGCGATTTCTTTATATTCTCAACAGGCCACCCTCACATAAAGACATGAATATTTAGGAGACGTGGGGCACGTCTAGGCAACTTGGGCCTAACATGTAGATAAATTGCCCGCTTTATTGGCCATGAGTGAGGCCCAAAATTTTATTGATGCAAAGGTTTAGCATACCTGACATGAAATCATCATATTCTTAAAAACGCACCTTCAGAATCTACTCCACCTGAGGTCCGAGTTAATAGAGCTTCTTCTGCTGGTACATCACAAGCAGGAGCTGGCATATCACAAATAGGAGCTTCTGAAGCACCCCTTTGGATATCTGTTGGTGAACTGTGGTTTCCTTCTTGTACTTCATCTGGAGCATCCTTCGGTGCAACTTCTAGCTCTATTTCATCTGCAATGACTTCTGGAACCTCACGCAACAATCTTGCCTGTTCATCTGGAGTCTGAAGCAATTGCCTTCTCTCCAAGTACTCAAACAGTGTAAAATATCAACCAAGTTAAGGATCCAATGAGCAATTTCTTTCACTTCTGTTATAAAATATGAATCATATTGCCTCATTGTGAGCTAAAAGTTGATTGGGCAATACTTCTGCAAATCAGGCAACATATTAAAGCATGGCATATAAGCTGTAGATATTTTGAAAGGATATTCTCGGCGCCATCCCTTTTCATTGGCTTGATCAATTAGTTTCTGTAACAAAGCAAGTTCTCGCACGAGCCACTGAAACAAATCCACAAGATGGAGAAAATGTCACACAATCAACCTCCACTTACATCACAGACATCAGAGAAAGTCCGTAGTTTGGGTGAGAAGTGGTAGCCCCACAAGGGAGACGCCAATATAAATAAATAAAAGTTAATCAATTTTCTGTTTAGAATTTAGTCCCTGATGATAAGGAATCAGCAGAATTGCAAAATATGGTTAGAGAGCTAATATATGCAGAATATGCTATATGTTTGGAGAGGGAAAAGAAGGATATCCCTTGGATCAGGATTTATTTTGGACATTACATCACAACACCTATAGGATATGTCGAGAAAATAGGGAAAGAATGAGATGCCTTAATCCTAACCCTACAAAGCGTTTAAATAGAATACAACTCTCATCACAATATGAAACTAAATAACAACCAAATCACTTAATTCACAAAACTAGACCGCACCCTTAAACAAACCAGGCAAACAAACATTCTGACCTACTTTGAATCATATTTATCACAAACCAGACCCTCTCGCATAAGTCAACCACCTCCCCACGCCCAACATGTCCTTCTATTTCTCTTCTTCCAAACTACGCAACAAATAGCCGTCACAGCACACCTCCCCAAGACCACAACCCTGTTGCCCCCAAAAAATTAAGCTTCCACATAATGATGTATTACATGAAGCAAGAGTAACCCAGCTAAAATTAAACGCCCTTAGCCACAATGACAGTGCAACTAATGACTAAGCAAATGATGCATGCCTTCAGCACCACATCTAAACACAGCACACAAACAGGGAGAACGTCAAAAAGATCACCTTCTTTGAGCCATATCACAAAGGTTCATTCTCACATGAGCAGTTATCCAAGGTAACACCCATACCATAGGTGATCCTTTACGTACGATAAACTTTTATTCTCCAACACTACCCCTCAAGCAACAGCAAAGATGTAAAAAACATTTTGGCATGGCATGCATATTATCGATAAACATCTCTTCCTTTTGGGTTCATTACACACGAACAATATAAAAACTCAGCCCCTATTTGAAAAAATACACAAACTTGCAAAACACTCTGACAAAGATTCTTCTGTTGACAAGAAAATTTATGTATAGTTGAATACTTACATGCTTTGTTATATCCTCGTGCAACATCTGGACCTTTTCTTGAAGCTCCACCTGTCAAAAGTTTAACAAACAGATTAAAAAGATGAAGGGTAAAATATTAGAACAATGTAGCTGACCATAAAGAGAAAAGAAAAAGACTATTCTGCACATAGATCTGATAATCAATAGCATGGCAAAGAGAATAAAAACTCCACACCAAAGACAACCAAAATTACAAGGTTCAACAAGTTGATTACGTTCATAGCGGAGAGAATCCACAAAGAAGCAGTAATAATTATAAAGGTGTTAACCTCTTTAACAGTTATCTGAAAAGTTTGCCATGAAGGAAGCCCCCACAAGGTGTAACTGAGTAAGAGGCTCACCTGTTACCTCTGCCCTCTGGAGAGGAAGGCCCTAGGGCAGTATAAATTAGTATCCCTTAATATATTGAACATAAGACAACACATGATGGCTTTTGCTCAGTAAGTATTATATCAAGCAATGAATTCCGTTGCTTCATGGTACCCACTTGCACCCTTTTGGTGGACTACGCCCAAGTCCAAGGTAATTCTTGAGTATATTTGTTAGGACTAGCTTAGCAAACATAGCAGTAAATTTGTTATCTGTTTAGTTCTCTTTTGGTTAGTTGGGGAGGCGGGCATCTATTGGTTTCTGTTGTTGTGATCCTGATGGTTTTCTTGTCCATATTATTTGTAATTTATTTTTGCTCTAACAAAATTGTTGTTTCCTATTATATCCAATTACCAATGAAATGGTTGGCCAAGCAAATAACCTTCTTCCCATTTTGATAGGTTAACAAACATTAGTATAAGAATGCCTGGCCACCATTACCTGAGTTGTATACAAGAGGACAATGGTATATAGCCAAAAACAGAATCCAACAAAGTGAGATAATAACAGGTATCCTAATTCACCACTCAAACAACCACCTTAACATATTGGACATCACTTCCACAATGGAATGTTCTACCCTTCAAAATCTATTACATTCCTTTCTAGTCACAAGGACCAGAAAGGCACAACTTATCCCGCAAAAACTCTGTTGTAGAAAATATTAAACATTAGACAATCTCCAACACACAGAACTTTAGCAAAAGCACCTACCACTAAGATTCTCAATCAGAGTTTGCATCCATCTAAATTGCAACCTCACCTAAAACCAAAAGTTATCCAATTTTAACGTTCTTAAAAGATATTCCAAAATAACTACCTTAACCGCATTCAATACTTCTTTCCAAACTTTTACATGTACTGGCTACCAAGGGCCATGCTAAGTAGACAAGAGACAAACAAGACCAGTTCACGCCACTAGATACATGAGAAATCAACCACACTATTATATGGAACCGAAGGCATGCTGCCCAACTCATTGTCTGCATTCGGGAATATCTTTGGTGAGAATTTAGAAGAACAAAATCCAGAATATAAGTACATTTAACCATAACTGGTTTCCATACTATTATGCAACTAACACCCATTCAACCAGGGCATATGTGTTTGGGCATCAAAAGACGGTAATCATGCGGCACTAAACCATTTATTTTGAAACCTTAAACAGACTAGGTCCTTGCTTTCACCTCAAGACCTCTGTTGTATTAGAAAAAGCTTCTTGATGGTTATATAGAGTAGATTAGCAGTTAATAAACATGTGAATGGAAGCAAAGTTCCATAAGTTTCACGTATGACGTGGTAACATTCTTTTTTCTATGTTTCCAAAATACTACCTACTTTTGGCATAGGAAACATGATTTGTATCGAAGCCAAAAAAGAAGAGAAATTTTACAGGGACAAGATATTAGCAGTTACCACTGTAAGACTCTTGAGCAACCCATCTTTTATTCTTTGACGCAAATCCTCACATTCTTCCTGCAAAGCAACCAGCAGAAATGGTTAGGCAAGATAAATAAAACATGCGCAATTATATTAACGAATGCCAGAACCTGATGCATACTTTAAAAGAAGGAATTACTGACTGAAGGCTTTGAGGAATTTCACAAGAACAGGGTAAGAAATGCACCAACAAATGAAACATACATTAACCTCATTTTAAACAGGGAAGATTCAGCGTGTGTGACATTAGAACAATAATCTTGGTATCAAGTATTGTATTATAGGATATATCATTTAAGGGAGGTCTTGGGCGACACAGTGTTAATTTAATCAGCACAAAGGGTTTTTTGTAGAAGGGAGGCAAATTTTCAAGATCGATTTTTCAAAAGGCTAAGGTTTTAAGACAATGTGGAGTGGTGGTGGAGTTTTATTGTGGAGAAGAAAAATTTGTTTGGCAGGCAGCATATTTATCTGAAATTATTAAAATAACCCTAATTTAGAATTGTTCCCCAAAAAAAACACCAATTGGCATTTGATGAACTAGATAGCAGCAACAGGAGTGATCCATTAAGTAGATTGATTAGATTTCGGGTTTCACCGGGGAGAAGTTATCATCGGACAGCTCAGAAATTTGGACTTGTTTTGGGACGGCGAGGCCGGAAAGCCGAAGAAGAACTCCTCTGTTGCTGCTGCTGCTGCTGCTGACATTATCATCATGAACAAGACCTGTAACTTGGAGAAGCTGGTGAGAGTTCTTCTGCGAGATGTCATTAGGGTCGGCCTTGATTCTGACAAGGCTTCCCACAACTTTAGCCTCCTCAAACAACGCTTGATTTTGTGGCTCCTGCTCCTGCTGACTGTGATGAAGAAGAAGATGCTCCACCAAAGACCTCCGCAAATACACCAGCTTTATGTTCTCGGGGATGACGGCCGCAAAACAGCTTTTGCTTTTTGGAGGACAAGCAGAATCGATTCTCTTGGGCTTTTTCTGCTTCCGCTGCCGAGATTGCGATTGAGAAATGTTGTCGTCTGCTGAGCCTAAGAAGTAATTGGAAAAGGGGTTTTCGTCGTCGTCGTCGTTTTCGTCGTTGTCGGTTGAGTCGTCTTGTTGATTTTCGGCGAAATGTTGGTGGAGCAAGTCGTAGATTTTGACTCGGCCAATGGTTTTGCGGGCGAAGAGCGAGTGGAGGGTGTCGTCGCAGACGATTCTCTTCTTCTTGGTGGGGTGCTGAAGCTTGTGTTGATTGACGTAGTCGGTGATGATGGAGGCGACGTCGTATTGCGAGATTGGATTGCTGGTGTCTCTGCCAATCGATTCCAGAAACTCAAAGAGCCGCCTGGAGCCCCACCCGGTAAACTCCACTAGTTTCTTGGACCGGACCCGTTTGCTTTGTCGGAACGGAGTCGAGTTAGGATCCGGGTTCGGAGTCGGATCCGAGTTCGGAGTCGGATCCACCGTCCAACTGAATGAACAATCCATCAATCAAATCAAAACCACCTTCTTGTTCTTGTACCTTGAGCAAAAACGCTCACAGACTCACTCGCTCACTCTCACTGTCTCACATAGTGAAGAAGAAAGTGAACAATGATGACGTAGGCCAATTAAACGCTTTTACTCTTATTCAGGCACACCTGGCTGTCCACGTCACCAACAAATCGCCACATGTCTCTTCTTTTCAGCTCCTCTTCAGTTAAATTAAATAAATAAATTTGAATTTCCGAAGAACACTTTCTTTCTTTGTTTGTTTGTACAATCAATTTGGTAACTATTTGGTACAAGTGGAATCAATCCAATAGAGGGCGGCCTCGTCGGAATCAATCTAGTCAGCTGCATGCAACCGCCTTCCTGAAAAGACCCACCTTTTTCCGACAATGTAAATGTGTTTTTTTCTCATGCAAATAGGAGAATTACAAACTAAAATCTCGCGAGGACGGAGGTCAAAAGAGGTCAAAAAATAAAGCAGAGGAACAGAATGAGGGAATGTGGTTTCGATTTGAATGGGGGGAAATGTAAATTTGAATTTTTTTTTGTTTTAAGTTTTTTTCCCAAAAAAATTGACTTCAATTTTTTAAAGTTACTCGCTGGATTGTAAAACAAATTTAATATGAACTGTGTTGGTTTCTTATCACGTATTTACATAAAATCTGAGAATCCAAACAGATTTCATCTCACATCATTATTATTTCTTATGTGCTCACAATTCAAAATCTAACATGATAAGATTTCATCTCATCTTCAACCATTGGATTGGATTCTCTTATCTCAATCTCAATCGTCAAAATCTTATCTCAAATATCATATATGTTTATACCATATCTGATCGGCTAATTACTCTACAACACGTGGAACATGGGACCTACAAAGAGGGTCCACAAAGACTAGTGAAGTACTAAGGCCCGTGAATTACCATCGAGTAAGTGAGCCTTCGGCAACCTATCCTGCCGATCCGACTAAAGAAGGCGCCTCACAAAGTTCTCACTTACATGGACACATGGCAACCTCTCAAGAAATGCCCAAAGTCCCACATTGATACACAACTCGAGGTGCACACACCCCAAGAGTCTATAAATAGGGGCACAAGTCCCCCCAAAAAAGGTAACAGTAACATTCGGCTACTTAGTCCTTACTCTATTAAAATCATTATTCACCATGTTCTTAAAGCTAACTTAAGCATCACAGAGCCTTCGACTGATACCACACCAATACCCAACATCTTATTGTTTGCTATCTGTCTAGTTGATCGTCCACGTCTGTCGAAGAGCTTGAAACCCGAGACTATTAGCACCACTGGTCATCATCATCGACAACGTTAATAATTATCAAAAAATTTTAAAAACCCAAGTCTCTTAACCATCGGTAACAGACGTTGGTAATAATTAGCACGTAGCCTATTTTATTGCCTTAACTATTAGCCATCGACAATAGGATAATAAGCATCACATGCAAATCGACTATTACGATTCAATTCGCAAATAATCATAACATATATACATAAAAAAAAAAAAAAAAAAAAAAAAAAAAGTTCCTCTGTCAGGCCTTCCGACAGAGGCGACATCTCTCCCATGAAGTTCAGATTTAGCTTCTGGCCTGGGTTGAAGTGCTTGAACCTATAAATGTGATATTGCTTCCTTTCTTTCCTTTTATGTAAGTGATTATTAACCGTTAATTAATGTGAATCTCATAGCAAGTCTCGCATGAATCAGCAGTTCACGTTTACGCCATACACGTGGATATTATTAACTCATAATCAATGAATCTTACAGCAACGGGTAAACCCCTGCCCAGCTCAAACAGCTCCTACTGGAATGAAGGTTCAGTTATTGATTTCCATAAATTGATATAATATTTTTAACTTTTTGTTTTCTCTTTTATACAAGAACAAATCCGTAACCTATTGAACACCCAAAAGCACAAAATGAGCTCTCCATATCAAAATGGTCTAGCAGATACAAGTTTAACCATCTCTAGAATGAACAAATCCACAGCAACCAGTAATGTAACTAAGACATGTAAAAATAGTTTACAGTATATTTTTTTTATAAAAGAAAACAAGAAAACACAATATCAAAACAGTTCCAATAAAGTATTTAAAGAAGAGATCCTGATAATGTAATAAAAGACAGATTCCATTGCAGGTTCATTTTTCAAATATTGTGGCTACATCAAATAAAATAAAACTACCAAGAAAAAGTTACCACATCAAATTCTTAAAAACTTCTTTAGGATCATATCTTATCATCATTGTTCCAGGAAACAGTATCAATGAAGACCAAAAGATGCTAACTTATCCAAGGAAATTCATAATCACCAAGTGCAGCACCAAGTTGCAGAGAACAAAATCTGCAAAAGCCCGTTCTGGAGGTAAATCCTGCAGTTTTACAAACAAACACTGATCAGGACGAGGATGGAAGAGGATAGGTCAAGGTGGGCAAAATAACATTACCAACATTGTCAATTCCTTAATGCATGATGAACAAGGACCATCGGAAACGAAAACTGGTTTAGAGCGCACAAACTTCCCACAACTCTAAATTTGTGAATCAGACAGAAGGACAAGAAACAAACAGAGTTTACCTTAAATTCTTTGTTTTCTTTGTTCACTTGAATACGGAGACAAACTGCAAAAGAAGTAATCAGTTTCCAAGTTAACCTCCTCATGTCCAATATGAGCTTTCACCCAACAAAGAAAAAACTACATCTTCCCCTTACCAGCAAGGACTGCTGTCCCTGTACAAGAGAGTACTCCTGAGAGAAATGAGTTAAATGGGAATGATCCGACAATAGCCATGTAAACTACCTGTTAATCAACAAAGTAGATAACTAAATCAATTAAAGAAACCATACCCAATTGCAACAAAGGTGGCTTCCACCATTCATGGGTTATGATTGTAGTAGTTAATGCATGATGGCATCATTGGAAATAGGTGGAAGAATATGTTGAAGTGGGCTAGGAGGGGAGAAAAGAGTGGACATGGTGATCAAGAATGACAAAATTGATCCACGAATGTGAATCCGACAGGTTGGTTTCCTTCCAATAATTTATGTAGGAGATTATCATATTCTCACGATTCAATTAAATGTCATATCTAAAATTATCCCTTTTGTGGTTGTATAAGATGCATTTTGTTGGACTTTATTTTTTTTTAGGAATTATATGTAGACACCAACACTAGAACATCTAGCCTCGAACATATGTCCTTATAAGTTTTCTTCTTCATTTTTTTCTGCGGAACCTCCAAACACCTAGTAATTAATATTATGTTAACAACATTCACCAAATAGATTCATGCACAACGGTGCCTTGTGGAATGCAAAACTACGTACATAATCAAACCGGAAGGCGTACAAACTCATGATAGAAAAGACTGAGGCTCAGATAACTATACATTTATATTAAAAAAAGAATAAGATTTCACTGATCCTAGCTATTCATATTGATCTAAGTAAATAGTAAGGAGTTCAAATGGAAAGGCAGGTCAAATTGCAAGCCTATCCAAGAATCCAAGATGCTTTCCCTTCTCCCCCTTTGCTTTTGTTTTTTAGTTTTAAGAGTAAATCAAAATGAGGCATTTCAATTCTGCATCTTGACAATTGCCCAAATATTTTGGGCACCCAAACAGAGCAAATAAAAAAAAATTATAAACATAGAAAAACGGAGAAAGGAAAATTGAGATCATGGGAGTACCTGGATGAGAGCTGTGGACACAGCGAAACCAACATAGAGATCAATGATCTGCAAATTTATAAAAGAAAATGACAAAGTGGGTTAAGCATTTCTTATCCTTATTTAGTGAATTCTCAGAGAGAGAGGAGAGAGAGACCTTGAGACTGGTGGGAGTGGCAGAGTAAGCTGAGCGCAGAGAACTGAAGAGGGCAAGCGCGTCCTTGGTCGTGGACGATGCCGATGCTTTCCCCATTTTTTCTCTTCCTCTACACTTCACTACTTGGTCGTCGTCGACTCGTCGGCTGGTTTCTGAGTTTTAGATGGATCGAATACTTGACCACTCTGGTCAACCAGCCCTTGGTTAGGGACATTATCGTCATTTTGAATAATTGTAAAAGAATCGGGTAATTGGGTTGGGTGGGGTTTTTCAGTATTCCCCAGTCACCACTACGCAACCCACCTTCTCAACTGCATGTGGCAATCAATCGTACTCATGTCCGGAGAGAGAAGTCCAAAACAAAGTCGGCCGAACTGCATCATGCATTTACCATTGACTGTTTTTCTTTTTTCTTTTCTTTTTTGATCAAAAGTTTTTGTTGAAATGAAATCTCTTGATTTTATACGCAAATGCAAGCTTAACAAATATTATTATGCTTCTTTGATATTACAATCCATCCATCCATCCATCCTCTGGCAGAATGACTGTTTTTCTTGCTCATAAACGCAAGTGTGGCGGCATCTCCACATTTATCCAACCATGTGCTACAGACTGTTTCATGAAAACTCCATAACAGCTGAGACATTTTGTGCATCATAAAGCAATACAAATACAGAGCGACCAAATATCCTCTCTCGCATGGCTTAAGGAAATGGAAAATAACTACACTTTTCAGTGCGCTGTGAAGGCTAGCTAAAACATAATAAAGTAGAGAGATACTAGAAAGAAAGCAAAGTATAAGTCCATCTCAACCACATTGTCTGCCTTACAACGCAAATGCTGGCATTCTGCATCCTCAATTTTATTTTACCACGCAGATCTTAATAACAGAGGCGACTCCAATACGATGAAGTGCCACTACTGCATCACCCAGCTTGCACAGTCCCCTCGCTGTTGCTGACTTGAGAGCAGCTTCCAGGATCACCTCCGTGGATTCTGCATCAGTAGCTTTCGCAGATCCTTCAGCCAATAGAGGAATCAGCCCCCTGTAGATCAGGCTATGCCTTGCCGGGGTCTCATCACTGCAGCTCCAATCAAATGCATCTGTTGTCAAAACTGGAACAACCACCGACAGGATAGGAACTGCTGGCCTGTACTTGGCCACCAATTTGGCTGTGCTCCCACCTCGTGTCAACACAACAATGAGTTTGGCTCTGGCCTTGTTGGCTGTTCGGACAGCAGAGGATGCAAGACTCTCCAACGGGCTCATTGGAAGTGGTGTCGACTTTATCATCTCCTTAAAGATAGCCCCGTAATCAAGGGAAGATTCTGCCTCAATACATATTCGAGCCATGATCTTCACAGCAAGTTCCGGATAGGACCCAGCTGCACTCTCACCACTAAGCATGACACAATCAGTGCCATCAAGGACAGCATTAGCTACATCTGTGGCTTCAGCACGGGTTGGCCGCGGAGACTTGATCATTGATTCAAGCATCTGAGTGGCAGTGACCACAGGCTTCCCCACAAGATTACACTTATATATCATCATTTTCTGTGCCAGGAAGATTTTTTCAACTGGGATTTCCATTCCAAGATCACCACGGGCAACCATGAATGAATCAGTCTCACGCAATATATCATCAAAGTTGATAACTCCTTCCTGGTTCTCAACCTTTAGAAACCACAAGAAACACACATTCACTTGTTAACTAATGAAAATAATATCCAGTCTACTATCAATAAATCCATTAGTTTATTTGCTATGAGAGAGAGAGAGAGAGAGAGAGAGAGAGAGAGAGAGAGAGAGAGAGAGAGCATGCAGACACAAAACAAAACACAAAAACCGAAAAAAATAAAGTTGCAGGTCATCTTAGTATATCAATGCCTGGATAATTAAACATTGAAATGGCACATACCTTTGACATCAATTGTATGTGCTTGGCATGGGGTCCAAGAACTTTACGGACATTAACAAGATCTGATCCCTTGCGTACAAATGAAAGAGCAATCATATCAATATTGTTGGGCACACCCCATTCCAGAATATCTTCCTTATCCTTCTCTGTCAGTGTAGGAAGATCCACCACGACACCAGGAAGATTGACATTTTTTCTCTCACCCAGCATTGCAGTGTTCTCACAGCGGCACCTAACTGTACCAGCTGCTGGATCACAAGACAATACAGTGAGGGAAATGGTACCATCTGCACATAAAATGGTATTTCCAGGCTTCAAGTCCACAGCCAGCTTCTTGTAGCTCATGGAAATCATCTCTTGGTCCCCCTTAATGTCGTAATCAATAGTAATGGTGATTTCCTGCCCTTCCTTAAGTTGAATAGATTTGCCACCATTGAGGAATCCAGTACGAATCTCAGGCCCCTACAAAAAAGAAATGGCAAATTCATGGTTAAACAATTCTAATTAGCGGTACTTCAAGCATAAGTATGACATGTTCAGAAGTAGCGTTGGTGTCGAGCATAACGGGGCAGAGGATCTTGGTGTTGAGCATGACGGCGCATAAGTATGACATATTTAAGTAAGTAGCAGAAGGGAAATGTGAAATGAAAAAAAGGGTAAGGAAAGAGAGAGACCTTGGTGTCGAGCATGACGGCGCAGAGGATCTGGGTGTTGTGCATGGCAGTGCGGAGATTGTTTAGGGTCTCCTGGTGGTAGTCGTGGGTCCCATGGGAGAAGTTAAAGCGGGCGACGTTCATGCCAGCCCTCAGCAGCTTCTCCAACATCACCACCGACCGGGAGGATGGGCCCAACGTGCACACGATCTTTGTTTTGGGGATACGCCCATCGTTGGGCAGATCCTTCATTATTCCCCCGATGTCTATGTTCGCCATTCACTTGGATTGATTGATTGATTTCTAAGATCTTTGATAGATTTTTGGATTGGATTGGAAACTCTTTCTTTCTTTTCACCTACACCTTCAAAAAATGAGAGAGAAACTCAGTCTAGCTATCTGTTATGAAGCTAAGCTAGCAAATAAGTGATGTAGTAGTAAGTTGCACCATATTTGACTATGCTGGACAGTTCAAAGTGCAAACTAATTCTTTATTGTTGATATTAAAATTTTCATTAATTGAATATGATAACCTCTTATATGTTGTCAGTTATTACTGTACTGATAACTATGGCATTCCCAAGGTTAAGAAGGAGAGAACTTTCTATGAAAGTATGTCTTTTACTTTCGTTCAAATTTATTCAGAGTGGAATGGTGGAAAATGATTTATGCAAGAAGGTTTAATACAGCTTCTAAAACCAACTTCTACTGGCTACAATCATTCATATGGTCATTAATTTGCATTGTATTCGGCAGATAACAGACTATTTTGTCTGTGCCAGCTATGCCAAGAATAAAAAGCAACAGATAAAATAATTTACACTACATAAATCTAAAACCCCTCGAAGAACACAACATTTCAAGTTTTACCATTGCAGCTGCTGTATGATGATTTTAAATTCTTTCTTCTCTTCTCAAGAATTGATTTCAATCCGCAGCATGAAACTCTTCCCAGAAGAAAAGATCATCGCAAAGGTTAGAGCTAATGGCAGCGATAGCACGAGTTTCACATTTTCTTTAGCGAATTGAGGATTGTTTTGGCTAAGCCACTAGTTCAAATACCTGATGACTGAAATGCCTAACTGAAGCTGGCAATTCCATGAATAATCCCAAGGCAGTTCAATGAGGGCTGTGATAATGTTATGATGATACCAATGATCATAAATATCTTAATCTCCCCAACTTATGTGAATATCATTTATAATGGAGGTGAGGGTCCAGAAATACCAACATTTATTTTCTTTAAAAAAAGTCATAAACACTAATATGTAAAACTTTAACATTTGGATGAAGATGATGAAAGAAAGAAAATGGGAAACGCAGTTTCAGTTCTTAGTATTATGATTCCACATAATTCTACCAATCAAAAATTTGACCCTTTCGATTCGACTTTGAGATTTGATTCAGAATGGTAAAGGGATAAATATAGGCAAAGAGAATTAAATGGCTTAACCGCTCAGGAGATGATAATAAACGGACAAAAGATGGCTGCCCATGACAAAACCTGCCTTCTAACTTGACTCAATATCTCAAGAACAACACTATTACTATTTCTTTAACAAAGACAAAATACAATTTCTCTTAAACCAATCTGAGTAGTCTGTCTTTGGGGTTTGTCCCCCCGTTTTCACCCAAAAAAAAACATTACAATTTCTCTCAACAACCCTTACAATACAAACTCTCTTGCCTGATATAGTGCTAACCAAAACCAAACAAACCCTCAACTAACCCTAGCCTAACTGATGTTTAACTAACTAACCATAGTGCCAGCTCATCAGGTTAACTTCATCAACTAAGATATGGATTCCTATCAGTCCATACCAAAGCAGTAGATAAAAAAGATGCAAGAATCTGATATAGAGCATGAGCATAAGTCACTAATAAGAGTAAAGAAAAAGGCAGCATGAAGATGAAAACCGAACAGCCAGAGATCCAAGGTTTCTTACCACAAATTCGCCAACTGGGAAAAATCCAGAAGCCAAAACAAGAGAGATCTTTGAAAACTGTGGTGATCTACAGAAACAAGGCACGAGGAGAAAGGCAGAGAACAAGTAGACCGAAAGTAGCACCCACAGTAACTTGTACGGAGTAGAGTGTAATAATTAGATAGACTATGCTTTTGGGAGTGGCAGAGAGACATGCGATAGATAAAGCTTTGAAACGCCAACAAACACCACACCACCCAACCCACGTGGGCACCCACCGCATTTGTGCACCCACTCTCAGCAGCTTCCCCGCAGACGCTCGCTCGCCATGCGTCCACTTACAAACTGTTTGGGCCAAAAAATAGAAATGTGCCCATTGAAAGGTTTTTTGAAATCTTTGATAGGCCTTGGGCCACTTCTTTTTACTAAAAGGGAAGTTGGGTTAAAGACAGGCCCAAGTCTCCATCAACCCAATTGGATTTTACTCTACCAGGACTATTAACCACGAGCTTAAACGACTTTACCCGGGAAAAGGCACTTTACTCAAAAAGGAGACTCAAGTTGACTTTGACAACTGAAAATTTTCAGGTGGCGAAAGGAGGACTGAGCAACCGCATTAAATGCGATTTGAGCCATGAACATCTATTGAGCCAACTTGTCGAGAAATGTCATACTGAATCAATTCTTACCATCAACGCGAGAATCAAAGCAATTGAGTTTACCAACTCACCTGCAAACAGCAGACTCTCCATCTTTCACCAAGCTTATCGTAAATTTATTTATAATGATTTACTATAATATTTTACACTTTATACATTGCCTGATAAGATATTGTTGATCCCTTTTTTTCTTTCTCCACAATCAATCATTCTCGGGAATGGAGCATGAGAGAGGAAGAAGCCGAGTCAACACCAATGCCCCAATTGTGTTTCTGGCTCGTGAGAGGACTCGTTCAATTTCAAGCAAAATTGAAAGTTAAATCAAGTTGAGAAAGGCATGCGAGCAGGGATTGGGCCCTAGCGGTTTGCTTTTTTGGCCCAATCGTAGTTTGCGTAGGCATGCCATAATTGGGAATGAGACTAACCCAATAGACCTGGTGTATGTGATGTAGAATGCTTTGTTTGATGGACTTGCACTTATTCTAGACCTCTAATCAAACCACTGTGCTCCAAGGGGGGTACTAGCTCGGATGAGTTCTTTTCTATGCTTCAATTAAGAGGACTTCAATATTCTTTCAATCCCGCATCTATGGCTTGGAAAGTACGAACAATACCTAGCCAAATAGAAAAACCGATGGTGTGGTCAATGTTCTCTTGATTGGGCTCAGAAACCTAATTCGGGCCTAAGATAACCCCGGATTGAGTTAGAACTTAGTTAAGTCGGGCCCGATGGTATGGCTCAGGCATGAAAAAACCCTCGTTCTCGGGCTAAGAAAGCCCAATTCAGACCTAGAACCCTTGTTCTGGCATGTCCAGTTATAAAACGGTTATAATATTCTCAAAGTAAAGATTCAAATATAAAAATGCGAGAAAGTAAGTAAGGTACGAAAAAGATAAATGGCAGGAATGTAAAGTGCGATTAAGGTAAATTTCAAAGAGAATGAAGTTCCAGAAGCTGGAGATTTCTCTATCCAGCTCCAGCATGATAACAAATTAAAACAAAAGCCAAAGATCTCTCCATTTAGCATTTTTTAAAGAACAAATTACGATATTCAAGAGATTGGAGGTTTCTCTTATCCAATATGTACAAGTTTCATCTGTTTAGAGGGAAACTAGACTAACTGTTTAAACAAGAATCATATTATGAAGATGACAGAGCAATAAAAGGATAAACGCATGAGTTGTCAACTGATTATATGGGCAGCAAGTTGGCTTTTGAAAATCTTGAAGCTTGTTCAAGTGTTTATAAGACGTAGTGTTTGATTTTGGAGAGAAAGTCCTCAAGTGCTGTTATTGAGCCTCTATATTATAGGCAAAAATGTCCAATTGATGACAGTAAAAGCTAGAGGACAATACTCCAGTGTTGTCCAAAGTCAGTTGCAGATTTGTCCTCGTGAGTCGATCCATAGGCAGAAGAAGGGGTTTCCCATATGAAAAACTGGTTTCAATCGATATTCTTTGATTTGTCGTCTTTTGGCAGTTGGAAAACCAATCGGAAGACGACTCCTTTTAGTTTTGGCATCAATTAGCCAGTCTGCTTCCTTACTGAGAGAGACAGCGGTTAAGTCATTCTTAATGGTGAAAACTCATCTTCAGGAAGTCATGTGGGTCAACTGGTAACGGTTACCCATTTTCTAACTTTTAGTGTGGGTTGAGGCTGAAGTTTTTTGAATTATGGGCCTTCGAATAGATTTTACCAATTAATGGCCCAAATCCAAAAAAGCCCTTTTTGGTGGTTTTGAAAGAATGGCAGTGGACTTGGGTCTAATGTAATTTTATTTGAAAATAAACCAACTTTGGCTCATTTTCCAAATATGGTACAAACATATATGTAAGTGATTTAGTACCACATAACGTTCCTATAAGATTCAAATTTGAGTTATTTACACTAACACCCCTTGAGGTTTTCACTTTTTCACAAAACTCCTTGAGGTTTTAAAAATTACAAGACTGCCCCATGAGGTTTTAAATTGTTTTCACAAAACTCATTTTCATTGATTTTTCATCTAAATATTGATGATTTTATACAAAAAATTCTCCAAATGACAAAGTTGGCCTTTGAGATTAGATTGTATATACTTCATTGAGGTTAATTTTGTCATTTGCATAAGTTTTTTTTTCCAATGAAATTATCAAATTTTGGACAAACAATAACGAAAAAGGGTTTTGTGAAAACAAACTGAAACCTCAAAGGGTGTTCGTTTAATTTTTGAGACATGAGGGGATTTTGTGAAAACACAAGAAACCTCATAAGGTGTTAGTGTAAATAACTCTTCAAAATTTTCACTTTCTTCATCATCTCAATATTATTGATATTATAGCGATATTTTGGCCAAATATTGCTGAAGTGTGAGAGAAATTATCGACGTCGATATTTTCCGACATTATCAATACTTACACAATATGTGTATTAATATATTCCAAAACATCCTAGACCTAAAAAAATGATAATATTTTCGATATTTCGTTGATATTATCGATATTTGGTATTGTTCTCTCTTTGTTGTCCCTATATTGCCTCTTTAATGAAAGGGGGCTATTTTCGTTGATATTATTTGGTATTGTTCTCTCTTTGATGTCTTCTTAATTTTTTATTTATTTAAAGTTTTTAGCGACTTTAAAAATTGCACTCCAAACATATATAAAAATCAAATACACGTGGCGCTTTATGATTGTATCTGTGCCGGTTCTATAGTTTTGGAATAAAACCGACCGCGGGAAATTTGAAGTATCGTTCTTTCTTCCTTCTCTGGTCTGAAGACTCGACGCTCAGCTCTCTCTTTCCCAGACAGCCACCTCGTCTCGTCTGTATCATCACATCAATTCTATCCCAGGTCAGCCTCCTCTCTCATCTCTCTCATATGAGACAACCAGATTATAGACAGACAATTTCTGATTTTTTGTGATCATAAGCTGTTGATAATCTGTTCAAGCATGGTTTTTGTATGTTTCTGATCATAACCAGATTATATGAGTAGAGTGTTACTTGCTAGTTTATGCTTTGATTTTTTTTTCTATATTTGTTTTTAGGTTTCAATCTCTCATTTTTGGGAAGTGAAAATTGCTTCTTGTTTGCCCTTATTGACAAGTATCCTAGGTTTTCTTGGGATTAAAGAAAGAAAAAAAGGGGTTTTCTTGTTACAGATGCAACTAGTCGGAGAAACTACAGCAACCAATTCTTTTCATAGTAATATTATGCTTGTTAACAACAGACAAGTTCTCAATCCTTGTTGTTGCTCTCTGAGATTTGCTTCATCTGGAGGTTATTCTGTTCTTCACTCAAGTGGACTTCAGCACTGGTTCAAAAATTGGCAAGGACACAGAAAACATAAACTGGCAGCTAGCACTTTTGCTGCCGCCGTTGGTTTTTTTCATCGCCGAAGACTCCAGCTTTGGTTAGAGAAGATTGGAGCAATTGAGCCATTTTCGGGTAACCTGGCTACCTGTTGGAGCAATGTCAAAGAAGAGGAAGCACTTGAAAGATACAAGCTGATAACAGGAAATTCTGTCTTGTTTCCTGAATTTCAAGTCTATGGTAATACAAATGCTGGAGATGATTGGCTAGGAGCTTCACCAGACGGGGTGGTTGATAGGCTGGTATACGGATTGTCTTCACGAGGAGTACTGGAGATTAAGTGCCCATTTTTCGATGGAAATATGAAAAAGGCTACCCCTTGGTTGCGAATTCCTTTGTTTTGTGTTCCACAGGCTCAGGGTTTAATGGAAATACTTGACAGGGATTGGATGGATTTCTGTGTTTGGACTCCTACAAGGAGTAGCCTATTCAGGTTATACCGGGATGCAGAGTACTGGGATGTTTTGAAAATGGTTCTCTCAGATTTTTAGTGGAATCATGTCCAGCCAGCGAGGGAGATGTGCAGTAAGTCTCAGATTACGGATCCCCTTGTTGAATTAAGATCGCTCAAACCAGCACCCAGGCATGAAATGTGTAGTTATATAGTTTATGAAAGCAAACGCGTTGTTGATAGCTCCAAGTTATTGATGCGTGAAATCAATGGCAAACTGATAAACTGATGCAGCATCTATAACCACAATTTATGCCTTTCAAATTATTCGGTTCTGAGGATATGGGACTCATCCCCATCAAGTTGCTGGAACATGGTTTGGCTTTCATGAGTTTATTGATTGATGTAAATTCCTACCGTCAGTATCATCATAACTTTGGCCTAAATAGTGAAAGAGGAATGTACGTTGCTAGTACATGAGGTAGATTTTGATAGAGAGGTGAAAATATTCCCAGATATAGTCATTGTATAACAACAAAAAAGAAAGGAAATGTTTGATTTCTACAGGATTGAAGAAGTAAAGAAGGAAGATTTTTAGTTGAGGCGCTGGCTGGGGAAAAACTCAAACAGGTCCTTAATTACTCTTTCTTCTAATTTTTTTTGTTCAATATTCGTGCGAGGCACCTATCATATTTGATGTTGAGCTCGAAACACAATACAATACCTATTAAGTTTACTTCGTTGTCCCTGTTATCATTTTGCAGAAATACCTTGCATTTGCCTTTCAAAATATCACATTACTACTGGAAAAAGAAAAGGAAGACAACTTCAAGTTGTTGATGAGCCTTAAACTTACCAAGAAGTTTTGCTCATTTCTTGAATGAGCAGGGGCAGTTCTTTTGACTGCAGCCCATTCTGATAGTACATGATGAAGGTGTCCTCACCGAGCTCATTTGTTCTATTAAGTTGGAGCGGCGCCAACTAGTTTCACTTTTCTTGTGTCATATATTGTCTTAGGAATTTATCGTCCTTTGTGATTATGGATTGATTTCATATTATCTTCCGTAAAGTGTAGAGCATTCACAATTTGTATATGCTATACGTAAGACTCTCACGAACGTATTATTTATTTCCATTTTTTATATCAAAGTCTCCATCATGATTTCCATCATCCATGCTCATGATCGTGAATGTAACATGATGTTTGTTTATGATGATTTTTCATTGCACTCATTCACTTTTCAATCCAGGTGGAAATTGTTCATGAGAGCTTACATGTCTGACATTTATCCACCCTAAATGGCAGAGAAGTTTCCATATCGGAGAGGCAACTGTCCCTTGAACTACCAAAGAAAAAAGAAGGGTGAACCAATGTGATCATGACATTGTAGGTGCTAGGGATGGATGGGATGCATAGTCGAGGAGCAAAACACTAGCTAACCTCTGATTATAATTAAGGAGAATCTTTACATCATCAATTCTTCAAATGAATTTGAGTTAATTTTTGAACAATCTCCAACTATTTCCATTCATGTGCTTGTGTGTATCCACAATTTGCTACACTTTCTCCCTTTCCCTACTGGGAAGCATATAAAGAATACAAGTTTTTCTTTTCTTTTCTTTTCTCCTTTTACAAGCAAAAGGCACAAAACGCACATATCCACGAGGAACTGCCATAAAAACTCAAACTCCATCCACTATTGAGGCACATGAGGTGCCGCTATACCCAATGGCCATCAGCAAGTAGACAGAAGTTTGAGTTTCTAAATAAATAATCAATTTGTAATCTTCCCAATTACAAAATGCTCACCATTTGAGAGTACCAATTCAAAAAGAGCAGTGTTGCGCGTTTGGGCGACCGACCGTGGCATTCTTCATTAGAAAATGGCATAGAGTTGCAAATGCAGAGTAAGAAAGCTCACTTTCTTCCCAGCATTCATGCTTTTGCTAAGCTCACTTTCTTCCCAGAATTCATGCGTTTGCTACTTCCTAGATGAAACTCCTACCACCTGGATCTTGGTAACGAAAATCTATGAGAAAGGAAATCAGACATCAATAAAGCATTTTAAGTGCAAAGAAGACAATGATAAATCCAATAGGAACCTTTTCATATCATGAAGTGACGAAATTCCTATGAAACTCAAAAGTAAATTATCCTAATTATATGTAAACTTACAGCATAGTAACTTATCTTGCAGAACCCAGCTCAACTCATTGGAATAAAAAATAAAAAAATTCTATGTGACAATATAGAAGCCACAGGTAGCGTCATAATTGAAATCAGCTCCTTTGACCAGAGGTATATGAAGAGACTTACACATAATTGAGATCAGCTACTTTGACCACCTATCCTTTGCTAGCACCAATAATACACAGAACCCTCTCCTTAAGCCTATTGATAGTCTGCATGCAGAACCAAAGAAAAGGATCAATAGAGAACAACACAGGCAATACAATTAACTGCACACAAAGTTTCAAAATCCAGACCAAGCTAGAGATCCTTCCCCATCTTTCAGTGGAGACAGCAGCATCTTTGAGATGAGAACAATGTGGAGTGTCAAATCTTAAAAAGTAAGCTGAAGTTTCTGTAGCTTCTGCTACCCAAAGGGAATTCATTTGGTCCTTTGCTCTCTTGGTAAGATTACAAAACCCAACCTGTAAAGAAGAAATATAAAAGATTATAAATAGACTGCTTTTAGCCAATAGGATGGTTTCATTTGGGAAAGAATGGGAGGGTTGATTACTGAGAGAATGTGGTAATAGCAATTTGAGTATGATATAATCCCACAACTCGATCTCCAAAAATGGAAACCAACTTTTAATTCTTCATACACCTCGATATTCTAGGTTGGGATTCCTCCTGAGGAGGGGGCTTGCATTTTGTTAATTACTGACCAAATGGATCAAGTATGGGTGTGGAGTCAAATGCTTTCTATCTAGTTACCATCCAAGTATGGAATTAAGAGGCAGCACATTCAAATAGTACTTTTTGTGTCTTAAAGATTCTATAACCATAATTAATGGGTTATATGACTTCCTAATGAAGATCGTAAATCATCTTAGATACATCAAAGTGGTTGCAGACCAAATCAATTAACGAAGACAAATTACATTTAGATGCTGTTTTGTTTTCTGGGCTAAAATCTTAAATAACTCATCTAAGTTACTCTGATATCTTGAATTAGTTGGAATTTTAACTTAATGAAGACTGCTGTTATTTTTGCTGCTTTGACGGTAGCCGGTATGTAGAAGACAGTTAAGTTGTATAAAGGTAGCCTTTTGTATTATAGTAAGATTTTTTTAATATTGCTTTAAATGCACACCTTGTGTTTTGTATGTATGTTTATACTTTTTTCGATTTAATTACGTTTCTTATTAAAAAGAACCAAGGAAGATGTTCTAAGTGCAAACATAAACGTACGACTCATATGGTTAAATGTGTCAATTGTTGGTTTTAAGATGTTTATGGAATATAAAAAGCAGACTTGAAACTTATTTTTAAACTAGAAACAAAGAAACAGAAGATATCAAACAAACAAACATATCGTTCAGACATAAACATTAAGATCAAATTCAGATCTACTCTGACATAGGATCAAAATAAAATTAAGAAATGCCACCTTCATATTCTATTTCAAGATACTACCAGTGTCTCACATGATGATTTTTCTCATTAGTTTATATGAAGCAGTGACCTGAGGTTGACTATTGAGAAGGAACAGTACATACCGTTGTTCCTGTGAGGTTATAGTTTATAGGAGCAACTGAATCAACGCCAATGTATGGTGAACAGAAGCAGACGGCCAGTAGAGAATCACATGATTCTTCTGAATTTAATTCAGATATGGAGCCATCTGTCACAAACACCCACTGTTTCTTCTGGTGAGCAGCTATATAAACCTCCCCCACAAACACAACGAATGCAGCAATATCAAATTCACTGCATAACCCCCCCCCCCCCCCCAACCGAAAAAAATAAATCAATTAATTCAACATTACTTTTCTATGGGAACAAACAGAAGAATCAATATCAAAAGCATAGGCTTAGTCTAGGATTAACCTGGAAAGAGGAACTTTACCCAAATCTGACAATAAGACTGATTTGCGAGGATTGAAAAAAGGCCTGAGATGGATATAGTCATTTTATTAAAATAAGTAAAGAAAATAAAGGAAAATAAAAAAACATAATACTTACTTAAAGTGTTCAACTGCCTGCTGAGATAAAGGCTGCCATGTTGTTGTGGATCCTCTCACTTGCAAGTGTAGAGTATCCACATCAGAACTTGTTGGTATAAGTCCAGAAACACGATATGCACATCCCTCAACCAGCTCAGTCTTCTGCTGTATCAGAAGGTAAACTTGGTAATGTTCGCAAGTACCATTGTAGCATTCAGAGAATAATTGTTCAAGGGAGCAGACTCGTCATTATATTTCATGGGGTGAGAGAGAGAGAGAGAGAGAGATCAACAAATATATATTAAAGGGGATCTTTACAATAACACAGTTGGGTTCACCTGCTTCTCAGATGGGTTCCAGATTGTTATTAGGCCTTCTTTAGAACTGTCTTTCCCATGACATAATTTTCTTGTTAGTCCAACCACCCTCACCCTCATGAATGGCGTGACTTCCCTCTCACTTAAGCCAGCATCTTCCAGTGCTTTCAAAATTGATTTCTCCATGTCTGACTGCTTAATTGCCTAAGTTCCAACCTGCCATGATCAAAATCTCGTTCTATACCAGACTTTCATTCAAACAAAACATTTGAGACCTACCTCCAGCTTTGATCGATATTTGGTAAAAGATTTCAACTGTTCTGAACTCATTTCTGCCATTAAAATTTCAGGTTCAGTGGCTGTTTCTAGTATTTTTAAGAGTTTTGCTCCTTCGCTATCGCTATCATTACACAAATGTGAATGTTCTAGTCCTCTTTGGAACTCAGATATAATGCCTTCTATGACATCAGAGCGCCTGCACCCAAGAGAAATATCAATCACAGCACATAGGCCTTGCAAGATAATATGTAAATTTCAACTCCCGCTTTTTACAGCAAATTGCAAATACATCCCTTATGAAACTTGCTGATATAACACCAAAAAGAAATCATCTTTTTGTTTAAACAAACTTTAAGATAAAAGTGTATTCATATTTTACCAAATATCTACCAGTAAATGTGCAATGATACTTTTCATTATAAAAATAGCTAAAACATGGATTATTTTTATTTTTATTTTTGGATATATAACATGATTTAAAAGGAGTGTACTTTGATCTGATGAAGCGTAAGTTTGTTTTACATAAAAGTATCTTTGTAACATGAGATCAATTCGAGATCCAAGTACATATGCACACAAAAAATTATTAGCTCTAAAGAAGTACAACTCTCATGAGTTTAAATCTCAAGAATCAATAATTCTTGATATTTGCATCTAGCAGAATTATACTCTACTTCCATCCAATAATTTAGCTGAAGACGTCCTAAGGTCATTGTTGAAAGAAAAATCAGCCCCCGCATAATAAGGCCATTGTTGAGATTAATATGAATTATAAGTATTCTTATAAGCACAACACTTCCTGTTCCCCAATTTATTTTTAACTTTTTATTTGAAACATATTTTATTTACTGTAAGAGCATATCTAGTTCTCCCACCTAAGCACATGCTAAGGGCCTGCTTTTAGTCATGCATTCCTGCACCATCTAGAACAACATAACATGAACAATCATGTAACAAATCATTTAATGGTTTCTCCTAAACTAAAAAAGTCACAAATTATCTAGAACAATTTTGTAGCTCCCATCAAATATTGAAGCAAATTTGGATTTTAAAGCTTGACCTAAGACACCACTGTTGAGCACCATCTAGAACAGATAACATAACGCAATCCTGATATGATCCAAACATTTTTGTAACGAAAAAGGAAAATGCTGAGCATACTTGAGGTAAAAAAAATTCAAAGAGCAACTAGACAGTAGAACTCTTAAAGAGGCTAAGCTAAAAAAATTAGATTTTGAATGAATAAAGGAAACATAAATTACGAATACTTTCAAAAAGTAAATTAACTTATAGTTTGTTTGCTTTGTCAGAATAGACACCTCTCTTGGTATGATTGCACCATTTGGGACTCCAACCTCTCTGATCTTACAATAGATCTTCCATTACTTAACCTAAAATAAATAAATAAAAATTACAGTGGTTATGTTCATAATTAAGGACACACAGTATCAACTCAAGTAAACATATATAATATTTCAAATTACCTCTCTTTGTAGAGAACAGGGTATATCCGTGTGACTCCTAGAAGAGTGCAAGGGACTGCACCACCACCGCTCTTGACACAGTTAAATGCTAAGGGAGCACCAACACCTTTACCTGCAGAGATAAATTTGAGAATCATGCATGAGAGACTATAAGATAAAACTGTTAATACACTAAACCAGTGCAAGACTACAATATACCAAAATCTTATGTAAACCAAATGGTTCTTACAAAATCCCAATCGATCAGCCCAATGAGCTCTATATGTGCCATTTATGTGCAGCCGGAAAGTAACTGTTCTTGCCACCTGAGTTGAAGCAGAAACCTGAGAAATCCCTCTAATAGCAGGAGGTAAAGATTTTTTATTTTTTATTTTTATTTTTTCACTTTAAAAAAAATCCAAAAAACAGTGAGAACCTCAAGGGGTGAAACAGGCCCAGCCCAACCAGAGAGTGCTGCTCCCCAGATCTGCATAAGAAATCATAACTATAAGCAAGCAGCAATTCTGAACAGAATTCTTTAATCAAAGAAGCCGTACTAAAAACAATAGAGCAGCATCTTAGCTACCCGAAGTTTCTGTCCAACAAACAATTTTCCACTAGCAAGCTGCTTCGACAGGAGTGCATCCAGTACAGCATCCACTGAATACCTGTGAGACAAGATAATTTACATGCCATCTCGAAATAAGTTTAAGTGCACAAAGGTAATTACTTACCACCCATCAGTAAGCTCAACTTTTGCAGCACCACTATTTTCAGCTCTGGAGCTAGTCTCCATATTTGGGTCACAATTTGAACGAATAGCTGAAATGCATAGAACCACCATTGAAGAAGGGGATGCATCTCCTTCCAGAATCCTCTTAATTGCAGATCGGTGACCATGATTCACTTCTCTTTCATATCTGTGAAAATGCATTGCGTATTGATATCAATGGATGTCTCACAAACCCCAAGAGTAAACTTTACAACTATATTATAAGTATGAATACCTATACTTCAATTCCTCAAGCACATTGGAGACTGTCAAAAAATTTCCGAACGACTTAGCTAGATGACATCTCTCATAGCAAGCCAGTTTCCAGACAACCCACTTGTAGTGATTTGTGACCCACCTAGATTGAGGAATAAAATAAGAATGCTCAACCTGGTTTAGACTTAAACAAAGATACAGAACATTGGCATATATGCTATTGATGAACTGCACACATGTTCCATACAGTGCAAACTTAACAAATCCAAGATGATAACCCAAGTGATCTGTACTATTGGGCCAATTGGATGTACAATTTGTAGATGTGAGTTCTATGCTGGCATACAATTTTCGGTATTTATTGAATTTGAAATTTGTACCTCTAATTATCTTACCAAATTTCGTATTCATCAATATTACATGTGCATGCTAAAGAGAAATGCACTCCAATCTTTTCCTTCTAATTGTCTTTGGTGAGGCAATGTTGAAGAAAAATAGTTATGCACTGCAACACTTACTCTCTGGAAGTATATTGCATTAAAGCTCCAGAACGAGCCAACATGTGGACAAAAGCTTCTGCTCCTATGCAGTTTAAACCAGATTCATCAAGAAACATGTACTTTTCTGCGTTACTTGCTGTAATTCTTCTCACCGGGTCTGACAAACACTCCAACTAAATTCATTTTGATGCATAAAATAGTATCAGTGCCAAGGCATACATAATCTGTTGAGACAATTAACAGAATTATTAGTCTCCATACCATGTTCTGGTCAGGTGGTGGAATTCCAAAATATTTCTTCACATGCATTCTAGTTACTGAGAAAGGATATCTAGTAGAAACCCTTCTTTTGGAACATGAATTGTCGGAGGACAAAGTAGACAAACCTGATGGAGCAGTAGCTTAAATGAGAAGCATATTTAGTAACTAATATCAACAAAATTATATTAAGAGATTATTAAATTTTACCATTACGGACAGGAGGAACATTCTTGTGCAATGGAGTGGAGGAGTTGGAAGTGCGAGGCTTCTTGAATGGAGAAATAGAACTTCTTCCAAGCCTCCTCTTTACACCATTCTTTTTTGTGCTATTCATGGTAGTGGTGCCAACGGTATTTGAAATATCAACCAATGGCTTGGCTAGTGACTTTCCAACAGGATTAATCCTCAAACTACCACCATTTTCCAAATAATTGTTTTCTACTGTCTTGATGATACAAGGTTTGTCGCTAAGGGGCTTCTCCTGCCGATAAGGTAACTTGCTGTTTGACTTACAGACACTTTCATTGCTAACAACATCAAATTGTGTAATCAGGTTAGTGCCGGAATTTATGGCCAACGACGACTGCACTTGATTAGACGATGATTGCAGTGGAGATACAGAAGTCTTAGTTAAAAAGTTTTTCCTAGTCATTTTCTGATGGGAGAAGGGAGTGTGTTCATCATGTCCTCTACCTTTTGAAAATGAGAAAACGGAGTCACCCGCATCCCCCTCATTCAAGAAACTCCCTAACTCCGGGTCACCAAGTAGACTCCTTGCACGTTGCAGTGCATCAGTAGAAACAGATATAGATCTTCCTCCAGCTGTATGGAACTTGATTGATGAAGGTTTGTCCGGAGTTAAATTAACCCTTTCAGGCGACATAAAATTTAGATCAGCCTCATTCTTCTTACATCTAGTTTGTACTGAAACAGTCTTATTAATTAACGGAGACCTTGAAATGGATGCAGCATCCATAACCACACCACCACTGTTGGAACCCGGAAGCTTGCTGTGATCACTGTCGTCTCCCAAACCAAGCAATGTCTTTGCCCTGACAAGACCCTCCGGAGATATATTAACCATTTTCCCAGAGCCAGTCTGGAAAAGGGAATTAGAGAAACCACCTCTACTATTCGTAGTTTGCACTTGGCCTGCAGCACAGCACAGCACAGCACATTGAGCTTAGAAAATTTGGTCACTTGTGGTTGATTGATTCATAACAAATAAAAGTGTTCCTAATTTTATATAAAATTGTTTATTTTTTTTCCATTTTCCTATTGCTCTCATATCCTTAGGGTTTTCCTTGGCAAACAAACAGAGGATATGAGAAGCAGAAACCAAATTCCCCAGAGTGATTGAGACCACCACAAACTCAAAGAAAAGAAAAACCTTTTGGCATTGGAAATTTTAATAAATAAATCAGAGAAATTGAAAAAATCCAGCGGAATGCCCTAATTACCAGTTCCAGTTTGAAGAAGCGACGACGCTTTGGCTAAGGAGGATGGCTTGATGGCGACGGGTCTTCCAAATCCGTTGCGGAACATCCCAACACCGTCATCAGCATCAACGCCATTTCTCTGATTCTGAGTCTGGGCCTCTGCAAGCTTCGAACAACCTTGAAGCAGCAGATCCGCCATGGAAGGCAGCCGACTGCTCGACTTGAGCTGCTGCTGCCTTTCACTATCACTATGAAGAGTAGTAGTAGTAGTCGTAGGATAAACGGCGTCGTTTGGTGTGTCGGGATACCACCGGTAATTGTTGCCGGCGTCGGCGAACATCTGCCACGTCGACATTTTCGAGGGTTTTGGGACTTTTTCGAGGGTTATTATCTATCTATCAACAACCTACGAACGAAACAGAGGAAGGAAAGCTTTGTTTCAATTGAATATTCAATTCTTCAATCTTTCCGAAGTCTCAGCCATTTGATCTCCGTTCCTTAAATACTTTTACAATCCTCTCTTCATTTCATTGCTTTCTGGCGAAACACCGACAAATGGCGGAAAATTAAAAATAAAAAGCGCGCCAAAATTCAAATGAGTTATCCACGAAAATGTGTTTTTAGGGGATTGCGGTGGAGGGGTATCCCTAAACCCACCCAAATTGAACAGTTCTTTTTTAACATATAGGGGCATGGTAAACCATCACGGTAAAGAACCTTCACCAGGAAAGGGGGGCTGAGAATCCTAGCTCATCTTTCTCACATTCATATTGGCTAAAGATGTTGTCCTATGACGACTTGGTTTGCACTACATGGAAAGTCTCCTTCAAATCTCCTCGAATTATATATGAAGTTGGTGTACCTCCAAATCTCATTCAATAATGAAGTAAAATCATGCATCTATTGCTACAATTGCAATGCATGTGTTCTTATCCTCTTTGAATTTTGATATTTTTGACAAACACTCAGAAAATCAAAACTAAGAGGGCTCGTTTGTTACATAGGACTATCTTGACATGGACTATGTTTAGGGATTGTCTTGGCTTGGTTTGGCTTGGTTGGATAACACTTATCCTGCATTTGGTGTATGCTTGGACTAAGACTAGTTTTTTTTTTTCTTCTTCTAAATATATGTATATATGTATAAAATATCAATAAAATAATTACTCACAAAAATCTTAGCCAAAGCCTCAATAAAATTTGCTTCCACATTAACAAACTAAAATTAAAATGTATGTATATCAATCATTTATTATTTACACAAACAAACAAATTTATCATAAGCATCCTTAAGATAATTAACAATTTCTTCTTTTTCATTAAGTAAAAGACAATATTAACCAAAAGAGGACAAGGGTAATCAATAATTTCACATTCCACTCAGTATAGCGTACTAATAGCAAACAAAATATAATTTTCAGAATAGTAAGAAGCTCTTATTCAAACCTATCCGGGAATTGCCTTGGGGATGATTGGAAGCTGAGAATGTCATAGCAAAACTAAATAAATGTTCTCCGACTCCCACCCCTGAAGCTTTTCCTGTGGGATGATTAAAAGGTTTTTTTTTAGGAGAATTTATTGGCATCCCATTATTTGCTTTTTACACCCCATACTAATTTTAAATATGAATAATTTATTTAACTCTTGAACATAATTACCATTAAGGACAAAAGCATTTATAACAAAAATTAAATTTGCTCACTACACCCCACATATGTTCCTACAACTCTAGTTAGACTTTTTTCTCAAACCATCATGTTCCTACAACCCTAATGAGGTTTATACACTTATATTGGTAAAAAAAAAATATATTGTATTTATTCATCAAGGGTGAGATTGAAGTTAGAGAGGCTTCGAATGAGATATGAGTTTATTTTTGGCGTTTTTCAAGCTTAGGATTTCATGATGGTTCACTGGTTGCGTTCAGCACACCAGTACCGAACGCGATAGGTAAATTCGGTGGGATGCCACCAAAACATTGCACCTATTTTGGTTGTGTTTGACGAGTGTTGAGGCCCAAAAAATCCATGGTTGGGCCCGAATAAATTATCAACCCAAAACGACACTCTACTAAGGAAAAGCGTAAAGCGGAGTACACGAGAACCCACCACATGCGAGTTGTAGTTCATGTGCCATGCTAAATAAATTAGCCATGCTAGGGGTTGAGATAAAATATACCGGCTCTACAAGCCCATGCCAAACTTAAACATCGCAGTCCTTCCCAAGGACGATAAAATTAAAACATGCCAAGCAACATGCCATGCCAATCACAAAATCGTTATCTCACACCTAACCACGCTACAAGCCTAAGTGGGCCCAAGCCACAAAATTAACCAGGGCTTACTGAGAAGGTTGTGGTATGGAAGGAAACAAGCAATTACGGGGCCCATTGAGGGTTCAAGGAACGTAAGTTTCAAGCCACTTGGGGGCTTTGAAACTCAAGCCCGTTCCTAGAACCCAAGCACATGGGTTAGCATGAGAGAGAAGAGAAAAATTGCCCCATGCTCTAGGAAGACACCAAAAAACCTACCAAAATATTTAGCCCAGCCCACATCAATAGAGTTAAAAACCCTTTCCAGCAGTTTGACGAAAATTCACTAGAAATAATAGGCCAGCAGTCCAAAAGTCACGCACAAGCCCAATCCAGCAGCTTGTACAAAAGCTGTCATCGTGTTCCACCTCTAATAAGACTCCAAACAAGTCAGACAAAGGGTCAAGGCAAGAACCAGCAGAAATTCATGGGTAAAGGGCAAATACCCATCGGACAAAAGGCTCCACCCATCTCTTTCCCCATTACAAGCTCTGTTTTGAAAACGCAGAGAGAAAGCAAAGTGGCGCCTCACCTTTGTAGGGAGGTCCAGCTGCGTCAAACTTGTTGGAACCACAATGGTTCCTTTCCCATACGCCTTGATAAGAGAATTGCACGAAAATAGGGCTAAGTAGGAGCTGCCAAGGAAAAAGGAAGAGGAAGACCAGATAAAATTAGAGCTCTTAATGCCTATAAAAGGAGATTTTTGCTACCCAGAAAAATCAACCATCCAGAGCCTGACCAAGCTTTGTCAAGCAACCTGGAATCTACTCAAGCCACCCAAACCTTTCTTTCGTTCATCCTTCTTCTCCCTTAGGATAGGAATCGTGCTAATATTTCCTCTGTAAGAAACCAGAGCTTGACCAAGCTTTGTCAAGCAACCTGGAATCTACTCAAGCCACCCAATCCTCTTTCTCCGTTGTTTTCTTCTTTCCCTGAGATAAAATCTTGCTAATTTTTCCTTCGTTCCCAGTTTAGATGCAAGAAACTCATGTTGTTCTCTCTCTCTCTCTCTCTCTCTCTCTCTCTCTCTCTCTCTCAAATTGCTAAACTCGTGAAAGCTTAGCTCCCATGCCACATGCTCCTCAGGCTAAGTCATTAGTGAAATCATCATGCTTATTTGGGTGTTAGTAAAGTGATCCTGAGAGTGTTCTTTTAAAATCTCATCAGATTTTCTAAAAACTCTCTTGGGAGCTTGGTTTCGAACTCAGGCATTTGGGGGATTTTGCTCGTTGTCTTCTTACAGCAGCCCAAGCCCATTCGCAGGCTGCTGAAACAAAAAACCCCCTACAACCAGCCGTTAACTTTAGATGTAGTGAAGATCCACCATAATATGAAATGGTGTTCAGTAGTGTATTACCGAATTTTTACCTACAATTCAGTGGCAACGAACCGAAATATATTTATTTTTTCAATAACTTATTGTCGATCACAAATTTAATGTAAGCTATTTGACCTTACTCCCATTGAAGGAACAAAAACAAGGTGACGCCCTTAAAATAGATGACACATCATCCAATGTGATGGTCATCTCACCAAAAGGCATGTGAAAGATGTTCGTTTCGGGATGCCATCTCTCAACGAAGGTAGCTACAACAATCTTATCTGCATTCCGATAAGAACACCTAATAAGTTGTTCTAATCCAGACCTATGAATGTACCATTTGAATATACCATTATTTGGATTATCCCACCAATTTCACTAACGAAGGGTAGATGTCTTCGACATGCACCTAAGGTGCTCACATTCCTAGTAAAAAACAATATTAAGTACAAACTCAGTAACGAATTCGATAGATGATCATTGAAACAAGAAACGAATTCAAGGAAATACAAAATGAATTCAGTAGACTACCATTGAAAAACGGAAACATATTTGGTGGACTACCACTAAAAAAACTGAAACAGATTCGGTGGACTACTATTGAAAACATAAACACATTCGGTGGATAGCCACTGAAAAACGAAAACAAATTCGGTGGACTACCACTAAATAAGGTAACAATTTTAGTGAGGTTTACATAGTTAAGTTAAGGAATGAGGTTCACGAGGGCAATTTAGGAAGAAAAATGAGGTGTAGTGAGTGATTTTAAAATTTACTAAAATTCAGTGGGGTGTAAGGAGAACATGGGGTGCAAAGAGCAAATTTTGGGGTGCCAATAAAATTACCCAAAAGGAAAACAAGACTTCAAAACCGATCTCGTGGACTTCGAAACTCCATTTACAAAGAGTTAGCCATGTTATCCATCGACACCCCCAATGACTATCAGGCTTGCACACATGACACTTGAAAATAACGAAAATAATCAAAATTGAAAATGGAAAACAATTACCAACCTGAAAAAAAGGCTATTTTCGTTTGTGCAGATGCATACATGTGGCTAAGGTGTTGTCAAGTTCGGTGTTGTTGAAGAAAAAATATTATAATCATTAAGACATTATTCTTTGTTTTATTATTAAGTTATGATTTCAAGAATATTGGTTTGTAATATTTATTGTTGTTTTTATTATTAAGTTATGATTTCGAGACAAATTGGTTTGATTATTAATTATGTTATTGAAAACTTATTATATTTATGTTGTGATTGCTGGAAACTTAGTATTGAGTTTTATTATTAAGTTATGATTTCGAGACTATTGGTTTGTATTATTTTATTGTTGTTTTTATTATTAAGTTATAATTTCGAGACAAATTGGTTTGTATTATTAATTATGTTTTGTGAAAACTTATTATATTTATGTTGTGATTGCTTGAGACTTAGTATTGATTGCTGGAGACTTATTACTTATCCGGGAGAATTCAGCCCTTGAAACTAGTTCAGCTGAGTTATAAAAGATGCTACTAGCGCATTGTACTGACCGTAGGGAACTCAAGTAAGAAATGTGACCGAAAATGCTTCTTGTTTTTGACAAAGGAGTTCCAATGGTCGACCAAGTTGAGGAAATCGGCTGGATTCGTTGTATACAAGTCGAACATACAATGCATTAGAAATTTCCCCTAGAGGTGAGGCCCTACTTACATAAAGCTTATCTCCTCCATGAGGCAAGGGATTGCTGCTTCCACAGTTGTCTCCACTTGGTCAAATGCGTCATGCCTTGAACGAAGATGAACAGAGACTCCTTGGGACGCCAGCTAGCAACTCGTTCGCTCGCCTATTCGACCTATTTGTCTACTTTTATTTCCATCTTATGAACTATTATTCGACTCCTATAGGAGAGTCTCACTTCCCATTCTGTTCTAAGTCTCCAGCAATCAACACTAAGTCTCTAGCAATCACAACATAAATATAATAAATTTTCACATAATATAATTAATAATACAAACCAATTTGTCTCGAAATCATAACTTAAATTGGGCATTGTTTTTCCAGAACTTGTCACATTAAATGATAGAGTCGGTCCAACATGAAATAGGAAAACTAAACAAATATGATAATTGAGTTACTTTACTATCTTCTTTTGTTCTAGAACCCTCTTTTGTCTCCCTCTGACAACTGTTGGACAGTGAAATCTCTCTATCTATTTAAACTCTCATTCACTCCCGATTTCAACACTCTCAACTTACCTCACATATAACAAAAATCTTCCCTCATCTTTTCTTCACTTTTTTTCCTCAACTTCTCCCTCCATGGATCAAAATATTCCATATCTTGATTAATAATTGGGCACTGTTTTTCTCGAACCTGTCCCATTAATTGATAAAGGCAGTTCAACCCGAAAGAGGAAAACTAAACAAATAAGTGAGTTACCTGACTATCTCTTTTGGTTTTAGAACCCTTTTTTGTCTCTCTCCGACAACTATTGGACAATGAATGCTCTCCATCTATTTAAACTCTCATTCCCTCCCGATTTCAACACTCTCAACTTACCTCACATATAACAAAAACCTTATCTTATCTTTTCTTCACTTTTTTGCTCAGCTTCTCCCTTCATAGATCAAAATATTCCATATCTTGATCAATAATTGAGCATTATTTTTGTCGAACCTGTTACATTAATTGATAGAGGCGGTTCAACCCGAAATAGGAAAACTAAACAGATATGCTAAGTGAGTTACCTGACTATCTCTTTTTGTTCTAGAACCCTTTTTTGTTTCTCTCCTACAACTGTTGGAGAGTGAAAGCTCTCCATCTATTTAAACTCACATTCCCTCCTGATTTCAACACTCTCAACTTACCTCACATACAACAAAAATCTTCTCACATTTTTTCTTCACTTTTTTACTCAGCTTCTCCCTCCATAGATCAAAAAAATTCCATATCTTGATCAATTATTTGGCACTATTTTTCCATTATCTGTCCCATTAATTGATAGAGATGGTCCAACCCGAAAGAGGAAAACTAAACAAATATGCTAAGTGAGTTACGTGACTATCTCTTTTTGTTATAGAACCTTTTTTTGTCTCCCTTCGACAACTGTTCGATAGTGAAAGCTCTCCATTTATTTAAACTCTCATTCCCTCCTGATTTCAACACTCTCAACTTACCTCATCAAGGAATCCAGAACCCAATCCTCTTCAAGAAGCTACTCAAGCCTTCACCCAGACTCACACGAGATTCGCAGAAGCCATAAGGTTCTTTATACCGGGACCTGAACTTCCCCTCATTGTATGGAACGCCTGTGATGTTGATAATTTGCTGCTGATGTGGTCCATGTATCAAGATAGTCGCTTATAAAGTTTTGCGAGATGAGTAAAAAAGGTGAAGAAGAGATGAGAGAAGGTTTTTGTTGTATGTGAGGTAAGTTGAGAATGTTGAAATCAGGAGGGAATGAGAGTTTAAATAGATGGAGAGGTTTCACTATCCAACAGTTGTCGGATGGAAACGAAAAAGAGGTTCTAGAAAGAAAAAAAAAGATAGTTAGGTAACTCACTTATTTAGTTAGTTTTCCTCTTTCGGGTTGGACCATCTCTATCAATTAATGTGACACGTTCGGGAACAACAGTGCCTAATTATTAATCATGATATGGAATATTTTGATCCATGGGGGAATAAGCTGATTAAAAATGTGAAGAAAAGATGATAGAAGGTTTTTGTTGTATGTGAGGTATGAAATCGGGAGAGAATGAGAGTTTAAATAGATGGGGAGCTTTCATTGTCCAACAGTTGTCAGAGAGAGACAAAAAAGGGTTCTAGAACAAAAAGAGATAGTCAGGTAACTCACTTATTTGTTTAGTTTTCCTCTTTTGGGTTGGAACCCCTCTATCAATTAATGTGACAGGTTCGGGAAAAACAGTGCCCAATTATTGATCAATATATGAAATATTTTGATCCATGGATGGAGAAACTAAGTAAAAAAGTGAAGAAAAGATGAGAGAGAGTTTTTGTTGTATGTAAGGTAAGTTGTTCAGTGGTTTGTTATTGAAATTTATTTATTTTTTCCGTAACTTATTGTCGACCACAAATTTAATGCAAGCTATTTTGATCTTACTCCCATTGAAGGAACAAAAACAAGGTGACACCCCTACTGAAAGCAACAATGTAGGAACAGAATGTGTAATGGACTATAGTGATCAATTCACAACTTATTCGGTAATTATTTTGATTTTATTTTTTGTCTGAAATCTTTTTTAGTATCATTAACGTGGCATTAATGTGTCAAATTTTATCTTTAAATAATATGAGTTTTATGTGTAGATATTCAATTGTAGATATGCATTACTTAGAAATATGATACACAATATAGCTTGAACTACTGAAAAATACATTACTAAACCAAAAAAAATAAAATATATATAATATAAAACACAACAAAGTTGGATGATATGTAAGAAAAACACACCTTATCAGCATTCAAAGCGTTAAGCCATTGTCTATACTTCTACACGTCTACCAATGTTGTGCCATTGTCTCGACGTGGAATCCAATGAAGTGCACGAGGTTGGACCTCTAAATAATTAAGGCCATGATCAGGGACAACAACACCATGCATGTGCTCATACACCCATGCCTTCAGCAAAGTCATGTACCTAGTAATCTGCTTCACCTTAGACCTCGAAGCTTGGCCTATTGTTTATACAACCATGCTAAGCACCCAGAACCCCATGAATAACCAGCAGCACTATCAAGGTCTCTAAGTAGTCTAAGGTACATAATTGGACTCTTGTGCCAGTCTTGTCAACAAACAAAGTGCAACCCAAGAGATATAACAAATATGCTCTGGCCGAATACATGATGTACTCCTCTGAATTTGTTCTGAAACATTGGAGAATCGCGCCCGTAACCATGACAAACTCACATACTCATTACTGTATTGGTGCAATTGTTCAGTTGCCTCTTCATCATTCACTCCTAAGTAATTAACTAACAACTCAAAATTTGTGTCGTTATCATCTTCAAGCAAAGCAACCATTGCGCCAAACACAGGAATGCCTAAAATAGATGACACATCATCCAATGTGATGGTCATCTCACCAAAAGGCATGTGAAAGGTGTTCGTTTCGGGATGCCACCTCTCAACGAATGTAGGTACCACAATCTTATCTGCATTCCGATAAAAACACCTAATAAGTTGCTCTAATCCATACCTCTGAATGTACCATTATTTGGATTACTCCACTAATTCCACTCACGACGGGTAGATGTCTTTGACATGCACCTAAGGGGCTCATGTTCCTAGTTAAATACAAAAAAATAAAAAATAAAAATTTAGGTTAATTACCATGAACCAAACTTATATTCTACCTTCTATTGTCACAGTAAAACGACTTACCTAGTTATTCCAAATTGCACCTGCTATGTGAGTTTTAAAACTTGTAAGTAAAGATGGATCAATGGGACCTATTCGAAATGGCTCAATAGGCTCGGCATGTACCTCAACATTACTATTATGAGTAGCAGCTACATCTTTAACCTTTGCGTCAACATTACTATCATGAGTAGGAGCTACATCTTCAACCTCTGTAGTATCCTCAAAGTGATCTTGGGGAGCCGCTCTCTGTCTCCTCGTTAAGGCTGTGGGATGCTGTCTATTAGGTCGAGATGATGAAGTCTCAGTAGTTCCTCAACGAGTCCTCTTCATATCTATAAAAACAATATTAAGTACACACTTAGTAACGTATTTGGTAGATGACCACGGAAAAACGGAAACAAATTCGGTAGACTATCATTGAAAAAAGAAAACATATTTGGTAGAATAACACTAAAAAATCGAAATACATTCGATAGGCATCTCCTCGAAAATGGAAACAAATTCGGTGGACTACCACCGAAACAAGATAACGATTTCGGTGGTAACCACCGAAAGTAAAATTAATTTCAGGTTGAAATTCGGTGGACTACCAGTGAAGCAATGTAACTATTTCAATAGTAATCCACCGAAACGAAAATCCAGTTTCATAAAACCAAGTTCAAACCATACACCCACAAAGTTGAAATCAATAATTAAAATCAGACTTTGGCTTTTCAAAAGTGAAATAAAAACTAGGCTTAATCAACACTTAGAAACGTAAATATAAAAATCAAAATTGAAATCAAACCTTGGCTCTTCGAAAGATTTGAAAAAACTTGACAGATTGGTGCTGGATGTTTGTGATGGCTGAGGCGATGTTGGTTTGCGACTGGGTGAGGCGTTTGGGGTTGGTTGTGGGTGTGATGGCTCTGTTTCAGATATGGGTTGTGCGATGGGTTCGGGTTTGCAGAGATGGGTTGTGCAATGGGGATTGCAGAGATGGGTTGTGCGATGGCTCTGTTTCAAAGGGGATGGGGTGTGCTTGTTGTAAATCTGATGGAGTGTGCGATTGGGTGTGTCTGCAAGAGGAGGGAGTTTTCGATGGGGTGGGGCTTGATATGGGATGGGGTGGGGTTTGATATCAGATGAGGTGTGTCTGAAAGGGAAGGGGGTTTTCGATGGGTGGTGTATGATATGGGATGAGGTTTACACAGTAAGTTAGGGAATGAGGTTCATGAGGGCAATTTAGGAAGAAAAATGGGGTATAGTGAGTAATTTGAAATTTTATTGAAATTCAGTGGCGTGTAAAAAGATTATGGAGTGTAAAGGGCAAATAATGGGGTTCATATAGAATTTCCCTTTTTTTTTGTAAACAAGACAACCAACACTGCGCAATTAATTATCATCCATAATGAATGGCAAACTAGCTTCAGCGCCTAATAATTAAATAAAAATATAAGAGCTAAATAGTAAAGGGTACAAACGTAATTCTAAATACAAATTAACCTCAAGCTAACAAAAATTCCAAAACATATGACTAAGTCCAAAACACTACTAGCCCATTTACTATGTCCTAATTATTTTCCATTTAATTGATTGTTATCAAATTTTCCTAAAAATCAAATGGTTTAAAACTAAACTAGACTTCTTCTTTTTTTATTATTACCAAAGTTAGGAATTGAACTATCTACTTGAACATTTATTCTGATTTTATTTCCTCAAATTAGATTATAAATAGGGATTTTTGTAGAAATGTCATTTGAACTTATACTTAAGTTTCAATTTGTCACCTTAAAGAAAAATTTAAGCGAAATGTCACCTTAAGTTTTCAAAATCCATGATTTGTCGCCTGACTTTAACGCCATCCAATTTTCCATCCATTTTAAATGGTATTTTAGTCTTTCCAATATGTAAAATCTCTTTTAAGCTCATTTTTTGTTGAAGAAAAAGGAGTTAAAACCCCAAAAGCAAGACTTTTACTCCTAAACAACACTCAAACTTTATGGTTTCAATTTTTTTTTTTTGGGAAATAATCATAGGTACTAATTCAAGTTTGAGAAAGAAATTGACAGAAGACATTATCTGGAAATTGATATACAAAACAAAAGTAGCCAAAATGAGTTCACAAAATAGGTTCAAAACGTGACCAAGTCTACAACTTGTACCGAGGCCACAAAGCTACATCACTTCAAAACATAATCCCAATTTTTATCTGTTTGTAAAATAAACTTTGGATGGTACCAAGACCAATTAAACCTAAGTGCTTTATGGTTTCCATATGTTATTCTTCTTGGCATAAGACTTGGTGTTGGTTTTCATCGTGCTTACTCTTATAGAAGAAGAACTTGGGTTTGAGACTTGTGCATTGGATTCGAAAATATTTCTTGTCGATTGTATTCCTCTTGGTACAAAGTGTGCTTGATTTGCTGAGGTTTCACTTGTGCTATTTCTTCCATTTGTTCGTGACTGTTGTTTGCTTGGATTTGCTGAAGTTTGCCCTCTCAGATCACCTTCTCCATTCCCCTGTACCAAATCAAATTTCATTGCCAACTTCTCAACATTTAATGAAATAAAAATAAAACATAAAATCTCATTATCTTTATACCTGAGCTCTATTTCCTTGCTGCCTCCTTTCACAAGTAGTAGCATTATAGCCTTCTTGACCACACTTGCTGCAGTTGATCTTGATGAAGCATCTTTGAAGTTTCTTTGGATTTGAAGGAGGTTGAACCTCATCTTGCTCCCTACATCTGAGCATCCTTGGTCTCCTAGCTTGCTTGTGATATTTGGGGGGTCTAATAGGCTGATGGTTTGTCACTGGCCAATATTATTCACCAACCATTGGGTTGATATAAGGCTTGTAGGCTCTTAAGAATGTTGGTTTCTTATAACAAGAGTGAACATAGTTGTATGGATCCTCCTCTCTTATGTATATTGCAGAAATGCCATAAGAACAAGGATTTCCAGGGAGATCTCACCTCCTACATGAACCAGTGTGAGCTGTCAAATCTACCACAAATTGTGCCTCACTTGATACTTCCTGTCACCGCAAGAACTGTGAGATTTTTATGTCTTAAACCTCACTCAAGTGGTCTGCTAATCAACATAGAGTTCCAAATTGATGTGGAGACTAGGAATTTGATCATAACTGGACTTGTAAGTCTTGGAGAGAAGTGTTTCAGTTTAAGTCCAAGACTGCTAAGGTTCCTAATTCATAGTGGATTAGAACTCCTAATTCTAATGTAATAAGGAGAGGTTGAGGACTCCTTGATGGGCAAAGAGTTTTGATTGATGCATATAAATACATAGTCTCTGCTCATATCGAATCACCCCATTCTAGAGAGCTCATACCCCATATGTGAGAGAGTCTTCAAAAATCGATATTGAGGAGAAGTGTTATGTGTCAAGTTGCTCTTTCGATCATTCCAATGGCTACAAAACAAGGTAGTGTTCTCTTATATGCAATCTATTTGGTTTACATGTGGTATCAGAGCTTAGGTTGCATGTTTTAGAACCTAAAAGCAATTTAACCAAGCATGTTAACAAAAGTCTTAATAATTGAAACGACACATAATTATGTTTTCACTTATCTGAATTCAAGTTTTACTAGTATGTGTCTATTTTCACTATTCTATTTATACAGATCTGTTAAGCATGTTTCAGATATAAGGCTCTTGTCATCCATGCTTGAAAGCTTCACGATCAAAAATCCAAGAAATCTTGGATCAACCAAGCAAGCCACAACAGTTTGGTTGATTAAAGAATCTTGGATTCAAGAAAAATGATCGAGAAATCTTGCACAATGGACCATCGTAATCTTGATTGCCTTCTATCCACAAATGTTGGTAATCATGGTTATGGTGATTCACTGTGGTTTGATGCAAAATATGGGTATATGAATTAAATAATGATTGTTTTCAATCCACAGATGTGAGAAATCATCCTGTGAAAGAAATTCATATATCAAATATTTTGGTGATCACTAAAACATGTCCAATTCTCAGCCCACATGCGTAAATTGGTAATGTACAGACTATGTGGGGATAGTTTTGATTTATACATTTGTTTGTTTCAATAAACTATCTCTTAAAGTTTTTGCTACCAACCTTAACAGCATCGAAACCCTCAATGGATCAAACTACAAGAAATGGAAAAGGGATCTTGAGATGGCTCTAGGATTTCTAGACTATGACTTGGCTATAAGAAAGCAAGCTCCAAAAAAGCCTGCTGAAGGAGCAACTATTGAGGAAAAGGCTCACTTTGCCAAATGGGAAAAGGCAAATAGGATGACTATTTTGATCATGCTCAAGTCCATGTCACCAACTGTGAAAGGAGGTATTCCACCTTCCAACAATGCTAAGGAATTCCTGGAGTCGATTAGCCTGAAATTTAAGGAATCTGAGAAAGCTAAAATGGGATCCCTGATTAACAAATTGACAGACATGAGATATGCTGGAAATGGATGCGCTAGGGTGCATATTCTAAACATGATCGATGTTGGTATGAATTTGAGGGGTTATGGAGTCAACTTAGATGACAATATGTTGGTTCACCTTTCACTCAACTCATTGCCTATAGACTTCAAACAAATCAAAAGCTCTTATGTTGCACAAAAGGAGTCATGGTCTATCAATTACTTAATTGCAATCTGCGTTTAGGAAGAACAAAACATCAAGAAGGAGAAATCTCTCAATCATGTCATCTGGTCCAAGACATGAAACTTATCAAGAAAGATGGAAAGAAAGAAAGAAATAAGGAAAACAATGTTGCTGGAAAAACCAAGAACAATGACAAAAGTTCAAAGGTAGTAGGTGTGACTGGAATTAAGTGTTTTTTCGGCAAGAAGTTTGGACACATGAAGAAAGAGTGTCGCAGGTACAAGAGGGGGTTGGAAAAGAGGCAGGCTAAAGGTAATGAAGTCCAAGTTTGTTTTGAATCGAATTTAATTGATATATCACACTATAGCTGGTGGCTTGACAGTGGGGTAACAATACATGTTTCTAATTCCTTGTAGGGGTTCACAACCAAAAGGGTGCCAAACATGGATGAACTGAAGGTGTTCGTTGGCAATGGAGTCCATGTAGAAGTGGAATTCATTGGAGAAGTCAAGATTGAGTTAGAGTCTGGTTTTATTTTGGATTTATTTGAAGTAGCTTATGTACCTTCCAAGAGAATGAATTTAGTGTCAGTAGCTAGGCTTGTTAAAGCCAAGTTCGAGGCAGTATTCAATGATGTTGGATTTTCTATTCTGAAGAATAAAATTTCAGTTGGTAATGGAACTCTTGTGAATGACATGTTTTCTTTAAATATCAAAGGATCTGAGCATATTATGAATGTTGCAAACACCAGCAAAACACAAAGCAAAAATGAATCACCTAACTTATGGCATAAGAGACTTTGTCACATTTCTAGAGATAGAATCATAACCCTCTGCAAAGAACATGTGTTGCCACCACTTGACTTGGATGAATTGGATGAAATTTGCATCAGTTGTGTAAAAGGAAAACTCACAAATGCAAGAAAGAAAGGGGCAATTAAAAGTACCAATTTGTTAGAACTCATTCATATTGATATTTGTGGTCCTTTTCCGACACAAACTCATGTTAGTTTCAAGTATTTTATCACTTTTACAAATGACTTATCACGTTTTGGATATGTGTATTTGATAGCAGAAAAATCAAATGCTCTAGACATGTTCAAAGTGTTTAAAGCAGAAGTTGAAAACCAACTTGATCTCAAAATCAAAGTAGTTAGATCGGATAGAGGGGGAGAGTTTTATGGTAGATTTGATGAAGCTGGAAGAAATCTTGGATGCTTTGCAAGATTTCTTCAACAAGAAGGCATTGTGGCTCAATATACAAACCGTGGAACTCCACAACAAAATGGAGTCTTTGAGAGAAGAAACAGAACCCTCAAAGATATGATGAGATCCATGATTGCCAGTACAAATCTTCCTATTTTTCTTTGGGGAGAAGCCTTGAAAACAACAAATTATATTCCCAATAGAGTACCAACTAAGAGTGTGAATCAAATACATTTCGAGCTATGGAACAAAAGAAAATCGAGTCTGAACCATATAAGAGTCTGGGGATGTAAAGCTGAAGCCAAGTTATATAACCCTTTGGAAAAGAAACTAGATGCTAGAACAACTAGTTGCTTTTTCATAGTATACCCAGAGAGGACGAAAGGATATCGATTCTATTGTCCAAATAATACAACTAGATTTGTTGAAACTGGGAGAGCAGTTTTTATAGAAGAAAAAGGTGAAACCATTGAAGATAGGACACTGGATTTTGATGAACAGACAGAGAGCAATACCATGCATTCTAATGAAATTGAAGAAGAGGACTACATAGTTCTATCAAATACTGTTTTGCAAAATGAAGAAACAGTGCCTCAAATGCACCAAGTTGATGTCAATGCACCAGTTGAGATGAATATTAACCAACTAGAAATCCATATAGATGCACAACCACAAAACTAAGATAATTTACAAGAAAAGCAGGAAGTGAGAAGATAAAAAAGAGCCAGAAGATCAGCCTTGTCAAGCGACTATGTTTATCTTCAAGAATCTGAGCAAAATGATCCATGCCTGGAAGATCATATCACCCTTAAACAAGCTTTGACAAGTTCAGCAAATGAGCAATGGTTGCAGGCAATGAAATCTGAGTTAAATTTAATGGAGAAAAATAAAGAATGGGAATTAGTTCAACTGCCTCAAGGATGTCGACCTATAGGGTGCAAATGGATTTACAAAACTAAAAGGGATTCCAAAGGTCTCATTGACAGATACAAAGGTAGGTTGGTTGCAAAAGGATTCACACAGCAAGCAGGAGTTGATTACAATGAGACATTTTCTCCAATCTTTACAAAGGACTCGTTTAGAGTCATGATGGCTTTGGTAACTCATTTCAATCTCTACCTCCATCAAATGGATGTAAAGACTGCGTTCTTGAATGGAGACCTCTATGAAGAGATCTACATGCAACAGCCTGAGGGTTTCATTCAAGAAGGGAGAGAAGATCAGGTTTGCAAATTAAGGAAATCCATTTATGGATTGAAACAAGCTTCTAGACAATGGTATTTGAAATTCAATGAAGTGGTGAGGTCTCATGGTTACAGTGAAAGCCCTGTGGATGAATGTATATATATTAAAATCAGTGGATGACATTCTCTTGGCAAGCAAAAATTTGACATTACTACATGATGCCAAAGTTTTTCTGTCAAAAGTTTTTGATATGACAAACCTTGGAGAAGCCTCTTATGTACTTGGTATTGAAAACAATCGTGACAGGGAGAGAGGATTGCTTAGATTATCCCAAAAAGGTTACATAGAGAAGGTGTTGACAACATGTCCCTGACGTTTGCGAAACTATCAGATTGCATTCTTAAAGTTTTTTTTTGTATCACTCATGGTCCATAACGTTAATATGGGTGCTCTTAAATAGTCTCTCTGTCAAAAAAACTGTTAAATCCAGGGATATAATCGTCAAATCAATCCAAAATTATAAAATATATAATTGGTTTTCAGTTTGAAAGAGCCAAACTCCTGTTTGGCAAGAACTCATGCAATCAGAATCTCCACCGAGGCTAGGCAAAACAAAGACTGGGACTTTGAGATCAAGGGATATTTTCCTGATAAATAGTGTAGGATTGTTGACTCAAGAGCCAACACAATGGCACAGGTAATAATTCCTATTCATGAAAGAATATATAAAACGTTTCATTGTTTGTTTCTATTGAAATTCTGAATGTTTGGATTTGTTTATTGATCACAATGAAACATAGATAGGGGTGAAGAAGGAGTTGATGGCAAGCAAGGATCTCTACCATGTTGTGGTGACATTAGACATGGATCACGCTTTTGTTATTGGGTTCATTACCATTCTTGATTACATATATGGTGAATTCACTAGGTGCTAGTAATTCAGATATTCAAGAGAAACTGCACTAACTGGGGAGGTATCTTCGCAATTTGACGATTTGAAGTTGAAAAAAGGACCTAAAACCCAGTAGCTGTTTTGCCCAAAAATTTGAAGCTTTTCGTCACCAAAAGTTTTTAGCGAGGATGTTCATCAAATTTTTCGTGGCTAAACATTTTCTGCGACGATGTTCTTCAGATTTTTCGTCACTAAAAGTCAAATTTCCATATCAACTTTAGACTTATATATATGCCTTGGGCTCTGGCCAATTGCGATAGATGTTACAAATTTCCTTTATTTATTTATTTTTATTTCCTTGATCCTGGTTATATATATATATATATTATAATTTTGGATTGATTTGACGATTATATCCCTGGATTTAACAGTTTTTTTGACAGAGTGACTATTTAAGAGCACCCATATTAACTTAGGGACCATGAGGGATACAAAAAAACTTTAAGGATGCAATATGATAGTTTCACAAATATCAGGGACGTTTTGTGATAAAAAGCCGATTTAATATGGAGAATTGTGCAAGAGGAGATGTGCCCTTCTCAAAAGGAGACAAACTGAGTATGGAACAATCACCTAAAACTGAACAAGAAAAATTAGAAATGGTTGACAAGCCCGATGCCTTACTTGTAGGAAGTTTGATGTATGCTCAAGTCTGTACTAGACCAGACCTAGCTTTTCCAGTAAGTGTTTTGGTGAGATTTCAGTCCAATCCAGGCTAAGCACATTAGGTGGCTGCAAAGAAAGTTTTAAGATATTTATAGAGAACCAAAAGTTACAATTTGGTTTATAGGCAAGTTGAGAATTTGGAGTTAGTTGGTTATGCATATGCAGATTTGGGAGGATGTGTGGATTCTTTGAAGTCCGCTTCTGGTTATGTTTTCATTTTTGGAGGAGGAGCTGTCTCATGGAAGAGTATGAAGCAAACACACACCAACCTCAACTATGTAGTCTGAATACATTGCATGTTATGAAGCTGCAAGTCAAGCTATTTGGTTCAAGGACCTTATCACAAGTTTGAGGGTTGTTGACTCAATTGAAAGACCAATTCATATTTGGAATGATAATAGTGTTGTAGTGTTCTTCACCAAAAGCAACAAAAGATCATCAGGCACTAGACATTTGAAGTTTAAATATCTATCAGTTAGAGAAAATATCAGGGATGGTCATGTGAAGCTCGATCATATTGGTACACATTTCATGATTGCTGATCTGTTAACTAAGGGTCTGACAAATGGTGTTTTTCATGGATATGTTAGAAGCATGGGATTAGTGTCCAGTTTTGATAAGGAGGACTAGTGGGAGTCTGTTTCAGAATCTAGTCTTCATTTTGGTAGCTTACATTTTTATTATTTAAAAACTTGATTGAGTTTAAGTTAAAGTGCAATTTTCTTATTATTTGATTATGTGGTCAATTTTGTTTAAACAAGTGATATCAGTTGGTATCAAGTGTAGACAAGTTAGCTTCAATAACTACACTAGATACTTACTCACGAAAGAGTTATTTTGGAAAGGGAGATCTTGTAATCTCTAAAAGAAGTGGACTACATATGGTAATTAAAGAGAATACCACCACAGCTAAACCCATGAAATCAGCCGATCCCTCCAAATCAATATTGATAGACTCGATATCACAAGATCAGCAATATATTAGCTAAAGATTGATGGGATTTTTGTAGAAATGTCACCTGAACTTATACATCAGTTTCAATTTGTCACCTTAAAATTTTTTTTAAGTGAAATGTCACCTCAAGTTTTCAAAATTCATGATTTGTCACCAAAATTTAACGTCATCCAATTTTCCATCCATTTAAAAGGATATTTTAGTCTTTCCAATATGTAAACCTCTGTGAAGCTCTTTTTTCACAAAAAAAAGAAAAAAAAAGAGTCAAGAATAGTACTTTTACGCCTAAACAACAGTTAGACTTTAGGGTTTCAAAATTTTTTTTAAGGCATATCTGCAAGTTGTCAGCAACATTGGGATTGATGGCTGCTCTACGCTACAGAGTCACTGGGAACCCTCCAAACTACGGTAAAGCTTTTGCTTTCTACTTAGGAATCTCTGAAGTTTTTGCTTTTTATATGACAACGGGAGATTTGATTCATGGGATCCTTTTTTCTGTCTTTATGTTCTTTGGCTTTATTTATATGCTATTGCTTTGTTTTTGTGCTTTGGGTTAACGTGTATTGTCCTTTTGCAAGTCAATTACTATATTACTATGTTGTGTGGGGATGTATCGGCTGCAATTGTTATATTTTATATAAATGTTAATTTGAATATTTGTGTAGGTGATTGTGATTTATTTATTCACCATGGGGGTCACTTTATAGAGCAATGGAATGGGAACTTGAAGTATGTTGCTGGGCATGTGGCTTGGTATGATAATTTAAATCAAGATTTGATGTCAAAATGGGATATTGAGAATTGTGTTGAGAGTTTAGGGTACAGCAAGACGTCAACATATTATTATAGATTACCAAATGGAGGGGAATGTAGGGAATTGAACAATGACTCTGATTTTTGGGCTTTAGTGACTATATTGCCCCCAAATAGAGTGGCAATTGTGTACATAGTTGATGACAACTTTGTACCAAATATTGAGAGTCAAGTTGCAATCAATAATTGTGTGGAGTCAAGCCTCAGTCATGAAGAACCAAAAGTTGATGTAGGTGTAGAAGATGAGGATTCTGAATATGAAGATTCTGACTATGAGCAAAGTGATGCTGAGGATGATATTCTTTTTGATGACATTGTAGAGAAATGTGTCAATGAAGGAGGCAATGTTAATGTCTCAAGTAGTGCTGCAGCCTTCCCAAATTTGGAGTTCGGGGATGTTGAAACAGAGTCTGAAAATTCATATGAATTTAAGAGTGGTGGTGAAGAAGATTCTGAGGGTGAAGAAAATGGTGGTACACGAAAGAGGAAGTTGCCTAACTTCACTCAATTTAGGAGTGATATGGATATGAAGAATCCACAGTTTAGGTTAGGCATGATGTTTGCTAATAGGAATGAGTTTAAACAGGCAGTAAGATATTATGCTTGTGTTAATGGAAAAGATATTAGATTCACACTAAGAGAGAGTTTCAAAGTTCAAGCTAAGTGCAAAAAGCCATGTCCTTGGGTGATTTATGCATCTAAGGTGGATGAGAGTTCTACTCTTATGGTAAAGACACTTACTGATTTGCACACATGCCCGAGGGCGGAAAAAATCAAACTATGCACACCTACTTGGTTGTCACATAGGTACACTGAAGAGTTGATTGATAATCCTAAATGGGAAGTGCCAAAATTCCAAGAAGCTGTGCGTAAACAATATAATTTGAATATCACAAAGAACCAAATATATAGAGCAAAAAGTTTGGTGGCTGCTAAGACTGATGGGACTTATGAGGAGCAATATGGAAGGTTATGGGATTATTGTGAGGAGTTAAAGAGAACAAACCTTGGCAGTACAGTTGTTATCAAGACAGAGATGGAAGGTGGAAAACCTATTTTTCAGAGAATGTACGTGTGTTTTGCAGCTCTTAAGAAGGGCTTCATACAGGGTTGTAGGCCAGTTGTGGGGTTAGATGGATGCCACATTAAAGGTCCACATCCTGGGCAATTACTTTGTGCTATTGGGATAGATGCCAATAATGGCATGTATCCAATAGCGTATGCCATTGTTGAAATAGAAAATAGGTGCACGTGGACTTGGTTCCTAGAGATACTCATCAATGATTTGAGGATTGATAATGGGCTTTCTTGGGTCATTATGTCAGACAAGCAGAAAGGTCTACTGAGAGCTGTTGAAGACCTTGTCCTAGTGTTGAACACAGGCATTGTGTTCGACACTTGTATAATAATTTCAAGAAAGGTCACAATGGAATGGCACTTAAGCAAATACTTTGGGAAGCAGCAAGGGCAACCACCATTCCTGGGTTTAAAGCACATATGACTAGGATGGAAATTGAAGATGGAAGAGCAATAGGATGGTTTGATGACAAGCCTGCAAAGCATTGGAGTAGATCCCATTTTAGGACTACATCAAAATGTGATATCTTGTTGAATAATATGTGTGAGTCTTTTAACAGTGTAATATTAAGTGCAAGAGATAAACCAATATTGACTATGATGGAGAGGATTAGGACATATCTGATGGTGAGAATGGCAAGAATGAGAGAGACTGCAGATAAGTGGACTTGTGATGTTGGCCCTAGAGTGTTTAAAATTGTTGAGAAAAACAAATTAGAAAGTGGTTCTTGCATTCCTTGTCTTGCTGGTGATAAGAAGTATCAAGTGAGGCATATTAGTGGGGCACAGTTTGTGGTGGATTTGACAGCCCACACTTGTTCATGTAGGAGGTGGGATCTCACTGGAATTCCTTGTTCTCATGGCATTTATGCAATATACAGAAGATAAGAGGATCCATACAACTATGTTCACTCTTGTTACAAGAAACCAGCATTCTTAAGAGCCTACAAGCCTTATATCAACCTAATGGCTGGTGAAGAATATTGGCCAGTGACAAACCATCAGCCTATTAGACCCCCTAAGTATCACAAGCAAGCTGGGAGACCAAGGATGCTCAGATGTAGGGAGCCAGATGAGGTTCGACCTCCTTCAAATCCAAACAAACTTTGAAGATGCTTAATCAAGATCAACTGCAGCAAGTGTGGCCAAGAAGGCCATAATGCTACTACTTGTGAAAGGAGGAAGCAAGCAAAAGAGCTCAAGTATAAAGATAATGAGATTTTATGTTTTATGTTTTATTTCATTAAATGTTAAGAAGTTGGCAATGAAATTTGATTTGGTACAGGTGAATGGAGAAGGTGATCTAAGGGGGCAAACTTCAGCAAATCCAAGCCAACAACAGTCACAGACAAATGGAGGAAATAGGACAAGTGAAACCTCAGCAAATCAAGCACACTCTGTACCAAGAGGAATACAATCTGCACGAAATATGTCTGAATCCAATGCACAAGTCTCAAACCCAAGTTCTTCTTCTACAAGAGCAAGCACAATGAAAACCAATACCAAGTCTTATGCCAAGAAGAATAACGTATGGAAACCATAAAGCACTTAGGTTTAATTGGTCTCGGTACCATGCAAAGTATATTTTACAAACAGATAAAAATTGGGATTATGTTTTGAAGTGTTGTAGCTTTGTGGCCTTGGTACAAGTTGTAGACTTGGTCACGTTTTGAACCTATTTTGTGAACTCATTTTTGCTACTTTTGTTTTGTATATCAATTTCCAGATAATGTCATTTATAAATTTCTTTCTCAAATTTGAATTAGTACCTATGATTATTTCCCTAAAAAAAATTGTAACCATAAAATTTGAGTGTTAAAAGTCTTGCTTTTGGGGTTTTAACTCCTTTTTCTTCACCAAAAAATGAGCTTCAAAGAGGGTTTACATAGCTTTATATTTAAATCATTTTAATAAATAAATAAATAAATAAATAAATAAATAAAGAGGTTTTACATATTGGAAGGACTAAAATACCCTTTAAAAATGGATGGAAAATTGGATGACGTTAAAGTCAGGTGACAAATCATGGATTTTGAAAACTTAAGGTGACATTTCACTTAAATTTTTTTTAAGGTGACAAATTGAAACTGATGTATAAGTTCAGGTGACATTTCTACAAAAAATCCAAGATTGATTTGTAATTTATTCTGACATATATAAGATTAATGCTACTTACCTTGTATTGCTTATTTTCTGTAAATAGACTTGAGAAAGTCTCCCTCCTGTACATGATATATACGGCTGTAATACAGAGACCAAAGTATCTTGGTTAGTTCAATTGCTATACTTCCATCTCTCATCTTCCTCCTCCCTTCTTGAGTCTGTTTTCTTATATGGTATCAGAGCTCTCCGGAGCCAAAGCTCAAGAATTTCGATCCTACCAAATCAAATGGCAAACACACCCAAATCTGGAGAATCAAGTAATATTGATATGACAAGGCTGATTTATGAAATGTCAAAACTTACCTCACCTTCATTCTCATCCCTTTCCTTGCCCACCTCATTCAACATCTCATCTCTGTTTCCAATTCCTATGGACAGAACCAACTACTTGAGTTGGAAATCTCAATTTGAAGACGTATTGGAGATGCATGGCCTTGCAGAGGTCATCAAGAAAACCACAGATCCACCCAAAGTGCAAGACCTAGCCAGGGATAAACTGGTCAGGGATAAACTGGTCCTGAGTTGGATCAAGGCGACTTCCTCTCCTTCCATCAAGACTCTTCTCATCCCGTGCACCACTGCTCATCAAGCTTGGAACCTATTGGGCAAGCGTCTCTCACCTCTCGCTAGTACCCGTGTGCGGATTCTTTGAGACCAAATTCGCACCCTTAGAAAGGATAACAACACAACAGTGACTGATTATCTCAACCATGCCAAATCACTCCTTGATTCCCTCAGACAAGCTGGTGCAACAATGGATGATGATGAATTCGTCAGTTATGTGTTGGATGGACTTGGGCTTGCATACAAGGAGTTAGCCACCACACTTCACCTACATCCAGATATTGGTTTCGACCGATTTTATGACCTTGCTTTACGAGAAGAACACTTACAGAAACGCATGTCACTTACCGTGGCTTCTGATGTTGCTATGGCTGCTGATCGAACACCTAACGAGCGTCATCCAAACTCCAATTATGCTGGTCGCAGTCACAACCACTATTACAGCTCTGGAAGAGGACGTAGGCGTGGCAGAAGTTGGCATTAAGGGCATAGTGGGCGAGGACAAGGGCGAACAGATCAGTGGGGATCGAACCAAGGCAATTGGCCTCACGAACATGGTGATCAATCTCGCAAACAGCAGCCTGCACAAGTAGCCTCCTCTCACGCGACTCTGACTGATGGACGCCCACCACTTCTTCCAACACCACCTGTAAATTCTCCACATCTCCAACAACCTGAGGTAATATGTTTTCGATGTGATAGGCCCGGCCACATAGCCTGTTTCTGTCCAGATCGTAGGCCTCATGCATACACGACAGAAAATACAGCAAATCAGTCTCCTAGAACTGATGTGGCAAATCTCAATTGGTGCCTTGACTCGGCGCTACTCATCACATGACAGCCAATACAGCCTCTCTGCCCCATGCCCAGCCTTACACAGGTACTGATACAATTATTGTCGGCAATGGGAATCAATTAGCAATCACCCATATTGGCAATACTAAATTGACAGGATTGGATAAGTCCTTAAACCTTAATGAAGTATTGTGTGTTCCTGCGATACGAAAGAATTTGATATCTATCCGTCGTTTTTGTCGTGATAATGACTGTTTCTTTGAGTTGGATGCTAATGGTTTTAATGTGAAGGTCATCAAGACGGGGACAGTACTCCTTACTGGCAATAGTTCTGATGGCCTTTATCACATTCAGGCAGCCCCACACATTGCTCATCAGTTTGCATTCTATGGAGAGCGCACGACACAGGACGTGTGGCATGCACGACTTGGACACCCATCTCATTCAATCTTTACTACCATGTTGAATAAGTACCATTTACCTATTGATAGTACAATTATATCGAATAAAAATTGCCATATTTTCCCATTGGGAAAATCTTGTCGATTGCCTTTTGAATACAGAAAGCTTCATGCTCAATTTCCATTAGCACTTTTACATCTTGACTTGTGGGGCCCTGCACTGGTTTCCTCAAATTTTGGATATCGTTATTATTTGTCCATTGTTGATGATAACACTCGGTTCACTTGGTTATATCCTTTGACTAAGAAATCAGATGTTCTTCCTACATTTATTACATTCAAGAAGATGGTGGAAAATCGTTTTAGTTCCACAATCAAGCAGTTGCAGATTGATGGTGGTGGTGAATTTACTAGCAAATTATTCCTTGCATTTTTTAAGTGATCATGGCATATCACATCAGATTTTCTGCCCATACACTCCCTAACAAAATGGAGTGGTGGAAAGGAAGCATCGACATATTGTTGCAATCGGGCTCTGCCTGCTCGCCCAATCCCAGTTGCCTCCTAGCTTTTGGGTTGAAGCATTCTCTACTGCCGTTTTTCTGATCAATCGCTTGCCAACGCCTCAGCTTCATAACATGTCTCCTTATGAGAAGTTCCTTCAACGTCCACCGGATTATAAATTTCTCAAAAGCTTTGGATGTGCTTGCTTTCCTCACATGGTGCCATACAACAAGCATAAATTATCTTTTAAGTCTATTCCATGTGTGTTTCTTGGTTATGATGATCATTATAAGGGTTATCGCTATCTTGATCCTTTTTCAGGTTGCATTTATATATCTCGGAACGTGACCTTTGATGAGACACGATTTCCTTACAAACATCCCCATATTACATCTCCCTTGCACTCAAATGGGCTTCAATCTCTCTCTCCTGCCAACCAACCCATACCTGCTGGTTTCCCTGATATCATGAACATCCCTTATCCCTCACCCACTCTTATTCCAAATTCTACCCCACTTAACTCCAACACAGGCCCATCACTTCATACTACCACCACAGGCCCAACCTTTTCTTCTACCTCTCAAGGCCCCATAAGCCCGCCTTCTCCATTAGAAACCCCACTTCCCGTGCCTCAATTTCCCTCCGCATCGTCATCACCACAGGCCACGCATCCAGCAGATTCCTCCATGGCACTCGATATCACAACCCCATCACCACTACCTTCCACCACCCCAACCTCAGATTTTGACAGAATCCAATCCTCAGACTCCAACGACACCACCTCATTCCCTACCTCGCCTCCTTCTTCTTCACCTATTGACCCCTCCATTTTTCCCAACTCTCCTGATACCCCCAATCCTCCCAAAAACTTCAAAAGTCTAAACTCCATCATCCCATTTGGTCCAAAAACAAAACCCTTCTACTCTAAGACCAACCCACATCCTTTACCCCATGCTCTTTCTGCTGAGGTTTCTAATCCCATGACTACTGAACCCACAAGCTTCACCCATGCCTCTAAACACAACCATTGGCGAGATGCAATGTAGGATGAATATTCTGCACTCATGAAGAACCATACTTGGTCTTTAGTCCCTGCAACTTCACGTATGAATATTGTGGGGTGCAAGTGGGTCTTCAAAGTTAAACAGAAGGCAGATGGCTCAGTTGACCGATACAAGGCTTGTCTTGTTGCCAAGGGATTCAATCAGAAAGAAGGCTTTGATTATGACGAAACCTTTAGCCCAGTGGTCAAACCGGCTACCATTCACACTATTTTATCTCTGGCTGTTTCTTATAATTGGTCCCTTCAGCAACTGGATGTTCGCAATGCTTTCTTGAATGGGTACTTGCAAGAAGAAGTATACATGAAATAACCCCCTGGTTTTCATGATCAATCACGACCCCAATATGTTTGTCGGCTCCACAAGGCTCTCTATGGCCTTAAGCAGGCACCACGGGCTTGGTTCCAACGTCTCAGTTCCTTTCTTCTTGCTCAACAATTTGTTCACAGTCACTTTGATGCCTCGCTCTTCATTTGTCGGTCCTCCTCCTGCATGATGTATGTTCTAGTATATGTGGATGACATAATTGTCACTGGCTCTCACCCACAAAGTGTCCACAATTTCATTGATCAATTATGTTCCACCTTTTGACAGCCGACGAATGGGTGAGCTCAATTTTTTTCTTGGCATGAAAATTAATCGGTTCTCTGACCACTTATTTCTTTCTCAGACACGCTATGCAGTTGATTTATTAAAACGATTTAATTTCACTGAGTGCAAACCGTATCCCGCACCATTGCCCTCTGACACTCGGCTCTCTTGTCTAGATGGTGATCCCTTGCCTGACCCGTCCACCTATCGGAGTATGGTGGGTGGCCTCCAATATCTTACTTTGTCCATGCTAGATATTTCCTTCGCTGTCAACCAAGTGTGCCAGTTTATGCACAACCCTCGCACTTCCCACCTTCAAGTTGTCAAGCGCATTTTTCGATACATTAAAGGTACCGTTGAGCAAGGTCTTATCTTTCACCAATCCAATGATTTTTCCGTACGGAGTTTCTCTGATGCTGATTGGGCTGGTTCCGTTAATGATCAACGATCCACCACAGGTGCTTGTATATTCTTCGGTCCTAACCTCCTTACATGGACTGCCAAGAAACAGTCTATTGTCTCTCGCTCTAGTACTGAAGCCGAATTAGGGCTCTTGCCCATACTGTTGCCGAAATTCGATGGTTTGGTTACTTGTTTCGTGAACTTGGCATTCCCATTCGCTTTGCTCCGTGCATCTACATGGCTGCCAATCCTATTTTCCATGCTCGCACTCGGCATATTGAGATTGACTATCACTTTGTTCGCGAAATAGTTGCTCGAAAAGCTCTTCATACCTCCTATGTTCCCTCCTCACATCAGCTTGCTGACATATTTACTAAAGGTCTCAGTCGTGATCGGTTTTCTCTTCTTAAATCCAAGCTTAATCTCCGCATTGCTCCGTTACGCTTGAGGGAGGGTAAAGAGAATACCACCACAGCTAATCCCATGAAATCAACCGATCCCCCCAAATCAATATTGACAGACTCGATATCACAAGATCAGCAATATATTAGCTAAAGATTGATTTGTAATTTATTCTTACATATATAAGATTAATGCTACTTACCTTGTATTGCTTATTTTCTGTAAATAGACTTGAGAAAGTCTCCCTCCTGTACATGATATATACGGCTGTAATACAGAGACCAAAGTATCTTGGTCAGTTCAATTGCTATACTTCCATCTCTCATCTTCCTCCTCCCTTCTTGAGTCTGTTTTCTTATAGTAATGACATATAAAGCATTTTTTTAAAAGAAAAGTCATGTTCATCCTGTGTTCAAATCTTGACGGAAGCTTTATGTGGCTATGCAGATAGGTATATGTGATTCTAAAGGTCTTGGATGTTTTATATTCAAGGCAACTTGATGATCCAATGCTTGTTTTCATAGTTGACAAAGAGCTTGTTTAGAAATACAGTTTAATTGATTTCCATGGTCATAAAAATAATATATATTAAAAATATATATATATTTTAAAGGTATAGCCGCACGGTGATACTTAATTTTTTCCTAATTGTTTTTAAAATAATAGTATAGCCACGTTTTTTTATTTTTTATTATTTTTATTTTTAAACGTAGTATAGCCGCATGCTTAATAACTCTAGAAAAGTAAAAACTCAGAAAGGGACAATAGATACTCAAGTAATGAACTAATAGTAATGAATAGGGCTCTTGAGCTGTGGCGAAATTTAATTAAGACACCCGAACGATTTCACAAAAGACTTAATAAATAGAAATTAATTATTTTGTGGACATTTTCTTTAAAAATTTTATATTAAAAAATAATTAAAAAATAATTAGTAATTAAAGTAATTCAAAAAAGGCTAAGATGTTACTTAATTACATATATTAAATTAAAGAAGTAGGACAAAAAACAAAAATAAAGAAACTAATTTTATATTTTTAAAATTTAAAATATTAAAAATAAAAAACCTATCCAGACGAAAGTTCATTGGCACAGGTCTATATCGGCGACATTTCTTGATTAAATGTTGTTTTTAAACAGTATAGCCGCACAGCTATACTATTTGTAAATAAAAAAGAACGAGGCGAGCGCATGGGTGCCACATGTGAGGACAGTAACGCCGGCCGGCTATACTATTCTTAAAAAGATAATAATTTTAAAAAAAAGGTGGAGCCGCACGGCTATAATATTACATAATAAAATATATTAAAAAACTAGTATAGCCGGGCGGCTATACTCAATTTTTTCTAATTGTTTTTAGTATAGCCACGCGGTTTTACTCGTTTTCCTAAATTTTTTTAAAACATAGTATAGCCACACGCTTTACTCTTTTGACACGTGGTGGATGGGTGCTGGGCGGGTCTAATACGTTTTTTCTAATTATTATTATTTTTAAATAGTATAGCCGCTCGGCATTAATGTTTTGACATATAGCACCTATGCGTTGGGCGCACCTTTTTGTATTTATAAATAGTACAGCCGGCAATACTGTTTAAAAACAACATTTAATTAAGAAATTTCCCAACTTTCATCGGGATAGGTTTTTTATTTTTTATATTTTAAATATTTTAAATATATATATAATAGTTTTTATTATTTTTTGGTTGAGTTTACATTTGACTGTTGAACATTAAAAAGCCGTTGAATAATTCTCTCAAGTTCCAAAAAAAATCAAGCACTGGCCCTGAAATAAGCTCTAGGAAAACTGGAGGGAAACCTTTGGAGGGAATTTGGAATTTAATGCATTTCACTTTATTTGAATCTTTGTTTATTCTTTATCTAATTTGATTAGAGATATATCGAGGAATGGAAAGCCAAAGATCGCAAAATTTGGCGCCTTCTTTTTTATTGATTTCCCTCCTCCGCATTCAAAGAAGGCTAATTATATAAAAGACTTAATCTGTAAGGTAAACAGGCGTAAGCAAAGACAAAACTTAATTTTGTGAAGCTGTAAGCAAACACTAGTGTTTCTGTCCATGGCTTTCAGTCAGTCATCCTCATCATCCTATGACTCTTCCTCTTCCTCTTACTCTTCCTCTTCGTCTTTTGATGAAGACCACCAATCTGATTCATACGATGATGAACTGGAGGATGAACAACTTGCACCTGATTCACAAGAGTCGCCTACCTTGGTTGGATCCGACACCGAATACAGATGCGAATCGGAGCCTGATTCAGAGGCCGACTCTGCCAAAAAGACCAAGACCAAGTCCAACACCAAGACCAAAACCAATACCAATGTTGAGGCAAAATCCAAAAACAAATCGCCTTCGCCTACCGCCGTTGTAAATAAGAAACGGCCCCGGGAGAAGCCAGAGGAAAAGGGCTGTGATGCCTCCAACGAGAAGAGGAAGAAGGCAGAAAATGAAACAAATCTCCAAACTGGTGGTGATGATGCTATGGAGAAGGACAAGGAGATGAAGAAGAAGAAGAAGAACAAGTCGAGGTCGTCTTCATCTGCTGCTGCTAATGCGAGAGTATGGAGCGAAAGGGATGAGCTTGTTATGGTGAAAGGTATAATCTCATTTCTGAAAAAGTTCTCGACATTTGATGGAAAAAAGTTCTACAATTGGATCAACAAGTACATCGAAGCGGACGTGTCAAGAGGTCAAATAGCAGATAAAGTGTGTCGATTGAAGAAGAAATATCGTAACAACGAAGCGAACCGCGGGCCAAATGGGGAGGATCCTGTCTTCTCAAAGCCTCATGAGCAGAAATTGTTTGACCTATCAAAACAAGCATGGGGGAGTATTAGTTGTACCACTAATCATAATAATACTAATGCTGATATTAATGATGGTATAGTTGAAGAAGGTGCTGATGCTGAGAAAAAGGCAACGGATGTTGTTGACGATGCTCAGAAAAAGGCAGCGGATGTTGTTGATGGTGCTCAGAAAAAGGCAACGGATGATGATATTTTGCAGGAGAAGGAAGTATTGTTTGACGATAATCTAGTTATTGAAGCTTTTGATAAGTATTTAACAAGTCGTGGCTTAGATTTGAGGTGGTTTGGTCAAGACAAATTAGAGAGCTTGGAGAACAAGTGGAGAAAAATCAGAGTTGCTGAATCTACTTTTCGCTTACTGCAAGCCAAGTTTGATGCAAAGTTGCATCAAATAGCGCTACATGCTTACAACTTCTTTGATTATTAGTCTGCATTTCTTTTTCCTTAAGCTTTTATTTTGGTTATTAGAATGTGTTTTTGAATATTCGGTCTATTGTCTGGGAGTTTTCATGGTTCATACATACATTTAGGTTTTTAACCTATTTGATGAGTCCTTTTGAATGAGGAATATATGTATGCTGGTATAATTAAAGTTCGCAGTGCAGTAGAATTATTATTCTTGATGCCTTCTTAGACGATGAATGTAATCAGAATTGGTTTATGCCCCTTTCTAGTAGTTTTGCTTCATTAATAAAGTTTTCCTCGTACTGTCTGTCGGGGTTCGTAAAAGTGCAAAGAACGCTTGCAGACATTATGCTGAAAGGCCCTCGAGCTTGCAATGCCAATGGGGCAGCGCACTCCATTCCCATTCAGAATATAATAAAAATCTGCTCATATCTTGTTTCTTGGGGCATGATTTGAGACTATATTATCTTTGGTTATGATGTATCCTTTGTAGGTTTGATAAGACATCAGTTTATCATAATTCATATTCTCAGTTTTGTTATGTTGGTGCTTGGACGTTTGTTTTGTTTGCTCAAGGATTTGATCTTTATGGTTCTCAAAAGAATCAATGGTCCAAGGATAATATCTGAATTTGATCCACACGACTGATATACCTAATAAAACATTTTGTAGTAAATTCTTAATCTAACATCACTCTCTCTTTTACTTTGTTTCAAACCACATTACAAAATCTCAAAAATTAAGTAAAAACAAACCCATGATCTCATCCATCCAGACTCATACGAGGAGATCTGTTATCCCATTGTGATCATGTTCTTTAATTCTTCCTGTCGCAGTTTTTGTGGCAGGTTTCCACTGTCTTTCACAAGAAATGCATCTGCATGGTTAAAATGACTACACTTATTGTTATTCCACAAAGTCTTCTCGGATGCTGGTGGTTTCGTTTCGTCAGCCTCCATGGCTACTGAAATCTTCAAAACTCACGATCTCACTTTTGCTGTCGAGTTGCCGGAAACTTGGGATTCTTTGCCAACCCCATACGGTGACTATTGGAGGTTCATGAAGAAGCTTTGCATGACTGAACTGGTCTCACCCAAGCAAGAAAGGTCACATGCCATTCGACATGCAGAGGTTGCAAAGTTTTTGAGGAAAATGTTGGGGAGTGCTACGAGGAAAGAGATGGTTGATGTGGGTGCTGAGCTGATGAGGCTTACAAACAACAGTATATGCAGGCATGCTCTAAAATTCATTTGATATGTTCTTTGAAATTTTCTCCAATATTTCTATTTTTCACAAGTGCCTGTTTAATAGCAGGATGGCTATGAGGACTAGTTGTTCAGAAAATGGTGAGGAAGCTGAAAAATCAGGGAGTTGGTAAAAGAATCATACGAGTTGGCTGCAAAGGTTTGTTTTGGGGATGTGTTGGGCGCACTGAAGAGGTTGGATTCTGGGTTTATGGGAAGCAGCTCATGGACGTGACCATGGGGCATGATAAAATTTTGGAGTGGATGCTGAAGCAGCATGAAGAGAGAGCAGAGAGAGAGGGTTGGGATGGAGAAGATAAAGATTTGATGGATATACCATTGAAGGCCTATCAAGATGATAAAGCTGAGGTCAAGATTTCCAGAAGGCTTTCTTGCTTGTAAGCGATTTCAATCCTTTCCATTTTCAAACCACATCTTGTTTCTGATCAATTCATAATTTACCATTATGTTAGGATCTTTTCATCGGAGGTACTGCTACCACAGCAGAGGCCATGCAATGGGCAGTAGCTGAGCTCATCAACCATCCCAACATATTCAACAAGCTCAGGGTGGAGATAAAATCGGTTGTTGGTTGTAGACTAGTTGAGGAATCGGATGTTGGAAACCTCCCCTACTTGCAGGCAGTGATAAAAGAAACACTAAGATTACACCCACCAGTGCCTTTGTCAACAAGAGAGAGCCGCCAAGCTTGTAAAAAAGAAGAGTTTGATATACCAGAAAAGACTGCAGTAGCAATCAACCAGTATGCAATAATGAGAGATCCAGAGTTATGGGACAATTCAGATGACTTTAGGCCAGAGAGTTTTTTGTCTCCTGAAGAGAAAGCAGATGGGGAAATGAATCAGAATGAGACCAGAGGACAGAATTTTCAATATGTTCCATTCGGATCGGGAAGGAGGTGTCCTGGCTTGAATTTGGCAACCATCTTGTTGAATACTTCAATTGCTGCCATGGTTCAATGCTTTGATTGGAAAGTCGGAGATGGAAATGAGGGTAAGGTTAATATGCAAGTTGGCGCAGGCATGTCTTTGCCCATGGCTCACCAACTTATACTTTTTACCTGTTGATCACTTCAACCCATTTGCTTCTTCAACATAGTTCTATGTAAACTTGCATGTGGGTTATGCAAAACAAAATTGTACTAAGAATAAAGGCAAGCTATATAGGTATTGGTGTTACTCAGTACAAGATAACGAAATTTGATCATAGACTTCTTACATGCCACTCCGTGTTTAGTATGCCATTGCGAAAAGCATAATGAGTTCTTAAAAATGATTTCTCTAAAATGTAAGTCTGGATCCTAGCATAAGTGGTTTTATTTTCAAGAAATTGAGATACAATTGGAGGGCAAAATTTCTTAATTTCTCCCCGACTCCTATTCTCGTTCACAAAGTTCACATGCGCATAACTAGTAACTACTCCAAGTGACCAATTCTTGATTAATAGCAAAGGCAAGACTACAGACATAATTAACTGGAATTATCATCAAATAGACTCAAGTTGTACAGTTGAATTTTTGACATTGCAACAATGCATTACAACAATCACAACTAACAGAAGAATAATTTGAAGTCCAGGATGTCCAGGGTAAACGTACAAGTTGAATGGATCTTATCTTTCATTACAATTGACATGTAAATTGTACAACCTCAAGGTTGAACAGCCTCCAGAAGTTTCTCATATACTTGCCTAGCAGACAAATCCTCCACCTGCAATAATCGCCAAATGATAATGAAGAAGGCCAAGCAAGATCAGCTTAAGCAGTTTCTTAGTTAAATTGGCATCATAACTCATACACAATTCAGGGGTCTATTGCATACATAGCTTCTATCAGGATGCCGCCCAAGTGAGGTTCCCTAAATGAATTGTAGTTGCTCTTATTTTATAAGCAGTCGAATAAATTAGATAAGGAAGAAATATCATGTCTTGTTTTTATCTATGTTGCCAAAGTAGAAATGTTTGTGCAACAATACAGTAAATCGGGGAATAGTGCATGGCAGCAAAATTATTGTATACAATGCTCTGAATTTTTTTATAACGAAAATGATAATGTTCTCCTTAACATAGGCACATTTGAAACAGAATATGATACACCCAAGCTGCCACACCCATGAGAGAGAGGAGAGAGAGAGAGAGAGAGAGAGAGAGAGAGAGAGAGAGTAAAACTTGTTTAACTCACCACAAGGAGTTTCGATTTATTATTCCACCCTCTCTGAAGAGTCATCTGGCTTAGTCTCAGACCCAACACCTGTGTAAAAAGCAAGTATTAGATTTACACGTTCGAAAAGATTGGCTTCTTAGGTTAAACAGCCTAAGATGAAACAGAATCATACTTTGCCCATGAACTCCAAGAGTTCATTGTTTGCTTCTCCTCGAGCTGCAGGTGCAGCCACAGTAACTCTAACATCATCAGCATTCACTCCTGTCATAAGAGAAAAAAGTGGGAACATGAAATTTATGTCAAGGAACCAATAATTTAAAATATAATCAGTCATTTAAATTTCTGGTAAAAAAAAAACTTTTTTTTAGCAAAGCGAACACAGCTCTTGTAGAGGTACATATATAGATGTCAAACTTAAAAGTCAGCAAGGACTAGTGCTCAGCACACACAAAATCCAAAAAAATCAAAAGAAGTATATGCACGAATTGACTTATGATTTCCATTCGAACTAACGAGTTGCAGGCTAAAAATATGACAGAAATACACTAAAAATTTCTTTTACTTGTGATTGCCGACCGTTGTGCACGGTCTTCCACTTCTATAGCCACTTGAACGAGTCCACCATCTAGGTTTGAAATGCAGGGTGGCACAGGAGCATCCTACATCACATATCAGACTACCATGCTCAAGCAGAGACAAACTTTCTTAATCATTTCCCAAAATGTTTACAACCCAACAGATGGATACAATGAGAAATAAGCTCCTATTTCCCTTAATTTATAAGAAGGAACCCAATTTCTGAATGCAAACTAAATATGAGAATGCGAGATAGTTTTTTTCACAATCAAGTCAACAGATGATGACACAAAGCCTTTATAAACTACCTTATACCTGTGGGTTGGTTTCAGCAGCAACCGTGCTTAGAGCACCATCAACAACATAAATGAAAGAAGCACCTTCCAAATCTTCTTCTGAGCGATAGAAAACAAAGAGTCCACAACCCACACAGTTCATACGAAATTGCTTCTCCATTTTCCCCTCACCCCTGGATTAATAACGATCAAGATTTCAAAATACGAACTACGATGATACTATCACATAATAATTGTACTTGAAAAAAATCATTAAACTCTATCTTGATTGAAGAACATAATGCACTGACAGGACAATCTCAAGGAAGAACATACGTATGAAAAGGTGCAGAAACAAATAGTTTCTCAGAAACTGTCAGACAAACTGAGGTACAAGAAACTGAAGGCAGGTGATCAGCCACAGAGAGTGTCATCCAGTCCAGTATACAACACACATCAGTAAAAACCCAATTGTTTTCTTCTTCTTACAAACTGTATAACACTAAAGATATCATACTTTCATTAGAAGAAGAAAAAGAACCTTTTCAATACAACTTTTCCAGCCTCAGCAATGTTAAGCCTTGCAAGATGTTTGCTCTTGTCCAACACATAAGCTTTGTCAGTCTTCCTTTTGGGCATTTTCTGCAACTGGGTATCTTATACAACACACATTTCAGTATAATATAAACTGCTTGCCCAAAAATATTATTCAACAAACTCTCTTTTAACAACCATTATGAAAAATCCAATACCAATTAAAATGAGCAATTATACCAACAGAGGTGGCCCATAGGCTAAGCGACCGCACAGGGCCTCCTAAATTTAAAGGCCTCCAAATTTTTCCAAGTCAACGTATTAAATTAACTAGAAGATGAAAATGAAAATGAAATATTAAATATCACCCCACAACGCCACATGCAGAGGCCCCAAAACCAAAACCAAAACCAAAATTGAATTGAATATTACTTATCAACCAATTCCACGATTTAGAGAGTAGAGGCCCTAATTTAATTCGTTTTCCTCTTCCCAACTCTCACGCTGCAAAACCATTCTAATCATTCTTTTCTCTTTCAGTAAGTCTCTCTCACTCTCCTCCATCAAAATAAAGCCCTTTCTCTTCAGCACCACCCTCTTCCATCAAAATTTGGATTGTAAAAACCCAAGCTTTAGCCCTTTTCCCAAAATCACAGTTCTTTTCTCCCTCCCTCATTCACATGAGAATTCACCAACCATTGAAATTGGAAAACCAATTTATTAGCTCTGTGATTTGGAAGAGGGACTAAAGAAATATTTCTGGGAAGCTCCTTCCAAACAGCTCTATTGCGCACCTAATTTTGTTAAATAAATAAAATCGTCAGGCACACGTAGGAATATTTATGGGACAAAATAAAACAAATAAAAAATCGCCGGATGGTTTTATTTTAGCCATAGTAGGCTCTGGTGTAAGAGTTTTCGGATCCTATTTCACACTCTAGAGGATTAAGAAAGAAAGAAACGAGCTGTCGAGTTTACAAATTAAAAAAATAAGGTTGTCCGTTGAAAATTATTTCGATATCTCCCATATTCCCAACCCATTACAACACAATCTCAAACCAAGAAAGGGCCTCGACATCCATATTTGCAAAATCAATGGACGGCTCTGTATACCCAATTTCTTTTTTGAAACATATTAATTTCTGCTCAAACAATAAATCAATAGAGAGAGAGAGAGAGAGAGAGAGAGAGAGAGAACCAGTTATGAGGAGGTGAGATCCACAGTGCTTGCAGTAGTAGACGAAGAGATCAGAGTCAGGTCCATCTGGAGCTGCATCCTCGCTCGAGTACGTGTGTGTTGTTCTCTTCGGCATCACTCTCTTCTCCTCTTCTTCTTCTTTTCTCTTTCTTTCTAACGCTGATCGAATTGGGTACGGCTGGAGCTCCACCAAGGCACTGAAAGTGGTATTGTCAAGCTAGGATTTACTAACAGCAAGCCGAAGACTTGGACGACGTCGTTTTCGTGCATGTTATGTTCTACTGATTTAAACATGTTGGGCCGTAACCTGATTGTGTCGGCCCAGCCCCTCCCAGTCCATTTAGATGACTCCTTATTATATCAGGAGGCCCGTAATTCCCTATATAATAGAAACCCTATAAAAATCTCAGCCTATTGACAGTCATCTCTCTCTCCTCCTCTCTGTGTCGTTGCTTCTCCTGCTTAAGGTAAGCTCAGATCCGTTGCTCAATATCCTTACTTTTGATAAAGTCAGAGTCTTTTAGGCTATATGATTCATCAATCTCTTTAGTGTTTGAAATTGAAACAGTTTTCTAGTTTTTCTTAGATTTTCAGTTTGGTTAAAGTTTATGGTTTTACGGATACACTTAGTTGCTTTTACTCCTGGAACTCAATGGTTGATAAATTTTTCCAGAATAAAATCTTCAAAAACACTTATTTTTTTCAGTAATATAATGTTTGGCAATATTTGTTCCGGTGGGATTTGTCTAATTATGTATTTGTTGGGTATTTTTGTACCTATCAGTGGGTTTGTAACTCATCCATGGATGAAAGACTGAATTTTGGTATCTGGGTTTGTGTTTTTATGGATACAAATTGTTGCTTTTACCTCTGGAACTGATTGGTTGAGAAAATTTTCCAGAATAAAATCTTTAAAGCACTTCATTTGTCAGTAATATAATGTTTGGCAATATTTGTTCGGTTGGGCTTTGTCTAATTATGCATTAGATTAGTTGGCTGATTTTGGTACCTATCAGTGGGTATGTAAGTTGCAACTCATCCATGGATGAAAGACTAATTTTTTTTTATCTGGGTTGTAGGAAAATCACAAAAAGGTTTATCAATGGCAGTCACATTCCATGACATCAACTCGGCTGTTGGCCTGAAGAAATTGGATGACTACTTGCTTGCCCGCAGTTACATCACTGGCTACGAAGCTTCAAAGGATGATCTCATTGTCCATGCAGCTCTTTCAAAGCCTCCATCATCAGAATTTGTGAACGTGTCTCGGTGGTACAACCATATCACTGCACTTCTTAGGATTTCGTAAGTTCTTATAACTTG